CTTCCTCTTGAATGTCCAGATATTATGTATATTAAAACTTTACTTAAAAAAAACTCATTGGGATAAAAACTCAGTGAAGGAAAAAAATATAACATCTTCAACTTTATTGAAGTTACCTTATTAAAATCCTTTTTAGAAAAACCTGATAAAACAAAACCTTGATTAAAAAAAAAGAATGCAGCATAATTTTTACTCTCCTGATGACGGTATCACTCATTGTTCTTGAGTTTTTCTTTGAGTCGTTGTATCATAAACTTGCATGTCAATTTCTTGAATATTATGTGTCATTGTTGCCTTTACGAACTGTAGTCTCTTGCAAATAGACTATACAATAACCATCGCTTTCATGAAATCTTTTGAAATATTTCCTCTATAAATATCTTTTAGATGTTAATATATTTTTCACATGCTGTATATTTTATGGGAGTAGCAAAACAATCTTGATATATATAACATCCCAATTTAAATTTTAATAGTTAATTTAGGTTAATAAAAATTAAAAAAAATAATATTTAAAGGTAAAAAAATTAGTAAGAGATGATTATTAAATCTAAATTAGGATATAATTCTAAAAAAAATTAAAAAAAATAAAAAAAAATAATTAAAAAAATAAAAAAAATATTATTAAATTATTATTACAATAAAAAAAGGGAAAAGGTATTAAAAAAAGGGGGGAAGAAGAAGAAGAACAAAATTGCTTTCGGCCACCGCACAACAATCATTATGTATATAATAATAATAATAAAAAAGAGAGAGAGAGAAAAGAAGAAATAATAAAAAAATATGTGGGACCCACTGAATTTTTATAAAAACTCACTTGTTCCTTCGTTTCTTCATTCATTCCTTCGTGCGCGCTGAGGCAGAGAGAACGCGAGTCGCCGGTGCGAAATATCTAAATTTTTAAGGTAAGAGTTTTTAATAGGATATTTAGGGTGTGATTTTAAGCTTTTTAAGACTAAGTAAGTGTTCTAAAAATTTTTTTTAGTCATCCTTCTTCTTTGGTTTCTGAGTTTGTAGTGGTAGAAAATTTAAGATCTGGAAGAGGGATGAATTTATTTTAAATAAATATTATTTTTGAGGTTGTTAGTAGTATAATAAATGTTCTAGAGTATAAATTTATTGATGATCTTTAAATTTGTAGCTTATAGATCAAATTCTAAACTAGATCTGAAAATATATATTGATTTATTGAGGTTTAGATGATTATTTGGGATGAGAAATGAATTATTATGGTTATAGGATTATGATTCTAAGTTAGAGATTCAATTTTTAATTTTTGGGTATTTTAGGTACGAATTTATGAAATAAAAAAAATTTTGATAATAGAAATTAATTTAGAAGTTGATTTTTAGATTATTAATGTTTATTGATAATTAAAAGAGGAGTTAAAAATTTTACTTAATAGTATTAACTATAGATTTGTATTAAGATTGAGATTAGGAATTATGTTATATTTTTAATTCTATTATTAGAATTATTTTATTAGTTTTAAAAATTAAAACTAATATTTATAAATAATATGTTATTTGTAGATTGTATTACTGGTGAAGATTGTGGTGAGAGAGAAATTTTAAGGAATAATTTATTAAAAAAGCCACAAGGTAACCATGCTTTTAATTTGTGATTAGTGTTACTTCATGTTAATTGGGTGATTATTGAGAAAATTATGAATTTTATAATATTGTATAATTGTGCAATATTATTATGAATTTGTTTAATTATTGTGGGAGGTGTTGGGAGACTTGCTATTATTGTTGTATTTATGTGCACGTGGTACGCCCCTATTGGAGCTCAATAGGTGGCTTGTAAGGGCTCAGGCTAATCTACCTTTGGCCGGGTAATTTAACACCGAGTGAGGGCTACGGCTCGAGGTTAATGGAGGGATATAAGGATGGTTGTTTGTGTGTATTGTAATATTTCTTATATTTGTTGGAATTATATTATTTTTAATTCTCACTTAGTAAGCACACACTTGACTGTTTGTATACACTATCATAAATTGGCTTTGGTTACTGGGACTTTTGAGTCTCATTATATGGTTAACAATTTTCAAGAGAAGAGCCATGAGTGACACGTGGAGGAGTCCCAGAGGCTTAGTGGTATAGATCCACTGTCTCTTTTGGGTATTTAATTTATGATTTATAATGTGTTATATTGTCAGTATTAGGGCTTTTTATTTATTGTCAATTATATGAATATATAAATATAATCATGCCTTTCAAACTATTTCTATTTTTGGTACAATTTGGATGACTATAATTTTAATATTTGGTTTACTTTGGATTGGTTAAAATGGCATGATTATAAGGCCAAATAACTGGCTTGTGTTGAAAATTAACTAAATTGCTTATTTTACTTGTTGGGAGTATAAGGATGAACAAATGTGATTTAGTTTACTTGTTGGGAGTATAAGGATGGACAAATGTGATTTAGCCTAATGGCATGTGGGAGATAAAAATTTATCTGAAATGTTATAGTGTGTGAGTTGAAGCCAATTATAAAATTTTTTATATTAAAAATATTGATATAAGAATGTGTTGGGTGGCTATAACCCAACTATGGTTGAGTTAAATTATTTTAAAAAAATTTTGTGTGTTACAATATATGTGCATTTTCACAAATAAATAATCTCTTAGAGGTCAACTTGTGTAGTTCAAACTAGACATATATAATACATGTACATAATCAACAAACTTTGATCCTAAATAAGTTTATTAAAGTAACCATACATAATTTTTCGTACAATCATATCAAATGCATAATTTCATTGCAAATAAATGCAATACTATAAATAAGTGTGATATGAAAACATTCATATACAATACTTCAAGACTATATTTCATTATTCTCTTGAAGAAGAATGATCTCGATCCATATCTAATCATCCAACATCTTGTTGTAACAACCAAGTGTTCACATAATTAAGTTCTTTAGAATATTCAGTAATGCTAAATTGATATGTATAAAATCATACGAATAAATATGATGACAAAGAAAATTTCTCAAGAATCTTTATAAACTCTTGTTCTTTGGAATATCCTTCTAGGATTTTCAAGTAATTAATATCACTGTATATATATAGTTATATAAATAAGCCAGCATTTATTAGACGCATATCATATTTCTATATTGCTAGACTAATAACATGTCAAAAGTAATTTCATCTACCACAAAAATAATATATTAATGCATATTTTGAATCTTTATAAGATATTTTTATATTGAAAGTTAAGCTTTGCATGTGACATTTCATATTACTCTTTTTCATGAATACTCATGTATAATATTGCACTTTAGGTACTTGAATGATAAGTTCATGGCTTTCATATTATGAACAAGTGAATGGAATTATACTTGTATTGTGTCATTTTTCTTATCCGATCACCTTTCTATCAAGATCCTCATTTGACTGTAATATTTCATTCTCATTAAAAGTGTTATCGACAACTTTATTCTTTTCGCTTGTATCATATCTCATATTGAAATATCTTTTCAATATCATTTTATTGTTATCAAGTACCTGATCCTCTTCTGGGCCTTTTTAGTTTCATCATTTCTCATATTAACATGACTTTTCAAGATCACTTTATTGTTATCAGGTACATGATCCTCTTCTCATACTGACTTAAAGTCAATCATGTCTTGGCCTCTTCTGACATGCTAGCCTCTTTAATATGATCATCTTAATTATGTGCTTCTCTTTTTCTCTTGATATAAGATTTGTTTTCTTAGGAACCAATTTGCCTTTCACGCTTTAGGCATGATGCAATTTTTTTTTCTTTGTCTCCTAGAACATTGTCAACTAGAATATGAATTCAATAATTTTTATTGTGTCAATATTTACTTCTAGCATTTTCTAATATTTCATGAATACAATATTTTATGAACTTATGGTTCATTTGTGTGTGTGTGCGAGAGAGAGAGAGAGAGAGAGAGAGAGAGAAACTATATAATATATAAGAATGCATTCATTCAATTTTCATTTTTAGCTATTCATTATCTCCCCTCATTTTGGGATAACAAACCATGCAATATAAGTCTTCTAAATCTATTTGTTTCCTATAGAAATATCTTTTTGTTTCATTTAGACATAAGCAAGAAGAATAAGTATGTTACCCATCTATACTCTTAAGCTTATTTGAACATATATCGGACTATAGTGTAGTTCACACAATCAAAATCTTTGGTTCTTATCATAAAGCCAATTTTAGAGGGTATTTACAGTACTTTATTAGCTTGATATATATATAAATGCTGCAAACTTGCATATGTTATGGAAAATCTTGTTTTTGTAATATTGGTCTAATCATCTCATTTGAGGCATAAATAATTTGAATAAACTATTATAAAAAATAGGCTTTTCTTTTATATCAAAATTTATTGAAGCTTCAGATATGAAATCACTAGTATTTTCAAGTGAATCATCTCAATCATTAGCCTTACTATAAAAAAATGCTTTTTAAAACACTTATTTTTCGTTTGAAGTACTCCCATATGTAGGTAGCACTTCAAAATATACGAGAGTGCTTCTAAAGCTTTCTCATAAGCATTATAAGTAAATCTATGAGGATTATAGGAACACTTTTAAGCATGTTAAAGCACTCTAGTTAGGGCAACCTGCTGGAGTGCTTTTTGAAGATTAGTAAAGTATCTTGCTAAAAGATTAGATTCTATAACAACACAGCCTTCCCATATATGCAACCACAACCTGGCCAATGTGGAGATCTAATTCAGGGAGTACGTGATCCACCAAGCAATGTTCAGTGCAAGTTATCGCAGATTTTCTGTTCTCTCTAGGCCTGGTCTAGCCTAATTTTTTAAATACAAATTTAAGATATTTAACTTACAGCCCCGAATTTGCAAATAAATCTAACACTGGCTAGCTGACAGACTCAAATTAATTAAATTATGCATATATCACGACTGGACCCTTGTTGGTATACATTTATGTAGGCATTAGTCAGTCTTAGCAACAGATCTTGAATGTTATCATCTAAGGTCTAAGCAAGAAAAGCAAAAACTCCGACCATAGGGGCATTAGTGATAGTGGTGGGCTCTGCTAGTTGGTAGTCAGACCTCGAATCGTCATAGTGATCACTGGAGTCAGGGCCGAGCAGTACCTCCTCCAACACATTAGGGTTAGCTTCGTTCTGGTTAAACCACTGTTCATATCCGCCCTTGCACGTCATCGGAGACGGATCCTTCTTCACCGATACAATGGACGTTCTTCTGTGATGGATCTTCTATGAATAATTCGACCCGTAGCCGATCATGCAACTCATTTCCTTGGGGTTGGACCCCAAAATGTAGTCTGCCTGAGACCTGACAAATAAAGTGAGATCGGAGGGGGAGACGGTGTGGAGAGAGGCATGATGAGCGGCAAGATATTAGGAATAGATGAAGATGGAGAAGGTAGCGGTGGTGACGTATTGAAGGTTATCCAAAAGCAGAAACCAAAGGAAGTCGCCAGGCATTTTCTTCGCATTGCTGTCCCCAGTTTTCTGTTCTGAGCACACAAGCATATGAATTTCTCCGCCTGCTTCTTGTATTCTCCCCACGCCCCTTCATCATCCACTTTTCCCTCTAGCACCATCTCCATTATATTAATAACGCATATATTTATTAATTAAACTCTTCAATTTTTATAATCAGAGAGTGTGTGTGTGTTTTACATATACACACCTTGACAACAAGAATCTGGGCATCAACATACTTATCATCCCAGGAGAAGGAAGATCTCTGGCCGTTGGGACTATTTTGGGCCAGGTAATCTAAATAAGCCTTCGATCCACTGGCACGATGAAGCCATGCAGCCGCCCAAACCATTTTGCCCTGCCAATTGCCCAACCAATAATTAGACACACATGTTCCGTAGCTTCTTTTAATATATATATATATATATATGCAATTCACTTGCATGCATGCATACACGTTTACGTGGGCATAAGATTGGAAGAACTGTTTATTTTTGTAAAAACATATTTTTTAAAAAATAACTTGAGTCCCGGGCCTTATCATCTTGGATAAATTTCTTTAGTGCATGCCATTTTTATACAAATAGATAGATTAATTGCCTGATATCTTCTGGTGGCATATACTTTCTTTGTGCTTGGATGCTATCCTAATAAAGTCCTGGCTTGTTTTGGGCAAACTCAAACAGCTGCAACATGATCAAAACACAATAAATTAGTTTTTTGTCCTTGGGCCTGATCAGATTAATCTAAATCATTTAAATATCAATTCATAATTATCTGTTGGCTTTATATATATTTGTGTGTGTGTGTGTACATGAGTTGTATAATTGAGTAGCTGGGAAGCATATGCGATGTTGACTAGTTGGAAAGCTATGGAGTTGGCGGCCAAGGTGGTAAAGGTCTCGATGGCAAGATCGGAGCCGGGATGGTAAGCGTCGATTCAGAAAGCAAAGCGAGGGGTGGTCATGTCCTCTGGCCTTTGCCAACAAGCATGGTCACAATCAGCATCCCCAAACTCTCCGTAAAGCACGTCTGGTGACGTGTGCCTTCATCAAGTAGTTTGTGCCCCACTTTATGGCTGCCAACACATTTCAAAACTCATTTTTAACAGCCAGTTTGTCTCTGAGCTCTAATGTGCTCCGTGACAACATCGTTATTGTAAATGCCATTGCAAACCCTAGTTTTAGATTGTCTCCAGCATCATAGTATCCTCCCACCAGGTCGATCTACATGAGCAAGCATGCATACATAGTCGGAAGGAACAAGTTAAGAATCATTTACACTGAGAATGTCCAGTGCTGATTAAAAAATAAGGGTCTCCGTTTTGATGTGAGAAAAAGGAGGAAGAGTGAGAAATAAAGAGGGAAATAGACGAATTATTGGAAGAAGAAGAAAATTACATTGGCATCTTGACCATTCTTGAGGTCAGAATCTGCTCGCTATTACACTCTTTGATTGGGAGGCAACTTTCCTGACCGTTTAGCCTCACAGTACAACAATGATTTTATGAGTACCGTTCCATAATCGGCAGAGAAACATTATGAAACATCAGACAGACACGCAGCCCGACCAACACTGCTACGAGCTTTCCTCTGTTGAATCCCATGTTTCCGCTCGCCTTTTCCTAATTTCTGTCACCCAAGAAAGCTTTGATCTGTAATATATAAGATGCATTCATATCATTCATCTTTTAAATTCTTGCAATCAATCGCATTCACTTTTACCTTTGGAATATATCACACGAGCATTAATTTTGAAATTTCAAATGCTGGTGTATGCAATAAATTCAATTGTCTTGCACTAAATGAGTATGATTTTGTTTTATCAACTTTATTTGAATAAATGGTATCCTTATTGTCATAAATGACTTGTCAGTATTTGAGATGCTCCTTTAATTTTGCCTAAAATAATTCGAGTACACATATTTTGTTGCGTCGGGGTTCTTCGCTCTAGAATTTTCAACTTAGCTAATGGGCTCGGTTTCGGTGCTCATCTTAAGATGAACACAGTGGTGCTCATAAGCACCATGGTGCTTAGCACTAAAACACTGCCATTTGCTTCTTTCAAATCATAAACTCATTATAATAATAATAAATAAATATTATAAAATTATTATTTTAATATTTAATAAACAAATAAATATTAAGATATTAAAATTAAACCTTAATAGTTTGATTCATTAAAATTTGATTTGAATAGTTCATATATAAATTTTGATCTGAACAGCTTAAGACTATACTGAAAAAATTAGAATTGAAAACAAAAAATATTTTATTTTTTATTTTATTAATTTTGCACAGTTGTCTATCTATGAAAAGTAATATTATTCAAGGCATGATCAAGTATTAAATATAAATACTTTTCTTAACAAGAATTCAAATATTTATTTGTTACAGTGTAAGAAACTAATTCATTTTACTAAACTCAACCCCAATTTTAAACTCTTCAAATCATTTTTTGTATTTTTTTAATATAATTTTAAACTGTTCAAACTAAGATTTTTATTCGAGCTACTCTGATTTAATTTTAACATCTTAGTATTTATTTATTAAATATTAAAATAATAATTTTATAATATTTATTTATTATTATAATGAGTTTGTAATTAAAAAAACAAAAAAAAATGCACTACCAAACGATTTGGTGCTGAGCATCACGATGCTCATCAAACCAATTCCCTTAACTAATGCCTGTCTCTAGCTTCCTCTTTTCTTTTCTTTTTTTTTTTAAAGCAGTGTCTTTAGTTGATTTATTATTTATGCAGGGAACATGAGGTATTTATAATAAAAAATGTTTTAAAATATCTCAGGCTGCGTTTTGTGGCTCGCCTGTCCCATGCGGACTTTGCTTGTTTGCACTTAGACCTTACAATTTTTTTGGGTCAACAACCCTGCAGTTAAAAATATTAATTTTCTCTTCACCCAAAAAAAAACATTGATTTTCTACCTGAGAAATTCATGCTTTGAATTCATTTTCCTAACATTGATTATGGCTTATATGGTCAACTTAAATATTGTAGAGGATAATCATTAATGACAGGAAATGTCAACTTTCCAATATGGAGTTGACTCTTCTAAATTTGATTTGCGAAGCAATATTGGATAGGATTTGAAAAGTTAGATATTCTATATGTATATATTGATGGCGGTGGGTGATATTCATGCATGATAATATTGATCAATTACTAAAATATATTTATTAGTTGGAGATTTATTTACAAATTTCTCGTGAAAGAGGTTTTTATTTTTATTTATGGTGGGATTTGAACCATTATAGATTTGAGACCAGCCTTTAATTTTATAAATTTCACTGTTCCGTTTACTCTAAATTTTTATTTCAAGTGAATGTCATAAATGCCAAGGGATGCTAGAATACTGGCAACTCTGCTCCTCTTGTAATGGGGAGGATGCAGGTTTAAATGCCGCAGCAGGCATTGGAGGATGCAGGGCTCGGGTTCTCTTCTCTTAAAAAATGGACTGTAAATATGCAAGGGTACGTAAGTGAATGTAGTTGATCCATTCTCTAAAAGTAAAGATAATGTCGTCCATTTATAAATTTACAAATTACTCTATCTAATTCTATTTATAAATCATTTTTAATATTTTTACTAAAATTAAAAAAATTTTAAATCTCATTAACTCAGTTTAAAAATTTAGTAAGTTTTTAATTTTATCCCTATTAAATATACATACTTTAAATAAAATATTTTAATATTTGATAAACTTTCCTACATTTAGCAGGAGCAAAATAGTAAGGATGGTATAATAATTATTTAGGTGATTTATAAATAGGATCAAAACAAACATTCTCTCTCTATAGAACTAGAGAAGTAGTTTTGATAAGTATCCGATCCATTCAAATTATCTTTATCAAATATTAAATTATTTTAAAGATTTTTTATTGATATCTTCTCTAATATTTTCAATACTTCCCGTTTATATCTTTAACGAGAAAAGTAAAATCAAGAATAATGTAACCATATGAAATCCCAAAAAGAAAAATGTATTGGTTGGTAGGTTGTCTTGTTTAATTCTCCAATTCACGCATTTGCACTGGGTTTGGGTTTTCTCAACCCAAATATAAAAATGGCTAATCCATCCCATTTTTTTCCCCTTGCATATACATTAATGAGATTTGAATCACCAATTTTGTAGAACAAGGGCTAATATCTTGCTAATTGAACTAATTCTTGTTAGTAAAGCTTTCTATATCATCAAAAATTGTATCAAAATAAAAATATTAAAAAAATAGATGTCTTAAATATTCGATAAAAATTCATCCCTATAGACAATAATTGAAATCATATTAGTTGTCGGAATAAAATTGACATATGTTAACTTTTCCTTAAGCCTAATGCCCAAACCAAGGCAACTAAAAATAACTAGAAATGAGTCATTTGCAGAGTTGACATGCCTAATTACTTATACTATATACCTCTAAAAAGAGAGTTATTATAACAATAAGGCATAGTTCAATTAATGAATCAAAATACATATGATGATCGTTAATTATATTCTCAATGAATTTTTTAAGTTGAACTCTTTTTTTTTCAATCTTTTTGATGAGAAATTTGATTTAATTTTTTATCGACAAAAGTCTAAAACTGATAGGTTGCAAAGTGTGGAGGAATGGAGGAGAGAGAGGGTATGGAGGAGGAGAGAGAGGGAATGAAGGAGAGTGAATGTGCGGGAGGCAAGGATTGAAGGCCTTGTTTGGTACAGAGTACTAAATTTTATGGGATTGAAATTAGAATTGGTAGTGGGATTGAAAGTGAAAATAAGTTTTAAAATCATGTTTGATACGTCGTGAGATTAAAAAAATGACTCAAGTTTACCCAAAAAAAGCTAGCTAAAAGACAATATTACCTTCATCTTTTTCTCCATCATCATCCTCCCTCTCTTGCCCCAACCTTCACTATCGAACATCTTCATCATCCTCTTTCTCTTCCCCTTTCTTGTTGCAAACTTCACTGTTGAAGCAAAATTACCTTTCCAAAGAGTGAAAAAAAAAAGATGGATTTGGGTTCCATTATTTAAAGCTAAGGCAACAAAATCGACTTGAACGCAAAGAGATAAACTAAACTTTTTTTCTAATCTGCCTTTCTAAAGAGCAAACATAGTGACGCAATTCATAGATCTGTGTTTAAAGATGTTGCCACTAAACTGAAGAAGATGACTTCAAAATTGCCATCAACAGCCGCTAACTTGAGTTCAAAGATGAAGATGACAAAAATGTATTGTTGAAGTAGGAATAATTGAACCCACATAATCAAGAGATCAAATGGAAAATCAAGAGAAGAAGGTGAAGGAAATGGATTGTTGAAGCTCTGAATAATAGAAAGAAGAAGATGAGGACAGACCATGAAGCAAGAACAAGGGGCAATTTGGTCTTAAAAAAATTAATCTCTGGATGGATTTCACAATACCATAGGGGTGCTAGTATTGAGTATTCTCACTTAGATGGATTTGAGTTTGGGATTAAAATCTTTATTCCCTCACACTAAATATAAAAACTTGGGATTAATCAGTGCTAATATCAATCCCACTTTCTCATTCCCTTATACTAAATAGGGTCTTAGGCTTGGTTCAATTAGTAAATCAAAATACATATGATAATCGTCATTATGTTCTCAATAAATTTTCTAAGTCGAACATTTTTTTTTCAATCTCTTTGATAAGAAATTTGATTTAATTTTTTACTTACAAAAGTGTAGAACTAGTGGGTTGCAAAGTAAGGAGGACTGGAGGAGAGAGAGGGGATGGAGGAGAGTGAATGTGGGGGAGGCAAGGATTGAAGGAGAGTGAATGAGGAGGAATGGAGGAGAGTGAATGTGGGGTAGGTTGAGAGAGAGGAGAGAAAGATGAAAAGTGAGACCCATATATAATATTTTATTATACAAATATTAAAGAATGCCAGCTTAACAAAGTGAGGGCTTATTAATGGAATTGTTGGGCACATAGATGGTAGGATGACAAGAAAACAAATTTCAAATGTTCAAGAATAAAAATGACACAAAATGAGTTTAGAATACCCACAAAAATTTTAAGAGAAAAGTTTGGAGGTGAAGGTAACTTTTGACTCTTTTTTTTTTTGTTGCCACAATCATTCTAGTTTTTACTTGGAAAATAATAATTACTGAACCCATGTAAATAATATTAATTACAATTTTTAAATTATTAAAATTTCAATAATGGACCATTATTTTTTCTTGCAATAAAGTATATTTTATTGATTTTCTCTCAACTAATTCTATAAAGATTCTCAAACATCTTATGTTACTTTTTCAAGCTATTCATCTATATATTAACAACAAAAATTCATAAGCAATTTGCTTGTAATTTATGACTGATTTTCGTAAATTTTTAATTAACATTATAAATAATTCTAAATGAATTTTGTAGATTTTTCAAATGATTTATCTATATATTGACAATAAAAAGTTATAAGTAATTGCCTTGTGATTTATAATTGATTCTCATAAATTCTCTACTAATGTCATAAACGATCTCAAGATATATTTTATCAATTTTTTTAGTGGTTTATCTATACATCAACCATAAGAAAATTAAAATTTATAATTAATTTTTATTTTTAATTGACATTATAAATAATCCTAACTGGATTTTGTTGATTTCCCAACTAATTATTTACAATTTTTTTAATTGCAAGAAATAAACATGATCGCATTTTAGAATTTCAACAATTGAAAATTTATAATTGTATTCAATGTTTTTGTGGATCTAATTGTCATTTTCCTTTTATTTTGGATCCAACCAGTTGGTCAATTGGTGCTTCTTCCCCAGTTGACAACGGCGTCGTATGTCTCAACCGCTGGTAATATGAGTCGTGAGAGCCTTGCAATCCAATGATACCACGTGTACAATGGCGCCCTCAAATCGCCCGCGAAGCCGTTGGAGAAAATGCATTTCGGATAACATAGACGGATAAGAAGCTCAAAGCTAGAGAGAGAGAGAGAGAGAGAGAGCAAAAGGCTTATTCGAAAATGGCGACCCTGCAATTCACTGACTCCTCCAAGCCAGTGATCTTGTTGAGGCCCTTCACCTCTATCTTCTCCGATTCTCGAAATCGTCATTGGCGAAATGCTCAAGCCCCGGCTAGATTCATTCCCAAAGCTTCCCTGCAGCAATCCTCGCTCAACCGGAGGTGCTTCATTGCTGAGACTGCTGCGATTTCGCTGTCTGTACCTTCATTAATCGGATTTGAGCAATTGGCCAGGTCCGAAGAAGCCCTGTCGGAGTGGGAAAGAGTTTACCTCCCTATAGACCCCGGCGTTGTACTTCTTGACATCGCATTTGTGCCCGACGACTTGAATCACGGTCAGTTTAGCAGTTGCACATTATTTCTCTGGGTCATCGATCACTGGCTTCTGAGTTCCGAGCAAGTACAGGAAAATCACAGACTTAGAGCATACTGTTTTTTGGTCATTCCGCTTTTAAACAGTCTTACTCAACCTTAAACTGCTGGTGGAGGGTCTCCCTGCGGAACACTTACAGTTTTTAAGGATATATTGAAGAAAATCTACACTTTCTGATTAATTAACTGCTAACTACCTAGATAATTTGCAAGCCTGGTTCACTAGCCAAGACACTTGTTGATAGAAATCAACCAAAAAATTATGCAGTAAAAATCAAATGCATTATCAGAATATAATTTAATATTTATTTTATCATGTAACAATGTAATATTGTTTAGGGATTAGAGTTTTTAATTGGACAATTTAGGTTATTCAGGGTTTAAAAAGGGATTTGAATAATGGCTATTGTTCCAATAGTTCTGTCCGTATCTTAGAATCCTAGTTAGATTGAGAAACTTAGTATCATAAGGACACTTATTACGTATTATTAGATTCTACTTAGTTATCGTTGTTCCTTTTTGTTCCTTCTTGTTTTTTGTCACCTTGCTTAATGCTGCCACTTTCTTAATTAACTCAAACAAGGATGACCCAAGCCTGACTTCATGAACAAGGGGCCTTTTCTTTTAGGTGCATCTTATAGAATATAGATTGCAATAAAATCATTTATGAGCTTTCAGTGAGCAAATATTAATGCTACAATTGGTAGGATGCACCAGGTCTGTACAGTAATGCAATGAATGGGCTCTTGAGAGTCCCCATAATAAGCTACTGGCGATCCCCATCCCCTCAAAAAATTTATTCAAAGTCTGTAGTCGTTGCTATTAGGGATCCTCAAATTTAACATTGCTAAATTTATGCTGCAATATGCTTTTTAGTTTAATCTTTCTCAATATCACGGTCTTGATACGACAAATTACATTTTTATTTAAATTTGATCTTCTTACTAAAATATGGCCATGCTTCTTGTGGTAGGATTTCTTCTGGGGACCAGGCAGACCATTTTGGAGACAAAAGATGGTGGTAACACTTGGATTCCCCGTTCAATACCCTCAGCAGAAGAAGAGGATTTTAACTATAGATTTAATTCAATCAGCTTCAAAGGGAAGGAAGGATGGATAGTGGGAAAACCAGCAATCCTGTTGTACACTTCGAATGCGGGAGAGAGCTGGGAAAGGATACCACTTAGTGCTCAACTTCCTGGAGATATGGTATGCTTGCTTGAAATTTCTTGTATGATTTCTAGTTTTATATATTCAAGTGTTTGTGTTTCATAAAAAATGACTGCGCCATATAGCCATATAACAATGATCACGGACAGCAGATATAAATAAACTGTAAAACATAAGACAAGCAAATAGTTTAATTATATATATATATATATATATATGTTAAAAAAAGCATCAAGTTGGATTTTACTCTGTATAACAACTATATAACTACAGAATATTTGCAAACTAAATTGACTATTTGTTAAAATTTTTTGTTCTTAATTCTGTTACATGTGCTGTTTTAATTTGATTCCTCTCTCCAGTTTTATTTCTCCGGTGTATGGCCTTCATGAAATCTCTATTGTTCATTGTCTTGCAGAAAAGTCTGAAATTATTGCATCCTCTTTATATGGTTATTGTTGGTAAAGATTGCAACTCTGCTATCAAATCTGCAGGTATACATAAAGGCAACTGGCGAGAGGAGTGCAGAGATGGTAACCGATGAAGGGGCAATTTATATTACGTCAAACAGGGGTTATAACTGGAGAGCTGCAGTTCAGGAAACTGTGTCAGCTACTCTTAATAGGTGAATTTTCGATAAATGGCTATTTAATCACTATTTACTGTCTTGATGTTATTAACTTCTTTCTTTTTCTTGTTGCATGTTAAACTCTTTTCCTTTCTTGGGCCTTCTTCAACTCATATGCATGCACAAAGTATACTTACTGCTGCAGGAGTTTAATAGAGTCGTGCTTGTACTTGAAGAATTAGATTACAAAAATAATGAAAGAAAAAGAAGTATGAAAATGATCAGGATAGGATGATCAAGACTGAAGAGTCAAAGAGAATGTGCTAGCTAGCAACTGTGCTTCTTCCCCTTCAAATTTCTCCCCTCTTTCCCGTTAGTGGTTTGAAAGTATTGTAGTTTGTGTTCTAGCAAAGTCATGATACCTTTGATACAGGATACAGCATTATGTTTCTATTTTTAACTCCCAACCCTCCCCTTGTCTCGCACAAAATCAATCAATCCAGTCACACAGTCAATCTGGTCATGGGCCATGAACCAGAAAACTTTTCTGCTTGAATATTATTTCTTCTTCACATTCATTTGATGAAGTGGCTTGTAGAGGATAAGTGAACATCATTTAAAACAATACCTCATTGCTGAAGTTATCATTTTTTATCTAACGCTTTTGCTTCCTTTTTTGTTTTTTCTCTTTCTCTCTACCGTTTTGTGATGCTATTTAAAAAATATGCATTTCTTCAAAATAGTAAATGCTGCATTGATAAAGACTTAATGCTACAATTAGGGTTACCAAATTTTTAATGCTTAAAACTTATTCAGGAAATCTCTTGCACATGATTTATATTGCTATCATTTACTCATTTGTATATATTGAGACATTTATCTATGTTGCCTCTTCAGAACAGTTTCTAGCGGCATTAGTGGTGCAAGCTATTATACTGGAACTTTCAATACTGTCAATCGCTCACCAGATGGAAGTTATGTTGCAGTCTCAAGTCGTGGAAACTTCTACCTAACCTGGGAACCTGGCCAGGTGAAGCTTTTTACTCATTGCTGAACTTTGTTTTGGCTCAATATGATATTGATACCTTTGGTAAGGCTACCTTGCAACTGTATTTATACATTTGGTCTACTCTGACTTAGAAAGACAAAAACACGTATTTCTTGCTTGATATAAAGTCAAAATTATGTCGAATGGATTGTGAAATAATGGTTTAAGCCTTCAAAGTGTTGGATATGGCAATACACTCAAGAGGAAGGTGAATTGGTTGTATGAGGAAATTTTGGTTCTTTCAAAACTTTTTTAGCAAAAGTGTGTTCAAGGGATGGTTTAGGCAAACTTGAGTTCTAAACTTTGTGTGCAAGAATACTGAAGTTGTTGTCACAAGCACAATGTGTGTAAGAGTATTTTGAAATAATCTCTAAGTGCAAGTTTGAGTAAGAGCATGTAAATATATTAAATTATATTTTGAACACTAAAATATAGCATAAGCTAAGGTTGCTGGAAATATAATGAGTTAAGGGAAAAAAGATTGCAAATAATAGTTTATCCTGGTTCAGCTCCTCCTCTTGAGCTTACATCCAGCCCTTAAGCAATTACTTGAGATTTCTTCACTATAACACAAGTTTGAGTGGGTGCTTGCCACCTCAATATATCTACAAGTTTAGTTTAGGCACTTGTGAGTCTTTACAATGGCTTACTTTACTAATAAACTTTTTTTTTTCAAGAGAACAACTTCTCTTGATTCTAAGGAAATCTCTCCTTCACCTTTACAAAGGTTTTGAGTATGTGAATCACTCAATTGAAACTTTCTCTAAGAGTAATTTTGAGCATAATGAAGCTCTAATACTCAAATGATGAAGATATTGATGATATTGGCTCAATAACAATGATTTTCATATAATAAGAGTAATATGATCATGAATTTATAGCTTAATGATTTTTAAGGTTAATCTCATGTTTAGATCAGTTTAGAGTATTAAATTTATAGCTTATAGAGTGAAATAAGTGTTAGAGATATCAAGTGACCGTTTATAGTCGTTACATAGTGATTAAAGTTGTTGGTGCAAAATTATGTAAATGACTAGTGCTAATTGATGCGTGTTTTAGAATTTTCATATGTATAGGTGCAATATCTTGCGAGTGACCTGCTAAATCATGTAAGAAAATGCATGTTGTAGAGCCTAGAAGACAAATCACGCAAGGGAGCAAGGTGTCTTCATACGTGATTTGGAACATGGAAGTTATAGAATGAGAAACAAGACTTTTGAGGTCATTTCTTGCGGGGGTACAGGTTGTTTCCCGTGTGATTTAGTATTCAAAGGCTATTCAGTGTGAAAATAGGCTTCTGGGTGCATTTTCATGCGTGAACGCAAGGTGCTCTCTTGCGAGATTTAACACTGGTGCTAAATCACGTGTGCATGACTGCTGCTCTCACGGGTGATTTTGCAGCTTCACTGAACATAATTTCATAATTTCCTAACTTACTCAATACAATTCTAAATTTGACAAATTATATATCGTTGAAAAGATCTTGAAATCTAGTTTTCAATGAAACAAGTTTCACACTCAAATTCAATGTATATTTTGAGATATGATCAAAACAATGGACGAATGTCAAGACTGAAAACTATGCAGAATCAATATCTCATCACTTAACTTCTAAAGTTCATATCTTTCTTAATAGGACTCCATTTTGAATAAATAAACTATCATTGAAAAGCTGTTTGAGTCTATTTTCAAATGAGATATATTTCACATTAAAATGATCTTTGTAGTGAGAGATATGACACGAAACATGACCAAAGGTCAAAATAGATTTTCTGCACAATTTCCTTTTTAAGGCTTAGATTTTAAGTGTTCATGAATTTTTTCAACTTAACTCCATTTTGAGTAAATAGAACAATTTTGAAAACTTTATGGGAGTTAGTAATCAAAACATTTAAAACCTTGTAAGACATATGTGATCAAAGATGAAAACCATGATTATAGAAAATTATATCCCACATTTTCTCTTAAGAGCTAAAATGCATGTTTTGATTTAAGATATCTTGAGCCAATACTTCATATCTAAATCAATGAGTTTAACACAAAGACTTCTAGTCTAATGATATTATACCTATCAAATTCAAGGCTTTCAAGGTGCATCCAAGCTTATATGAATGTCTTCATTCTTCTTAAGCTCTTTTTGGATCATCCTTCTCTTTAGCTTTATGTTCTTCAATCATAAGTGTAGCATGCAAATGATGACTTCAACTTTGTTCCTCTTCATACTTACTCACATCTTCACTTTGGATAACCTTAAATGATATACCATGAACAAAATGGTTAATCCAATTGTTAATATGCATATATTCAAGTTATGAAAGATAATATTATGAATCACTCTTGAATATATGATCAATTCAAAATGAAAAAAAGTATGATGATATAAAATAACTTTGATGCACATAAATCATTTTTCCGAATCTTATGTAATATGGAACAACATAAGTAAAAATACTTTAAAACACTTGTTCCATAGTCATAGTTAACTACTATATATATATGAAAACAATTAGGCATAAGTAGTTAACTTATTTTTATTTAACATCATCAAAACTTAAAGTTAAGTATAATGTTATAAGCCATTATGTCCAACACAGTGGTTTCTTTAGAATATTAACACTGCATCTACTTTGTTATTGGACTAAAGAGCAAACTAAATTATGACAAGGAGGTTTATAAAGCTGAAGAAAACTGCTATTTGTAGTTTTCTGTTAATGGCTTACATATTTCTGTGATTAATTGAGGATGGTTTTGTGTTATCGATCTTAAGATGTTTGTCACCCTAGATATGAAGCATGTCTGATAAATGTCTCATATCATACCCATCACACTGGATGACTTTCTTTTCTTCTGTTTTTTGACCCTATTGATGCTGTAGATAGGATAGACCTCTGGGAGAAATAAATAACAATAATAACAAGCTTTACATGGATTATATGACGTCATTGTGCTCTATCATTATTAAGTTTTTAGGAATATTGTTAATTAAAAAGTCTCGCTCAACAACCTCCAAAAGTGTTCTCTTCGGTCTTCTTCTATGCCTCTAGAAGACATAAACCAATGGAGAAAATCTGAAGGGACTATCTTTGCTTGTGACATCCTTTCATTTACTCTAACAATTTGTCCTTTCTTTCTGAAAGCATGGCGGGTCTAAATATAAAGTCTACATAAAATATATTAGCTCTACCCTTAGACGTAGGATTCCATGATGTAAAACAAAATGGGGAAGTGGGGAGAGAGAAGATAAGGAAGGGGAATTTCAGAAGAAAGGGGGAGAAAATGAAGAGAAATTGAGGGAGAAAGAAATACGGCAATACTCAATAATTCAATCAATAGGTAAAGGTGAATACAAATTAAAGGTTTATGGCTTATTTTATAGAGCTCAAATCCTAATCCTAATGAGACTTGATGATCCTAATTCCTAAGAGATAAGATACTCTTTATTCTAGCAAAGATAAATTTGAATTAAAGATAAGATAAAAGGTAAATTTTTCTTGCTAGTCAGTATTCTATCAATGTCATTTTGCTTGACTGTTAAACTGAATAAATATTGCTTAACACCTATCCATAACTTCCAGGCATTCTGGCAGCCACATAATAGAGCAGTTGCCAGAAGAATACAGAACATGGGATGGAGAGCTGATGGTGGTCTTTGGCTTCTGGTTCGTGGAGGGGGCCTTTACCTTAGCAAGGGCACTGGGGTATGAAACACTGAGAATGTCATTCTAATGTATCAAGAAGTATGTTGGGAGTTATTCCTGAGTACAGTAAATATTTAAATGTAAATAATGAAGGATAGGCTAATAAATGAACTAAATATGGTAAATAATGTTTGAACAAAAATAAATTATTTTCACGTACTTCTTGGTTTCAGTGTAAAGCTTTCCCTTGACTAATATATTTAATTTAATAGCATAATACTTACCTTGTTAACTTTGGTGAGTTGGTCAATTGTTGCTTGTGGATTTCTGCCTTTTCTGAAATTTAGTTGCATGCTTCTGAGAAGAGGAAGTATTTCATTGTTTTAGATAACCGAAGAATTTGAGGAGATTCCTGTTCAAAGCCGAGGTTTTGGCATTCTTGATGTGGGGTATCGCTCAGCGGTAATGAATTCCCGCATTCAGAGATTTGCTTTATTGTTTAAACCATCTTATCACATATTTCTCACATGAAGCAAAAGTTCACAATGTGACTAATAAAGAACCAGCTCATGCAAAATTGATTGCCTCAGAAGGTTATATAAAGTATTTACGTTTTCTTTCTGAATTATCATCACTTCTGTGATTAAAACTGTGGAGTTAGTTATCCAAGCAACTTCATGAATATGGAGAGCTGTTAGGGGTCATGGTAATGTGAGCTGAAGATACCTTAGTGTTTTTAAATTGTATGACTGGTACATTTATATTATGTGTGTTATTTCTCGTGTTTTGCCCATAGATAGACTTGTTAAAAAGAAAAATGATACCCGCTGATGCATAGTGATAAAGAAAATCTATTGATGATTTAAATGAGTCACATTAATAATCGGGATAAGTATGGTCTTGTTATTTGATTGGGTAACTTTAGGATTAGTAATTGTCATCGATAAATGCCTTTGAGTGTGGGAATTGTTAACCCTCTAGTTAGTTAACATTCTCATTCCTTTTTCATTGATTAATTATTATGATAATATTTTGATTATTTGTGATCATTCTTGTTTTGCCTTTTATACTGCATTACCCTCACTAATGCTAAGTATAGAATAATACTAAGCTTCTTGTTATAACTAAATCAATTGTGTATGCAGGAGGAGGCTTGGGCAGCAGGAGGAAGTGGTGTTCTGTTGAGAACTACTAATGGTGGCAAGTCATGGACCCGTGACAAAGCAGCTGATAACATTGCTGCAAATTTATACTCAGTGAAGTTAGTCTTTCTATTACTACAGAATGTGCATTTTTCACATGCATTTATTAATTTAAAGCTGGTCGCATTACAGATTAACTTGCGAGAACATTCCTCCCAACCCTATAGTCCTTCTCAAGTGGCTGATATATTCTCCACTTTCACTTTTGGGAAAATTACTAATAAGTACCACGAAAATTATTTATTCTAAAAGACCTTAAATTTAAAAGTTTTTTATATGACCTTGTTTCTGGGTAAAAACTTTCTCAGTGACTTAAGGTGGTAATATATGCAAAGCTTGGTAAAAAGTAAAATACCACTGACGTTTTACTTTTATGCATTTTACCACGTCACTTGAACAATGTTACATTACATATAAATGCGTGATAATACAATGAGTTGATGTTGCCCAAGGTCTTCCAGTCTTCCGACAGTTACTTGTCCTTCTACTTATATTACCTCCTACTTTATATATTATCATCCTATGTCATTGAGGGCATTTTTCTTTGTACACCCCAAATATTTGATCTGTAGGTCCTTTATAATTTTAAAATTTATTTCATTATCTATATTAGTAATTTTCTCTTTATCTATCCACCTGTCTCGTGATATTACTCCTTTTCATATGTCAGAGAGCAAGGAAGAATATAACTGATAGTACCTAGACCATAATGTTCAATCATAGCACTGGATGGAAAGAAATCGAGGACATGAACTTCTGTTGTGCAGAAGCTATAAGAATGGAAGAAGATAATTTTTTAAAGGTTATAGAACTTCCACCAACAAAATCTTAATTTGAATGTGCTGCAGGTTCATTAATGATAAGAAGGGTTTTGTATTGGGGAACGATGGAGTCTTGCTTCGGTATCTTGGATAACTAATTCAACATGGTAACTATTAGTGTTCCCCTTTTTTTGGTTGACTTGTGACATAAAACTGCAAGTGCTAGCTGCATCATCTTACTCCTGTTCAGTTTCATGTCGGTTGTAATGAGATTGAGAATTGCATCTTAAAGATGCCTGCAGAACATCTTTCTATCTTTATGGATTAATTTATAGTCTAAAGAGAAAGATACACCGGAAAGCAAAAATAGGAGGTGTGAATGAAAATAATAGATTGAGAAGAATGGTTAAATTAAACCAGGACAATAATAAATTTGGAATGGAAGTAGCCTTAAAGCATTTCCAACTGTCAGGAACAGGCTATATGAAAATAACTCGTGTCTTCTATGTTGATCTTTCTAAAACATCATCTTACATCTGTCTTACCCAGACCCTCAAACATGGGATCAGGGTCCCTCTTACTCAAAACAATTAAATCACAAAGCAAGCACGAGTTGGAAAACCGGTTTAAGTTGATCTGGATAGTTTGATTATCTGAATGAAATTTAGAATTTACTATTTGTGAACTCAGTGCTAGCAATTTTGTGGCAGAATACATATCCACTCTTATCATCCGTTGCTACGGAGAGAGTTCTGAACCGACATCAAGTTGATGCAGATTCTGCCCAGAACTTTGAAGTAGACAAAAGAAACGCAAACTTCTGCTGTGTAGGGTGTCAGATTAATTCAATTTCACACTGCAATGGTTACTTTACTATTATTTTGGTATGCAATTCCATGTCCCATGTGTTGTACTGTGGAGAGAATGCATTAGTTGTGAAGCGAAGTCAATGACTGACAGCGGTTATTCCAAGTCAGCATTAAAACTTGCAGGTGTTATATATGCACGCGGTTTTGTTTGAATATTAGTTCGTATGCACATGGTTATTCCAAGCCAACAGTATTTTTCTCTTCCCAACATTCCAATACGCCCCCCACTTTAGGTTCCTTTGTCAAAAATTAAATTACAATGATTTTTAGATCATATTTCTCTGGTCTTATTTATAGGGCAGAAAGAGAAGAAAAAGTTTGGTCCTATTTGTAAAACATTTGTCAAATTTCAATGCTCCTCTTTATATTTTTGCTCTTATTAAATGCTTCTGATAAAAATACTAGTAATGAGATTTAAAAATATTTATTAAAGGTAAAGAGAAAACATATTAAATTGTAAGACAAATTTAATGAGGTTTAAAGTTTTTCTTGGTTTTGATGAAATATGCTGGAAGTGAATTATAAAAAGAACTAGATGGAATAAGATTAATCTAGTGTCTTGAATGGTCAAGTTGCTCTATGAGCCCTTAAGATACTTTAGATTCATCTCTAATGCTCTTTTCTCTTCCTCTCATTTATCATCTCTCCCTCTCTAAACTTTCACTTAAGTCTCATTACTTTTTAACTTTTCAGTTGCGCAACAAAGATCTTATCCTCTTCTAATAGAAAGTGATCCTAAATCCTAACTCTACAAATTCTCAATGCGATATCATTTGTCAATTTTAGGTGTTTTTTTATGAAAAATGCTTCATATTTTATAAATATAATGTTTAAAAGAAAATTGGAAGGTGATTTTAATGGACATTTGTGACTTGTATTTTTTTGCTTGATTTGTGAGTGACAATAAGAAATGTCAGTGTCTATTTCATTCCATCCCCTTCTCCCTCCCACAATAAACCATGTTAATCAAATGGTAGTTTTAAATAGTTATAAATTTTCATAGTTAATAGGACCTTATAAAAGGGATTGGGGGAGTATTATTTAATATTCAACATGCAATCTTTTATATTTGAGTGAATCTACATAATTCTTGCATTGATTATTTAAATTTACATGTTAATTTATAAGTCGACCTCTTAAATTTACATTTTGAAATTTACAATCTTACAAAGATGAACACTTGGATACATCTTAAGGGATTAATTTGTGCATTTAGATAGTCAATTTTTAAATCTAAGAAATTCACATGTACATAAAACAATGAAAAACGAATTAGTCATTAAACTTGTCAAAGCACTATTTTAATAAATAATGATCTAAACAATAGTTGAACAGTGATTAAATTGATCATAATAAACTAGTCAAAATATTAATTTAACAATTTACTGGTTCAACTAATCAAATTGACTCAAATTTTTATATTATGCTTGTAAATATAAAAGTATTAAAAATATTATTTTTTAAAATATTTTTTATTAACATCAGGGCGGAGACATAGCTAGTCAATTGTAAGAGGAGGTGGGCTAACTGGCATATGTGTTAGCTTATAAAAAAATTAATTACAATCAAGTTTAAAAGAATTTAAAAATAATTTAATTAAATCATGAAACTTATTTATAAATAAGTTTTTTATTCAAACCTAATCATAATTTTTCAATAAAAAGGTGGCGAGAAATTCCCTAGAAAAAATCCAAACCAAATTTAACGTGTTATTAAAAAACGTCAATCAATTTGTTTTATGTAGAGGGCACTTAAAAGTAATTACTCACCACCACATTCTTTCTCTGCATTTTAGAAGACTTTACATGTCTGTTTATCTATAAATTATGAATATTATTAAAGTTGACTAGGTACCAACAGAATGGGATTATTTTTAACTGGGAAAGTTAGTTTCTTATAATATAATGAATTCAATTTTAAATTTTTATTAAAAAAAATGTCTATATTTAATATCAATTTTTTTACTTAGTTATAGAAGAATACTTGCGAATAGTAAATTAAAATCTTATTTTTTATAAATATATTAAAAATATATTTTATATTAAAAATATATTTTATTTAATAAAAATATATGTAAGAAACAAAATAGTAAAAGATCATTTATAATAAACTTGGTTAATGTTATGAATGCTAAAATGATAGTGAATATACACTTGTTCACGTTTTCATCTTTAGTTTCTTACTATCATAATTGATTATTTTTTTATTTACCTTTACTCTTTGTATGATCTTTGACATGCAAGACTACGTGTATGAATAAGAATTGTTATTTGTATTAAAATATAGAATATTTTATAAAAAATTTTTTGCTACTCTTGTCTTTACTTTTTTTTTAATATCTTTATTTTTAATTACTTAATTTTATGACAGTTAATAAATTTTAAGGTTAATTACAAAACTATCTCAAAAATTTATATGCATCTCATATTTTAAAGAATTTTTTTAACATAATTTCACCTGATGTTTTTTAATTTAGTATAATGTTGGATTAACGGAGTTAAACTTTTGACCCTTAGTTTGACTTTGACCTGTTGTGCTGGCAGCCACATGGCTTCCCACGCTGACATTTGAAAAATTTTTATCATGCCACGTTTGATCTTTTTCTTTTTCAACCACAACCCTTTTTCTGGTGCTCTCCCAACCATCCTCACTTCAGGAGAAGAATCAATTACAGACCCCAAAACCCAGATCAAAACTCAAGAAGAATCCCTACCCCCGAAATTAAAAAAAAACCTAGATTTAAGACAAATCATAATCAACAATCTCGTATCTACAATCAATACAAACCAAAAATAACTGACCAACCAGATAAAATTGAAACAAATACAAAGCGGATTTCGATCAGAATCATCAGCTGGATCAAGAAAGTCCAACACACTGATCTCAAAGGGAATGGAAGTGAGAAACGAATTGCATTGAAAAACCCTAGATAAGAAATAATCGCCATTTAGAAGTTGAAAAACCTAAACTAGGTTTGGATTAGAATTAACACTCCTAAGGTCACCTGTGCCTTTACACCCAGCATTGAAATTGAATCTTGTTGAATCCCCTCCCATTATGATTTACAGCTTAAGCTCTTCCTTTTCAAATTTGTGTTGAAATCCTCGGTGTAGAATCGTGCTGAATCCTTGCACCTGCACCATGCTCGCATTGAATCTCCACCCCCAGATCTCCGCGCTAATCTTGCTTGCGCCTGCACCATATTCGCAATTCAGATCGGCCTAAGCTCACTCGCGTCTCTCTCTTCATGCACTTGCATCTCTCTCTTTGTGATCCAGGTCTCAGCCTAAGCTCACCTGTGTCTCTCTCTTCGCGACCTAGATGACGAAGATTGAAATTTGGGTTTTGGTTCCTCATATATTTGGGTTTATGGATGGAAGAAGAGGGACGAAAGACAGGTGGGGGAGAGGAAGGAAGGAGGGAGGGAGAAGAGAGGAAGTGAGAGAAAAGTCAAAGGGTGAAGATGGTAGAGAGAGATGCTTCAGGTTGGAGAAGACGATGATCAAACGTGGCAATGTCCACATGGCTCCAAGGTTGGAAGGAAGGAAAAAAAATAAATCAATAAAAAATGACATGGACTTACATATGGCAGCGAAGAAACATTTAACGACCAAAGTTTGAATTTGTTAACCTAGAGTGAGATTGCACCAAATTAAAAATGTTGGGTGAAATTGATTTGTCATTTATATTTGAGAGAATAATAGAGGGGTCTAAAAATTGAAGAAGTTAGAGAATCGCAGGGTTCGTCCTATGGAGTGCTCTCTCGACATTTCCCTTAACGAAAAGGATGCTGCACCAGATCATCCTGATGACAACTGATCAACAAAGAAGGTCAAAATACGTGGGAATGAACAGGATAAAACCTCACCTTCCATGGATATGGAAGCTGACTGTGAGGCTGCAAGTGATGAGGACGAACTGATGTTCCAGACTTTTGAAGACACCCTTCCTAAGTCCGATGACGAGGAAGAGGAAAAGGTTGTTGACACCCCAATGGCAATCACTGAAGATATTCTAACTCCACCATCTTTTAAGGACAAGCTACTGAACAACGTACCATCCACAGAGGCCGGCGGCAAAAAAAAGACAGGGGAGCTAACCATCGAAGTCGACGATATTATAATAGAGAAAACAGGGGCTATCCCCTCTATCTCCTTCTCCGATAGAGTTAAAGAGGCTCTTTTTGAAAATATGAAATTTTCTGTGGTGATTAAATTACTGGGGCGTCCCATTGGGATTAAAACACTCCGTGACCTCATCATCAACCTTTGGAATCCATCTGACAATTGGAAAATCAGTGACTTGGAAGGCAACTGCTTTGTTGTGAAGTTCCAGAGCAAGAAAGAATATGACGCTGCATTAACTAGAGGACCTTGGGTTATCTTCGGTCATTACCTGATTGTACAACCTTGGACGCCATCTTTCTCCCCCAAGACTTTTAATGTCACAAAGGTAATTGGATGGATACGGATGCCAGGTTTATCATTTCATTATTACTATAAGAGTGTACTGAGATGTATAGGTGAACTCGTCGGGCAAGTAGTGAAGATTGACTATAACACTAAAGATCGGGGAAGGGAGAAGTTTGCAAGAATGGCGGTGGTACTCGATCTTACCCAACCACTGACGTCTAGAATATCCATGGATGGTACTGTGCAAGTTATTGAGTATGAGGGCCTTTCAGTTATTTGTTACCATTGTGGTAGGTATGGTCACCTTGAACAGGCTTGCCCTCTCAAGAACCCAGCTCCGCCACCGCCGGTGACTAATACAAGCTCGATGACGACAATGGATAGTACAGACACATCATGCACAGAACCCAAGTACGGACCTTTCATGAAAGCTACTAGACCAGGATGGAGGACTGACAGGGGGTACCGTAAACCGCTGGAAAATGTCAAACCAAACTTTAACCATGGCTCTAGATTTGACCTCTTAGCTACATCAGAGGATGTACCTATGGAGACCGCAGAGGCGATGAAGGGATCAAAAAAGAATGAAGCATCTCTGCCTTTAGAGAATGACCTACGGGAAACTAACACTAAGGGGGAAACACATCAGACACATATGAGACAAAATAGAGATGAGAAAGCTGTACACCAAAAAGGTGATGTCAAGCAACTTGCTCTGAAACCAAAAGCCATCCAAGGTCAACAAAAGTCTGCAACTATGACTATAGAGAAAGACTCCCTATTTACCTCTAAAGCGTACCAAGTTATGCGTGTGAGCACCACACTCGATGCTAGCAAGCATGCCGCTGTTGTTGTCACGGATAACAGAATCACTCTAAAAAAACAATCCGGACCACACACCACATTCCATAAAAAAACCCCATAAAAGGCCACCACACAAGCCCAACAAGGCAAGGAAAATAGTAAACCCAAACCACCAGATAAGACCCTACATAAGACGGGAGTACATGTACAGCCCAATTTCAAATTGAAAAACCACAAGCCTCTTGAGGAGAATTTAAGCTTGACTATCCCAGGAAAAATTAAACAGGCTTTGGTGGAAGCATTTGAAGCAATGGAAGATGATAAAGACTTTGTCTATAGCAAGCCAGATGATGTGGACGGTGTCGAAAACTCCAATATGGAGTTTTAGTTTTTCATCCTCTCAATTTTGTTTTTATGATTTAAAACATTATTGTATGGAATCGCAAAGGGGTAGCATCTAACAAGTTTTTGTGTACTCTTAGGTCACTCAGTAAAGGGTTTATGGTTGACCTTCTTATCCTTATTGAACCACGTGTCTTAGGACTTAAGGCAGACAAAGTTATTGCCAGGAGTGGTTTTCCTTACTCTCATAGGATTGAAGCCTCAGGATTTGCAGGTGGAATCTGGCTTTTATGGAACCAGAAACTTGAGGCAAGAATACTGCATAACCACCATTAGATGATGATCACTTCTGTTAAATGGAATGGGGATGACCGAGAGTTTCTCTTCTCTGTTATCTATGGCAGCCCCCGAGCATCTATTAGAAAACACCTGTGGAAGGATCTTGCCACAATAATGACCAACATTAATTCACCTTTGCTCCTAGCAGGCGACTTCAATGCAACTTTAACATCTAATGAGAGGAGCGGCTGTAGAGGAAGAATACCACCTGGATGTCCTCACTTTCTCAACTTTGTGAGCTCTCATGGATTGCTTGACTTGGGCTTCAATGGGCCTAAATTCACATGGAAACGGGGCTTAACTATGGCTAGACTCGATCATGCACTATCAAATGAGGATTGGATATCCTTGTTTCCTCATGCTACTGTTCAACATTTACCCAGAATCAACTCAGACCACAATCCACTACTCATTAAGCTAAGTCTGACAGAACTCAGATCTATTACTACAAAGCCTTTTAGATTTCTTGCAGCGTGGATAGCATACCCCCTTTTTCATGAATTTGTCCAACAAACTTGGATCCAGGATGGAGATTTTTTTAACAATATTGCTAGATTAAAATATGAGGTAATTAGTTGGAACCATGAGGTTTTTGGCAATATATTCACACGCAAGCGGTAACTCTTGTCTCGTTTGGGGGGCATCCAGAGGGCTATAGAAAATTCCTGCTTCACGCAGAGACTAATTGAACTTGAAAGGCAACTAAAGGATGAGTTTGAATCTGTTAGTCTCCAGGAGGAATTACTTTAGTTGCAGAAATCTAAGTCTGATTGGATTAACCTTGGACATAGAAACATAGGCTACTTTCACAAGCGAGCAATTATACTGATGCGACGAAGAAAAATTTTCATACTAAAGGATACTAATGGAGAATGGATTGATGATGAGTTCCAACTACAACAGATGGTATCAACCTTCTTTCGTAATCTCTATTTGAATAATGGTGGCACCCCTACACCATATGTTAATAGAGGTCAATATCCTAAAATTTCAGATAGCCAATACTCCCGCCACTGCCAAGAAATCTCTTTACTAGAGATTAAAACTGCTCTTTATGACATGAATCCTACTAAGGCACTTAGGGAAGATGGCATTCATGCTTTGTTTTATCAAAGTCAATGGGAAACAACTCACCAATCTCTTCAAAAAATGATACAAGATTTCTTTTGAGGGGGTGATCTACCAAGCCTATTAAGACAGACTCTGATTGCTCTAATCCTAAAAGTTGACCGGCCACAAATACTTAAGGAATTTAGACCTATCAACCTTTGTTCAGTCCCATATAAAGTAATTATAAAGATCATTGCTAATAGACTCAAACCTCTCATGCCCCAGCTGATTCTCCCATACCAATCAAGCTTTGTCCAAGGGCATAATATTATCGACAACATCATTGTTACTCAAGAGGTTATCCATTCTATGAAATGGAAGCAAGGGAAAACAGGTTGGATGGCAATAAAAATTGATCTTGAAAAAGCATTTGATAGGCTAAGATGGGATTTCATCCAAGACTGTCTCGAAGATGCTGGATTGCCTGCTCAACTGGTCCAAATTATAATGAAATGTGTCACAGGACCCTCCATGAAGGTCTTATGGAATGGCAAGCCCACAGAGGAATTTACACCCTCTAGAGGAATTCGGCAAGGGGACCCTCTCTCCCCTTATATTTTTATCCTATGCATGGAATGGTTATCCCAAACCATTGCCAATGAAGTTACGCGAGGATGTTGGCAAACTGTAAGAATGGGTAGGCAAGGACCACAACTCTCACATTTATTCTTTGCTGATGACCTCATTATATTTAATGACACCTCAGTACAACAAGTAAGAATTATTAAAAAGATTCTTGATGATTTTTGTCATGCATCAGGTCACCTTGTAAGTCAATCAAAGTCAAGGATTCATTTCTCTCAAAATGTGTCTGTTGTTGAGGCTAGAGGAATTTGCAATGTCCTCAACTTCCAAAAGACCGAAAATTTAGGGAATTACCTTGGAGTCCCTCTCCTGCATGAAAGAGTAACTAAAATGACTTACAGATACATTGAAGAGAAGGTCCGGCTGAAACTTTCAAAATGGAAGGCTAAAAGCCTATCTCTTGCTGGGAGAATCACCTTAGCCAAATCAGTCTTAACCACGATACCGTTTTATGCAATGCAGTCAGCTAAGTTGCCCTCTAGCACTTTAAATTGCATCAACAAGCTGATTAGAGACTTCATCTGGGGTGCTTCTGAAGACCATCATTCCATGAACTTAGTTAAATGGGAAGAACTCTGCCAACCAATTGCAAAGGGGGGTTGTGGCATCAAGAATTTGGAAGTACAAAATAATGCTTTTATTGCCAAGCTTATATTTCAATTCTTCTCCAAACCTAACTTACTGTGGGTACGGGTGCTTCGAAGTAAATATGGATGGGACAAAAATGGTATTAATAGTTTAAAATGCAAATGTGCATCGCATCTCTGGAAGAGTCTGGCTAAGGTTTGGAGTGATGCCCAGGTAGGGATCAAGTGGACACCTAGAGATGGCAAATTGGTCAGCTTCTGGAATGATAACTGGGTTGGGGATCTCGGACCACTTAAGCATCTTGCATATGCCAACATATCAAGGCAAGATCTCAAAATACCCATTGCTAACTTTATGACAAATGAGAACCAATGGAACTGGCCAGTCTTTCAACATCTCCTACCAACTGATAGTTGCATGGCTATTAGTAATGTTAGACCGCCACGACCAGAGGATGGTGCACCTGGATGCTACTGGTGTCTCAACGGCAATGGTAATTTCTCGGTTTCCTCTGCATATAAGGCAATTTGTAGCCCCCTTGATGATACAGCCAAGCATTGGAAAATGATTTGGAATTGGCCAGGACCACAACGGGTAAGATCTTTTCTCTGGCTTGCTGCGAAATATAAACTTCTCACAAATGTAGAGAGAGTTAGACGACATCTAGCTGATGATGATATCTGTAGCTACTGCTGGACTACCTCAGAAGATTTAAATCACGTTCTACGAGATTGTAGCTTCGCACACTTGACATGGCTTCAGATTGTCCCAGTAGATTTGATCATTGAATTCTTATCAAAACCCTTTGACAAATGGCTGTTATGGAATATTCAACCAATTGAAACCTCTGTTGAATGGCAACTCACGTTCGACCTGACTTGTTGGAAACTTTGGGAGGCAAGGAACAAACGAATTTTTACTACAGAGGAAACTCATCCATCGAGTATCGTCCGTGGTGTTCGTACGCTTACCAACCATATAGTCCAAGCCAAGGAATATTTTAAGGATTTAGTCTTAGCTGTTAGCATCTCTACCTTTTTTAGTTTTGCTATCCTTTTAATTCATCTCCTTGTAACCTCTCTATTTGTACCTTCATTATGACTTGAATAATATTTCACCTTTCTACACAAAAAAAAATGTTGGGTGAAATTACACTAGAAGATGCTTCAGGAGTTGAGGTACACTTGGCTAAAGTGTTTACACTTTACTCTCTCTAATTCTATTTATAAGTCATTTTTACCAACTTTATTAATACCAATACAATAAAAGTAAGTAAAATTTCAAACATGCCCCTATATAACAAATATAAAAAGTAATGTCTTATTACTTTTTTTTTTCATGAAGGGTAATTTTAAAAACACTTTTAAATATTATTTAAAAAGACGCACCATGACTTATAAATAAAATTAAATGAACTTTTTAAAATGAAACTTATAAATAAGACCGGAGGAGTATACTTAACCTTAAGTTTTCAAAACACGTCACCATCAGCGGCTTCTTCTCCGTCTTGCATGAAGGGTATACTTAACCTCTTAATTATTATTAATTTTTTTTTCAAAACACGCCAAATCAACATCTCATGCAACCGGGAGGAGTATTTCTTGAATATACATACATACATACATACATATCTCTCTCTCTCTCTCTCTCTCTCGGAAAAGGTTCTCCCTCCGTTCCTGGCGACAGAAGGTCGAGGTTGGCGCCGCCGTTCTTGCCTCACCATCTGCGGCTTCTTCTCCGTCTTGCATCTCAGGTGTGTTGTCGCCCTCTCTTTCCCTTTTTTGTTTTTAATTTCTTCTTTGCCTGGTGGCTCTTGTGTGTACTCTTCGGTCCCAAGTCCCAACTAAGCTCCTTGTCACTGTTGGTCCAACAATTTCTAGTAAATTCATCCCCACTCCGCCCACGAGAATGTCTAAATGGGGACTGTTCAGTGGTTTTTTAATCCTGCAACTAATTGAAACTTGTGCTTAAATGTTTAATCGAAACTTTGCTGGGTTTAATGCTGAGTTTGAATTATCTATTCGACAATGTTGCAGCAACTCTTTTTAAATTATCAGACTCCATCAAGTACTGCGCCAAGAGGGGCTAGATTGATCCGCAGAGTCATTCTTCCTCTAACCATGGTAAGACGAGCTATTCCCTTTTGTTCTTTCTTTAACAACGTTAGTTTGGAGTTTTTCTTGTCCATGTACGGTATTCTTCTTATTACTGAATCGCGCGTTAATTTTCTTCAAGTTTCTTGGCCATCCAACAAAATCCCCCCCTTCTGGTTCTGCTATTTTATGGTCTTTAGCTCTGGCTTCACCTGTTGTTGTTAGTTGTTACTCGTTATCTTTTTGAATGAAACAGAGGAAAAAGAAAAATTTCTTTAGAAAGCCTGTTGCCGTCAAGAATCAGAGACAGCAACAGCAGCCGTCTGTGGATCCTATCACGGGAAAGAAGATCCCGAAGAGTTTCGTGTTTTCAAGAGGGAAGTTGCCTGGTCCTCTCAGGCAACTTCAGATGGACCTGAGAAAGTTGATGCTGCCTTATACTGCTCTCAACCTCAAGGTGGACGTTTCTAGATTGTTTGTTACTTTTATTGAGTTTCTATTTATGCTCTGCTGTATATGTCATTTCCACAAGATTAATCAAATTATAAGAATGAATTTATTTTTAATTGTGAAGTGCCATCTGTGTGCTTGCAAGTCTAACTAATGGGCAGAAGGCAGGTCTCTCTGAACATATTAGAATGAAGTGTGTATACTTACCATTATGGAAGTCACCTAATAAACTGTGCATTCTTGGAATTTACCATCACGAAGTGTCCACTTGATTGTAAAATGACTGTCATACCATGAAGGGTTTAAACTTTGGAGAAAATTGCTTCTTGAATTTAGCTTAGGAATCTAACCACTGTTGGAAGTTAAACTTGATTATTGGTCGCTTGAAGTTTGCAAATATTGATGTTTCTCTGCCAGATTATTGATTTGCAGCAAGATGTAATTCATTAGGAATCTGCAGACTGCACTCTGTATGTATTTTCATATATAGCACTTGTTTGAATTCTTTTTTGTTGACTATACCTTTTTTTCCCCCTATCTGCAGGAAAAGAAACGAAATAATCTGAAAGACTTTCTAAATGTTGCTGGACCTATGGGTGTTACACATTTCCTGATATTGTCAAAAACTGCAACTGCATCTTATTTGAGGGTTGCAACAACCCCGCAAGGACCTACTCTTACTTTTAAAATAAATGAATACTCATTGGCAGCTGACATTGCTCAGTCTCAGTTGCGTCCTCGATACCCAAAAGATCTTTTCAAAAATTCAGCTCTGGTAAAATATCTTGGCCTCAGCTGTTCATTGAAAGCTACTTGCTTTTTGTGTTCTATCTCCAGATTTTATAGTTTGCTAGTAGAATGTTGTGAAATGATTGTTTACTATGCTGGTGAATTATTTGGTAGATTGTGCTTTCTGGTTTTGTGAGTGGAGACCTTCCTCTACAGCTTACAACTAACATGTTTCAGAACATATTCCCAACAATTGACGTTAAAACTGTAAGTCTTAAACTCCGCAGCACACATGATGAATTACTTGATGTTGAAGTCCTTCATCTTCTATTGTTGCTTAATGTTTTGTTTCAGGTTAAACTCTCCTCTTGCCAGAGAATTGTGTTGCTTAATTACAACAAGGAGAGGAAGCTCATTGACTTTCGGCATTATTCCATAAGATTGCAACCTGTAGGTGTTTCACGCAGAATAAGAAAATTTGTGCAAAATCATCAAGTCCCGGATTTAAGGAATCTTCATGATGTGAGTGATTTTATCACAAAGTAAGACACTTGCTTTCCTATTTTATTTATCGTGGCTTTTGCTTTTAAACTTTAAATAATGGTGGGGGAGGGAGCTAGTATAGTTTGTTCATGGTATTTGTAGTTAGGTTTTCCTGACCTGTTGCACCCGTTATATTTTCTGGATTACTTGTCTGAGAACGTGAGATTGGCACCTGAGACAGTTACGCAGGTGAATTAACCAAATGATTTTTCAAGGATTCTTAGACGCCTTTATAATCTTTTATGAGCATCTTTTACATTCTGAGAAAGAACATGAATTGGGAAATGGGAGAAAAATTGTGTTAACAACAGAAGACTTAATCACACTGAATATTCCTCTTTGTTTTTGTTCCTGTTCTAACTTCTTAGGTTTTGTTACTTTGTGGTTTGGAAGGGCTGGCTATGGATCAGAGAGTGAGGCAGATGATGAAGCAGCAACAGTGACCTTGGCAAGTGATCTTGGTCGAGTTAATCGTGCTTCTACAAAAAGTGCTGTGAAGCTTCAAGAGGTTGGGCCCAGGATGACACTCAAACTAATCAAGGTTGAGAAAGGGCTGTGTTCGGGTGAAGTGCTCTTCAGTGAATATGGTACAGTATCTCTTGCTTTTCTCCTTCCTTCAGGAAAAAAATTATCGGTTAATAGGAATGGTAAATTGTTAAATAAGGGCATTGGCATTCTTCCATTGAAAAAATTTTATTTGTGTTGAAAAAAATCACTGCTAGAGAGGTGATGGTACTTGTTAGATCTCTTGTTGTGGACTAGAGATTGCCATTTGCCTCAGATGGTTGCTTTGTGCTTGCTTGGTTTCATCACCCGTAGTCTTTTTTGACCTGGTTTGATTTTGAACATGCTTAAGATCATACATAATTCGTCTGATAGTTTCCTTTGTCTTCTTTTCTTCATTTCGCTTAATCATGGTTTTTTGAAATCTTCAATTGGATTCCCCTCCCTTGTTAGGGAACGATGCTGACAAAGATAAAAATGATGACGAGACGCAGGAGAATGAAGATAGTGAAGGTGAAGATGAAGATGGGAATGGAGAAGATTCAGAGGACATTGAAGATGAGGAGGATTGATTGAACGATTTTTTTTAAAAAAATTTAAAAGCTGTCGGGTGTCATAACTATACAGAAGTTGCCACCAGAATTTTTTCATCCACCATTCTGGTGGCTGTAGCTCACATTCTGTTTCTTCATTTTTTTTTCCCTTAATGGCTTTAGTACGTATCTCTTCGTTTATGACAAACATTAGTTCCTTAAGATCTATGAAGATCACAAGAATACCAGGCAAAAATGGTCATTTTGAGAACTTCTGTCTTTTTTATAATTTCGCATAATGGAGCTTAAGTTCAAATGAGTAGTTTCTCTACAAATTTACTTTAAAAGGGGGTAGAGTTTGAAATTTATGAATGAAAAAATTATATTGCAAGAATCATTGCTAATTTAAATTCAATATGTTCTAATCTAGGTTAATGAGTGAAAGTGAATGAGTGGGGAAAAAAACGAGCTGCCGATTTTTTCTATTTTTATTCCCACGCATTTTTTCCCTTTGGGTTTGGGGTCTCACATTATCTGAAATCTAAATGGAGATAAGCCTGTTCCTTCCACAGACAACTGGACCGACCGGCCGCCCTTTGGGTTTGGGGTTGCACCAACCAAATGAGTTTCTAATCTTCCTATGTGATTTTTCGACGAGGACACAACCATAGTTAAGACAATAATCAAGCACAAATAATTAACTCATAGTTTGACTATGAAATAAGAAAAATTACAGAAAATATTTTTTGTTATTTCAAATAATTATAAAAAGGAAAATGTTAGGATGATAAAAATAATATATCAAATAAGTAAAGTGGGAAGCATTTGACTGAATTTCGTATCTCAATATTTTATTTTGTTTCATTTTTTTATTTTTTTCACCAGAGGAAAGAATGAGGAAGGTGCTGCCCGGAGAATGGGGAAGAAACAGTGATCGGAATTGAGGAAGAGAGAAGAACACAAAGGAAATTCCTCCATTCCATTCTTTCTTGCTAATCGAACTGCTCTTTCCAATTCCTAAAGCTGATAAACATTTCATATGGGATTGGTTCGTTGATTCGCGAAATTCAGATGGAAAGCCAAAGGTGGAAAGAATACAACGGTGATAACCATCGGTTTTTGTCTGAATATGATGATCTCGTCCTAGATCGGTGCGTATCCAATAGAAAGCATAGCCCGCCCCTTCCGCCCTCTGCATTTCCTTCTAGCCTTGGCTACATCCGACATCCTGTCTCCAAAATGGACACTCTCGCTGGAATCGCAATCAAGTACGGCGTTGAGGTATTTCTTCCATCCTTTTTTCTCCCTTATAATCTGATTTGATACTGCGTTATCCATGTTCAAACAGTAATGCCAATCGCACCACGTGCGGTTGTGTCGTTGCTGAGGGCACATCTTTCTATTGCGGTGCAACATGTTAAAGCAATACAAGTTGACTGGAAATAAGACATCAATGCACCTAAAGCAAGAAAATCTTTTTAATGCTACAATTCCGTGATATGTAATCCCTTTTTGACAAGTTACCAAGCAGCTTTTGCCAACACTCTGCATTCCTTCTGAGTTTGATGCACTACTCACCAGTTTAGAAAAGAGAAAAATTGTTCCAAATTCCAAAGTTCCCTTCACATTGTAATACGAATCTCATGATGGAGTCATTCTTTCTTCAACTGTAACGCTTTGATAAATTGTAGGTATCAGACATCAAAAAAATGAATGGCCTCGTTACAGACCTTCAGATGTTTGCTCTTAAAACTCTTCACATCCCACTACGGGGAAGACACCCTCCATCAGATGATTCCACTACTACAGGGTATGTATGTCTGCTGAATTGAGGAACGGTACACAAGAACTTCAGTCTTTTGATTATTTTGTTTCCTTGGAGATTGGAATTGAGTAACTCGTCTGATACAGTTAAATTTGGAAATTGGACACAAGGCATAGGTATTTCTAATCCCTTTAACATAGGTCATTCATGCAATGTTGATGCACGGACATATTTGCTCACACATGAGTATAAGATCTTTTTGGTCGATAATGCAAAGTTGAAGCTGAGGTTTCATCTAAAATGAGATGTTATGGTATAATTGTAAATAAATAATAAAAAATTAATAATAGATATTCTTTAAAGCAAGATGTTGTAACGTATCTATTATCATCATTATAAAAAATTATCTATTGTCATCTATTTTATATTCAGGAGTTTCTGACGAACTGCTTGGCGAAGCCATGGTGCCTGCACTTAGTAATCTTGCTTCGTCACCTCATTACATTTTTGCCGCAGTTTTATTTACTATAGGTTTGGTTGAAACCTTAGAATATAATTTGGGCTTATAAAGAAACTCAGGGATATATAGAAGACTAAACAATTGCAAAGTCAAAAATTCAAAAATTCAATTTATTTATCTCTGTGTGGCGCTAAAACTTGCATTGGAAAATTATCAAACGAACGCTAGTTGGGGGGAAAAGAGTTGCCATGGCCATCACTTTCGAAATCAACAATTCATCTGGCTCATAAAATTGGTGTTCTTATCATGGCATAATCTTCACGCATACTCACATTTATTTGCACTTACCATATTCCAATGATTTCTTTCGCATATAAAGCTTACTAATATATAAAGAAGGCAAATATTGAAGGTAAGAATTTGAGCTCAGGCAAAAAGAAGGTTGGAATTTAAATAGTTTGTTGCATTAGGTGACACATAGTAAGATGTGAAGACATAAAAAACGACATTTGAAGCTTATGGAAACCCAAGAATGATGTATCATATCACTTTTAATTGCACTACACAGTTTCTATTTGGGTGTGAGTGGTGTTCTATTTGACATATAATACACTGATGACCAAAACGTTTCCCTGCTCTACAGACACAGGACGCCGGATGAACTGTTTGATTTGCAACATTCTTTGACAACGGATTCTCCGCTGCGGAAGTCCTCCCCGGGTGGGAACTCTTTGCAAGGTTTCTATAGAATTAAACCGATGGACAAGAAAACCATATCCGATGACTTTCAGATGGCAGTGAACGGAAAAGGGGCTTCTAATTTCTCCGAAGATGTATCATCCTCGCAGAACTTAGCTTCGACCCACCAACCTCTGAGTCGTCACCGAAAATCTAAAAGTCTAGTTGATATCATTTTGAGCGAGATTGAGGAGCAGCCTGATATTTTGCCTGCTACCGAGGAGACGCTCTTGAGGGAGGATAATAGCGGCGCCTGTGGGTTTCCATCAAGAACAGGAAAAGGCCTGGCTCTCAGACAGAAATCAGCAAGCCGAGCTTCATTGACCACAGATTCTGAAGCTAGTGCCTCAAATTCTGGGCCACTTGCTTTGGAGGACATTTGCCGAACTGATAGCCCCTCTGGTGTTAAGAAATCATCGAGCACATCATGTTTATATGACGAGGCTAGATCCCCATCTATCTGGCCAACTTCAAAATGGAGTTTGAGACCAGATTTTCAGGCAAAGCCGAAGTTTGATGGCTTGCCCAAGCCCACAATTGGTCGAAGAAATAAAGCTGCAATCGATAAACATATATAGTTGCTTGCCACAACAATTTTGATTCTTTTATCAGGCTCCCCAACATAAGCTACTATGTTTACGGATATGGAGAAGGTAAATTAGATTTCCTTTCTTTGGGCACACAGATTTCCTTTCTTCTTTTACAAGAATCAAATATCACACATGAATCTTTCAACAGGTCACTATTTTTTTTTCCATCTACAGTTTACCTCATCACTCTTATAGCTCCTGCATCAACGTGATAGCATAGCATTTAAGCCTTGAACACAAATGTCTCGCTACGGAGACAAACTTTGCCACTTAGTCTTGCTGCTCCTTAGCGATGTTAAGAGAATAGTAACGAAAGGAATACCTTTGAGAAACTAGCATTCATTCATGCATACATCATAATACATAATCCTCGTGATACCAACTTGGGTTCGCACAACTTGGCAGAATATTAGTTTAATAGATCTCCAGTAAGCGGCCAAGTTGCTCATTGCGCATAATAATTGTTTTCCAGTTGGGGCAAAAAAAGTCATTTAGAAGTTATTTCAACAGGGAATTACTGTACATGTCCACTTGGCCAGGTTTCAGCTTGCAATTTTTTTTTTATTTTTTTTTTTACCAGCATCTTCATATAAACATGCATAATTGAATAGGCAGTTCGTCCACGTGCAAGTAATACTCAACTCCCAAATCTATTAATCAGTTCCACCTTTATGAGGCAAAGACAAGAATTTCATTTGTTACAGACAAACTACTGTTAGTTAGACAATGGAATGTAAACGAACGTAATATCATCAATCTAGAACATGCTCAAGGTCACATATGAAATCAAGAACACGCACCAGCATTATATTCATTATGAATGTCGTAGACAAGACAATACGATTTAAATTTATTGAATTAATTGTAACGTTACATTTTCTATTATTTAATCTATACATACATACATATATATGGAATAAGAAACCGTGGTATGGTTCTCAAGAACTAGACTAATTCATTCAAGGCTCTAAGCAATCACATTTGATAACATTTCAAAACAACTATCAATTTCGACGTGTTGAAGTGAAATGGAATTCCTACTTAAGTAATACATAAGACGACGTTTACTTGCTTCCAATCTCTCAAGTGAAGAATAAAGAAAAAGGAATTAATTGACACGGTGACCAGATATATTAGCTTGCAGAGAGGAGAAATCATCCTAGAGCGAAAATGATAGTTTCCGCATCATTCCTCTTTTGCATGTACAAAAAATGATATGGAAACGGGAAAAATATTCATAATACTCCGAAATACTTAAATATAATCACACTTAAGCGGTGCGGTGCACATATACTTCGCATCAAATACAAACCCATACTAAGCTTAGGCTTTATTTTCAATCATGGAGAAGAGTCCACAACAAAACCTTCCATTCCTCAAACCTCGTCGTCGTCAATCTTAAAGGTAGAACAAGTCGCAAAATAAACTAGTAATCCCAAGTCAGCTAACAGTCAAGGCTATTATATCTCAAAACAATTATACCCAAATATCAACCAAGTATCACCAGATCCAACATAAAAAATCAGTTATCAGAAGTGTTTTCAACTTATTAACGAGAAAACAATAGCCTCTATCTGATTCATTACACGTCCTTAAACAATCCCTTCTCAACACAATGTCTCAGCCCTTGACTCTTCTCTATCTCCATCACGAGCAGACCATTTCTTTTAAAACTGATAATCGCATGTCTCTTCATCTTTCAATTATTAGCATGCAAATTAAACATGCAATTTTAGCAATTTTAATGCCAAACTCCTATCTTCCCCTCGCAACTAAGCATGAAAATTAAGTATTATGACAATCTATGTGTAACACGATACAGCAGTTGCTAGAAATTTTAGCATTAGAGCACTCCAAATAAATAGGCGCTGTGAACCAAGGATGACTTATGCATTTACAGACAGCTTTCCTATTTATACTTTTTTTATAACCCTAACTGCATGAAGAGAGGCATGTATTACACAATACAAAGAAATAACTTAGAATTTTAATGTACAGCAAAGCAAACCATTCACAAAATATGTTTACCGAAGTTCTGAAGCATCAATCAGAACTATCTTTACAATGATAGATGCGCTTGTATGGAACTTGGAGTAAGTAAACTACATAATCAAGGCAATGTCTGGTCTAGATTCCGTGTCAGATATTTACCTCAATGGTCTGCAGTGTTTGCATGTGATGAAGTTTGACCTTATTCCTAGGGTAGGTGATCACATTTAAAACCTGAGAAACGACCATCTCTGGGTTTGTTTTGCCAAAACCTGAAGCAATCAACTTATTCAGAGACCAGATTCCTCCTCAGCAATATGAAAAGATTAACGGATAATAAATCTTTTTCATATGTGCTCATTCCCATAAACTATCACATGCCATCAACATTGAAATGTTTCAAAAGTCGGCACCAATCCAATGGCAAGGCAGATTGCTGCCTATTCATGCAACGCATGCTGGACATGAAATTATAATAGTAACAACGCACACATATTCCATGTATAATAAATAATCATAAACAGGCATGCACGTCATTGGTGTACACACTACATGCAAACACTTATTCTTTTTAAACATTAAAGATAATATATTTGAGCATGCATCATAAGGTCAATGTACTACAAAAAAGTATATTGGTTGACTTGTATGAAAATTTTGTCCCCTTCAAACTCATGTCAGAGTCTATAAATTTACTTGACTGCTCCAGATTCATGAGATTGACAGGTTAGATTTTTGCACATATTTGGGTCATTTTAAGGCTGAGTGAGGCCTAGATCCCAACACTTGAATGCACCAAATTTTAAGCATTTTCCTGTAGGGTAAAGCTAAGGCATGAAAAATGACAAAACATAAAATATAAGTGACAGAAAGCATTAAAGACAATGCCGATTGATTATTTTTTACATTTATTTGCTTATATGTAAAGACAAAAGTTTTTGTTATACCAGTATTTTGATTTTCACTGTTTCCCAAAATGATGCCAACCAAGACCCAGTATTGGAACTTCAAAGACCACTTGATTAGCTGATTTGGAGAAAAATACAAACTGCCACTGGGGCACGAAAAAGAATCTTTTGTAGAAAAAGACATTATGCCAGAAACCGAGATAGTATGAAATACCTAAGTTCCTCATTGACCAATACAAGAAGCTCTAAGGGGTATTTGAGTGAGTTCTTGAACCTCACTTGGATGAGGATTCCCCATCCCATTGGTTACCAATCAATTAGTATCAAAGCTTGTGGTCAGTAATACAGGGAATTTTGACTAGTATAGAACTCTAACCAGTGAGTGAGTTGAATGAAGTGTCCACCGGTGAATTGTAATAAAGTGCAGCAGCCAAGTTGACTGCTCTCCAAGGAAGGAGAGGAAAATTGATGGAGACTAAGATATGAGATGCTTAGGCCACACATTGAGTATGACATAACGCTCTTTGTTGATAGCTAACTTTTGGGAAAGGGTTTCCCATCCTACTTGTGTACTCATCACATTAAAACAAAACTTTTTCTTGAAAAGAATTATGAACAAGGACCTTTATATAAATAACCAGAAAGGGTTAGCAACTCATTTCAATTCATAATAGATTAAACACAAATATTTAGTAATAGTTCATCATGAGGTGAGCCCTTACTCTCCCCTTTTCCCTTGACAAGCAAGCATTGAAAATTTTAAATCTTGCTAGTAATGTTAATTTCCCAAATAAATAAATAAATAAAAACCAGTTCATCATAACCCAAACTTGCAACACAAAGTTCTCCCTAAGCAATAAAGCCAAGAATAAAGATCAAATATTACTATAGAACATGGAAATGACATAAAGGCAAAAATAAATCTGCTAATTATATACAATAGTAATGGTAATACTAGCAATACTAAAATCTTCATACTATAAAGGTTCAGCTTGGTAGTCTTGCACTCTCCAAAAGCAACTTTTAAAGTTTGTTGATAGAAAAGACAACAAATAAATGTCAATATTCCATTGTTTGCCTTTACCTTCCATGATAAATAAGAATTTAATCAATTTAGATGAAATTGAGTGCTTACAACTAATTTCTATATCTAAATATTATGTAATAATTACAATTACAATTTACAAGAGATGGGAAACAGATAAACTAACCAAGTCAGAAATATGGGCCTATAACTTGGAAGCAAATGTTCCTGGGATACATTGTCAGGAAAAATTACAATATACACAGTCCTGCCAAAAGCCTCCACAAGTCTTCAAAATTTTCTGATGTAGGTGCTACACATGTAAGTCTAACTGAGGCACAGAAAGTAACCTTGCTTATTAACTGGCCACATCACTGAAAGATAATAAGTAGACATAAGTCAATACGGAGAAGTAAATATAATTTGTCTTTCAAGTAAAAATTAACACGTTCACAAACCAAAATCATTTTTGTTTCAAAAGAAAATTTCATCCCATCCAATAGGCAGATATGGTGTCCAATATCTATTTTATAAAATGGTAAATAATTACGTCCACACAAGTTAGAAATAAGATCTCTTTGAAGAAGCATTCAGAGGTGCAGAAAAATTGTGCCCAAGGTGCCAAGGCGAAGCGAAGTGATAATAGGGTCCTAGCCTCAGCTACCAAGACTTGCTTGAATGTGTGAAACACCACCGATGCCTATTTCACCTGAGTGAAATTCTAGCTTATTTATTTTGTTTCTGAATAGCTGAAAAGTAAGAAAAATTTAAAAGCCCACCCACTTGTCAAATCACAAGTTGCCAATTTCTGCCAACTCAGGTAACTCCTAAAATAGTCAGACGCTATAAAGATCCCAGCAATTTCCTTGTCAATCATCTCCAATAAATTAGTCTGCCCCACCCAACCCATTTTTCCCACCATTTCCTCTTACAGAATAAATTCATATTTACAATATAAAATATAAGACCTCACCATGGTCATCAAACCCAAAAACTGATAACCAGAATATGTAGACAGACCCTGACAGGAAAAACTGAAGATATGAAATACCTTACACATATAGAAATATATGCACCAGCAACTAACTAATATACTTTCTTACATAGGGGGAATGACAGTAGTGTCCCAAAAGATTCAATTAATGACAATTAAGTTCCCAACAAAGTTTTCTAAAAAATCAGTTGAAAATGTCAATTCAAACGATTGCAAATCCAGGCATTTCAATTGAAGATAAGGTATTTAAATTTCAAAACGTAATTCTCATATTCTAGATGGGATTCCTATTGGTAACTACCTGAATCAATATTTACAACTCATTTTTCAGAAAATTTTATTAGAAACCTAATTGCCATGAATTTGATCTTTTAAAACCTAACTATCATTCTCCCTTCTTACATGCAATCATTCTCTCATTAGATATATGTTGATTCTTTTTCACCCCCACTTCAAGCACCTTAGTACATTACACATCCCTAACACTTGGCACCTTTCACATTTGAGTAGTAACTAGAGAAGGAGGTGCCCCATGAGAGTAAAAAATTTTAAACACAGCAATTATTATTATTGCTCAATCTCATTTGTAACTAAAGTGAAAATAACTTTGAACGTGAAGAACATAAAAAAGGAACGAAAGATATGCTACTCTGATTTATCTGACTATATAAGTTGCAAATGAGGCTATATACACTGATTTTGCACTATTTGCTATAGAATCATGAATCTAGCAGTCACCTCTGCTTGGGTTCCATTTCAAAAATATAGCTTTAGCTTTAAGAAATGATAACAGCACAGTAGAGCTACGCGCTTTTGGGTGGGAGTATCGAGTATGGTGCCACATGATATTTCAGAGACTCTTTCAAACCTACATCTTCAAGATATGATAATCTTTTTCTTAAATCTTCACAAACCTCAGCCTGTGTTCTTTAGAAGGGAACTATAGTAGGAGACATGCATTTTCTCGGAACCCAAGATGAGCCTGAATGTCCACGGCTTGTGAACAGAACAACTCTATAATTTTTATATTTTACATTGATATTGATAATTCTTAATGTGACATATACACTGAGAAACTGTAGAGGCCCCTTTGAGCTGCTGTACCTCCTTTTTCATTCAGTTATTAAATTATTCCCAAGACCTTGGATCAATTATACAAGTCAAAATCTCATTTTACATTTTTGTAAATTATTTCTTGTCAGTGAGATGTAGTAGGAAGGTGAAATAAAAAAAGGAAAAGAGAGAAGGCCATTGGGAAAAGATACGTTTCAACCAAACAATTAAACCATTATTAAGCCAGAAAGCAAACCTCCAAAACATGACAACACTTACTTTAAAACTAATGAAAACTTCAATTTGGTCAAGTAGGTCTCCAACAACTAAGAGCAGGCATGTCTGGCCTACAGGGCAACATCTGAGGAACACTGTGTCCTGAGCGGGAAAATAAATGATCTTGATTCACGTCATAAAAAAGGAAGCTCAAAAGAGCGTCACAAGAAGGAAAAATTGAAAAAAAAAAAAAATATATATATATATATAGACCAATCAACAAAAGTCACCTGATATTGGGGGAGCAGCAGGTAAGTTGCTTGGGGCAGAACACTGAAAACCCATGTTGTTTGGTGGCCTTTCAATTGGAGGTCGAAAATACCCTGCCATTATCAAGAGAGAAGAAGTCTGAATTACATCTTGGTTGATCTTATGGCAATACCACACAATTGAATAACAACAGAACAGACACTGCATAATAAAAAACAAGGACATGGTGAAGAACCAAGAACCTCCATGAGATGCAACAGCATGAGAACTAGATTACAGACAAGATAAAATCATGCTTTATGATATAGTCTAGAACAGCCAAAAACATAAAGAGAAGTAAGAAAAAACTATAATAAACCTTGCAGATTGTAAGCTAAGAATATTCACATACCTTCCTGACCAAAGGGTGGACCCGGGCATGGAGGGTTTCTCCCTCTCCATGCACCAAGTTGGTTAGTTGCTTTATAATCACTCGATGGCATCCTCCACTGTTCATCAGCAGCAAATTGCCTCCGGCTATCAGGAAGAGATGGCATAGAGTAGGGGGGATGGAATGAATGAGGAAGTTGTTGAACTGTGGGCTTTGGATATGAGAACTGATTTGATGGATTTTGAGGTGGAGCAGAATGCACATGTCTCTGAGCAAATGGGGGGTTACCCTGCTGAAATTGCTGATTAATTTGAGGAACTTGACCATTTAGGTACATATCATTCTGTCCATACTCCAGTTGCCTAAAGCCAGTGGGCTCCTGTGAACTGCAGCCCACTGTTGGAGCAGGCTGTGGGAATATTTCACCCTTCACAACGGCATTATTGTGACCTCCAGGAAAAGAATTCCCAGCCATTTGAACTATTTGATTACCCTGTATAAAAGACGGCACCAGTCAACATCACTACTACAAAGATGTTAATCAGACGAGTGAGACCTAAACTTCAAATGACTTACACTTGTGCTACCATTATTATAGTCATGAGATACGCTCTGCTGAAACCCCAATGACGGGGATGACTGAAGTGATGGTTGAGGTGGCATTATAGGTTGTGCATGCATTGAAGACCAGCCTAGTCCAGATGATTGAGGAACCAACGATGGTGGAGGACCTCCAGATGGCAAGGGAGGAGGTGCAGGTTGCAACACTGGTGGTGGAGGTGGTGGTGGTGGTGGAGGGGATGGAGATGATGGAGGTGGTGGTGGTGGAGGGGGTGAAGAAGGCAGAGGAGGGGGAGGAGGGGGAGAATCAAGTGGCAATGGTGGAGAACCATCAGGAGCAGGTATCTCTGCAGATATGTTTGAAGCAGAATCTAATTTCCAATCTGAGTCCTCAAGTTGCAAATCCATTTCTGATGAATTATTGAATATTACAGGCCTTTCATCCTTTGGATGACCTGACACATCTTCCATTTCAAGCTCACCATCCACATCCTCCAAGACACGATGGCGCTTATCATTAGGGGTAACAGTGGAAGTTTCTGATTCTCCAATAGTAGGAGTGGGATCTGATGGAGATACATCATGCAAATCTTTAAATAAACCAGTAGGAAGATCATCCTCCTCCTCTTCCTCAAACACATGCGAGGATAACAAACCAGGCAGATGAAATGTAGCATTGCTGACATGAACATGCAGAAATATGGCAAAATCAGAAATAGGAATTATTTAGCAAAAATAAATATAAAAGAAATTTTAAAATTGTAATAAGAATAATAAAGGATTATGTTGTTGACCACAAGTCCAAGCAAGTAAAATAGGCAAAACCAATCAGCACCTTTAATCAAACATGTTAGCATGCTGGAAGGCGCAACAATCAACCACAGAACATAGTTGTATACTTGGATAAACCATAGCATTTGATGGCAAGAAAACATAGGCAGAGATAACATAAGATATTCAACAATTAACTCACATCTTCAGCAAAAGAAGATTAACCCTTTAGAGGTCAAAATTCGATCTTCTTTTATATTCACCTATGCTATATAAACAACTTACCCTTTGAAGATTTCCTTATTCTTTTTCAATGATCCCCATTTCACTTGGGATGGGATTTACTTAACTCCAAAGAGGGGGCAAACTGTAAAATCCTATAGGCCGATCAATCAAAAATTAATAACTAGGCCTTCCATTAGGTTACAAGTGCTTCATGTCAAACTAATTCCAAAGAAATATAAGCATATTATCTTTATTCAATCTTTCTATAGATGCTTTATTTTCCTCAACCCACTCCCATTTCACTATCTTCCAAAATTTTCAAAGACGATTCATCAAGGTTCACAAAACAAAAGTGAATATCATACCTTCCATACTCATCCACAAGCATGCCATCCATTTCTCTAATCGGATCATCCACGGCCCGCTCTGCCCGAGATGGACGTCTGAAAGAAAAGCTAACCACCATGTCATCATTAGACACTCCAATCTCATCCATGTAACGACGAAGCACAGACTCTGGCAAGATTTTCCTCTCAAGCCACAGCCTTAGAACCTGCAATCAAACAACAAAATAAAAAAAATAAATCCCATTTACAGAGCCTATCTAAAAAGTAAAATAGCATAATCCACTTCATCAAACAAAAAAGTTTTCAACTTTATAAAAAGGAGACTGTGATCAGGTAATTAATATATCCTACAAGAATAAGAACAAACCTTGAGACACTGACGACGATTTTCACGAGCACTAGCTCCAGGGGGAGCAGCAGCACCAAGTAGGCGAGGCAGAGCAGCTTGAACTGTAGGAATGTAGGAAGATCCTGCAATGCCTGAAATTTTCTCTACAATTAGAATTAACAATGCCATTAAGAGAACGCCACCTAAAACACATGCTTTCAGGTTTAAGCATGCAGGGTAGAAAACAGGAACATGTACATCCACCTTTTTGATTGTGTGAGCATTGAGTGATAGAGTCAACAAGAAAGAACAAATCCACTTTACGATGAAAACTAGTTTCACTTTCCAGCTTTCGTATAAGAAGTTCAACAACCTGTACAAAAGGACTCTGCAAATAAGTTCACTATAGGCATAGTAAAAACAAGAGTATCATAACTACCAAATAAGTTTTACTGATCCATAATGTTCCTACTCCAGAATATTCTTAAAATCTATAAATCTCCAAGCAGGCAAATGAAATAAACAAAATGTGATAAAATCAAACCAATATTAGTTTTTAAATTAAACTACCACCAGCACCATGTTTGCAACGCAAAATTATTCCCAACCCTTTGTTATCACTTAAGGATGAGCTTTTCACCATAGGTTGTGCTTCCCTTCCGACAATGCAACAAGGATGGTTTGGATGATGCTAACAAATTCATTAGGCACACTTCCAGGACTAAGTGTATGAGGAATTTGATAACTGAGTTGTTTTTTCTATTTTTTAATCTTTATTCCACCAGATTAGGATCTGTTCAATAGGCTGTAATATTATTGCGATGTTCCCTCGTATTTTCGGGTATAGCTAACATTTATTTCCTTGTGCACGTATATTTCACATCTACTGATGCACAAAGCAAGAGAAGAGTACAGTGACTGTAACTGGTCATTATCCTGAAAATTCTACAAATCACATGGAAGACAAAATGATAAGTCCATGAGTAAGGGTCATGTGAATATTGTAAATACACTAATACTATAAAGCTTCTTTCCTGTGAGAATTGTAAATCTCCAGAAAATTAAGAACACTTTAAGAACAAAGATACAGGCAAGAGTAGAGGCAAAGGTTCACTAATTGATTCCTTGATTTAAGGAAAAGCATAACTGATATAGAAAGGAGCATACCTCATTTGCAATGCCATACTTGGCACAGTCAATGGCAAGACGAGTGGCACGTCCAATACTGTCCTTGGTCCTTGATAATGTCTCTATCATCCCTTCAAAGGCATCGCGAGCAACAGCAGCTTCAGTACCACCACTAAGTGAGCCACCTGGCCCCCTTTGCACTGAACCAACTATTCTTTCCTCAGCTTCTTCAGCTTCAGGTTGATTCAGAGAAGCAGAGTGATGAGCAGATGGGGAAGCCAAAAGTGAGTGCTCATATGCTCCCTGTACATCCACCTGTGGAAAATTGCTTGAGACAGAAAGAAATGGCTGAACAGCGGATGGGCTGGGAGTCTCTCCCTGAACATTATGGATTCCAAGAGGAACAGATTGAGAATGAGATTGCCTCCTCTTTGCCTGGGCAGCTGCAATAAGATGTTTCATAGTTTTTGCAGCTTCAGGAGTCCTTGAATCAGAGTACAGACAATTTTTCTCATCCATGCCCACTTCTAATCTGTAATAAGCCATAAAATTAATTTAAGCGATGCAGGAGGGAAGAAACATAAGAAAATAATTCTCAACAAATCAGAATCAAAAGCATAAGTACCTATCAACAAGAAATCCATCATGCTCCTTCAAGTTTTCTGTTGCAACAGGAACTTCGCCAGCTCTCAAGGTAGGAGTAGTTTTAGACGCTTCCATTGAAGACAAGGGCTTCTTTTTATGAGTTGTCAGCTGATTGTGAGAAGAGTTGGAACTATTCAAACCCTTTGAAGACCCAAGATCAGCCTTCTTTTGAGTAACATTAGCAGAAACTTTAAACACAGGTTTGGAAGATTTATTCCACTCAGCATTTGACTTTGAAGGAAGAACCAAATGAGGTGATTTCACAGGAGATGAGGAGCTTACTTTTTTTGCCACTTTGGTTGGATACTGCTTTAAATCTGAATGCTCAGGGCTTCGAGGAATCTGGACCGGAATTCCTTCTTCAGTCTCCTCTATTTTAACATACCTAGACAACAATGAGTTGTTTTCTACTTGAGACGATGATTCTTTTAATCGGCTATTCTCAACTCCACTAGAACTCCTGTTACCCAGCTGAGCAACATCAGAATTCCCCGAATGTGCATTGTTCCCCTTTGGCTCTCTAAGAAACACAGGTGATTTAATATTTTTAGTAGCTCCTCCATGGACTGGAGTCTTAGGTTCTTCTTCATCATCATCATAAAGGCAAACAGCTCTACGCTTCCTCTTTACTGGCTTTTCTGTAACATTATTTCCATCATTTTCCAATCTAACGTTACTCCTACCTGTTTTTCCATCTGAAGCAGGGCTGGCAGAATCAGACTTGACCTGTCGTACTTGGCTACGATGTTTTGTCCCTGGTTGCACTTCATGGATAGTATCATCAGAACCAACAACATCAGTTTGAACACTTGAAGACAAACTCTTTTCTGTTTTCAAACGTGATGTTGACCTCCTCAACTCTGATTTTTTAAATTCTTTGTCTTCGATAACAGCAGGTGAAGCACTCTTTGGCTTTACATAGGGAGAACCTAAAGTCAACTCATCCTTAGCATCTAAATGCTTCAATTTCTTGGTAGCGTGTAAGGTTTCATTTGTTCTCACATTATGCTTTGCACGAACAAATTGGGTCTTCTTTGGCTTATTAGAAATTCCACCATCAGCCTCCTCTGAATCAACCATCTCTTGTAACTCATTCTTCATCTTAAGATTTGTTTTAACTTTTTCCAGGTTCTTATCTTTTTTTCCACCATTAATATCAGATCCTGATTTAAGAGCATCTGGAGAATTTGATTTAACATCAAATGCATTCTTCCCTTTATTTCCACCTCTTGATGACTCTCCAGACCTCGAAAGACTGGCACGACTTTCATATTTTTCGGCCTTCAAATCAGAGCCACCACATTTATATCCACCATCTGCACCATCACTTCTCTTTGTACCAGTAACTAGTTTTTTTAATTTGTTCCCATTCGCCAATGCCTTCTGTCCATTGTCATCTTGCCTGAGGTCATTAACTTTGCTTACATCCTTAGAATCAGAAGTTTCCCCCTTAAGACATGATAAATCGTTTAGACTAGACTTGCTAGCATCCTTCTTTAGCTCAGAACCACTAGACGGTTTACTTTTCATCACAGCTGGAATAGCAGGAGATGAACTGTCATTTGAACAGCCTGAGGGTTTTTCATCTTGACCACCACCTTCTCCACATCTCTGTGTGCAGCGCTCTAACTTAGAGCCAGCATTACCCACACAATCATTAGCCTTTTCTTCATTTGACACCACATTATCAGTAGCATCCTTTAAGTCACCTGTAATCCCATCAACAAAAGGAACCTCTGAGCCAATGAGTGAATCATCAGTATCATCCCGCAAACTACTGGCTTTTTGTTTCTGTAACTCGTCAAATGCCATGCAGATTTCCTTCACAGCTTGCGCAAAGTACTTTGTCTTGCCTTGACAACGAGCAGACAACTTATTTTTTGACTCAGTGGTGAACGCCTGAATATCAGCTGGGGCAACAAAAGCACTGAAGGAAGATAGCCAAAATGGATGCAATGTAAGAAGATAATAGGAAAGACAATCAATCTAATGAACAGGAATGCACAAGAAGGGTATAAAGAGTAAGGCATCAAAGTCATCAGAAAATCAGATAACAGAGGCATTTGAATAAAGCAGCAGATCTCTTTTTATCAAATTATGTTTCATTGTAGATAGGAGATTGTTTTCAACAAACTGATAGAAATACATCAGTGCGGTTTTTCCTGCTAAGCTTTGAGTTGAATTATAGTTTACAACAGATTCATATCATCACAATGTCCTCTTGAATTTGACAGACCAAAGTGCCGCACAATAAATTCTCTTCTATTGCAAGTTCTAGAACTAGGATATGCATATATTTCCAAAATCTTCAGACAGATATTTGAATTAATGTGGATCAATAATAAGTATAGGCATCATCCAATAAATGCATGATGTATATAACATGAGATCATTGCTGATATATGCCATTAGTACACATGCCAACAAAAAGGATAATTTCTACTGTCACTATAAAATCATATTCGCCAACAGCAGAAGGATAGAATCTCAGAACATTTAATTAAAACCATAACTCTCTCAGATTACTTGTTCTCCATAAACCATTTTCCTATCAGGAATCATGGAATAATAATACAAAACAGATGTTGGGTGATTCAAATGAAATTGGAGAAACAAGAAAACAATAACTACAACGTCAACCTCCTCTCCTAAACAATTATTTTCAAGTATCATCACTCCAAAGTAGCATCCCAACTGAAGCTTGCATTAAGATTCCATATTATTTCATGATACTCCTTTCCCGACTCCGACATGCATTTCACCGTGCAGACCGCAGGCAGACAACTTCTTGGTCTCAATATTCAAACCCAAGGAAAAAGTAAAATCTAATCCTAAAAGTTGAACACCATGACCAGATATTGAACTAATTTAAACTGGAATTCATCTATAAGGTATAAAAATGTTTGTGCCAGCACTCCAACAGCCCTACCATCTCCAAAGCCTCAAAATAAATTTACACTGAAATTAATCAATAAGGTATAATATTATTTATGTCGGTACTTCAACAGCCCTACCATCTCCAAAGCCTCCCAAAGAGGCATAACAGAAGATCCTCCAATCCATCAGAAAGTAAAGCCAAGAATGATGACAGGATACTCTATTTTAAAAATGCATAAAAGAAGAAGGAAGATGCTGCCTATAAGTATCAAATAAACAGAGAGAATACTTTGTTAAGGACAAGTGTCTGTCAGGATCACTTGCAAGATAATCAGATAATGATCTCACGCTCTTGCACCTTAAAACATGAAGGACTGAAAATGGCAAGATCATACTCTGATTTCTTGCAGTTTTATTCATGAATCATGAAAATTATTCAAAATGCACTGTTTGGGAGGATAGCACTACACATTTTGGCATCCCAAAACTGGGTTTGGTTAAATGTTTCAACCCTCCCAAGTAGCAGAAGCATTCTTTCATCTCCCAGAAATTGTTCTCCTTCCTCTCTTCGTTCTGCTGCATTTGTTAAACATCTGATAGTTTGTTCTGCAGTATAGACTTAGGTTGCTTTAGGACCTCAGTCCAAAGCTTGCAGCAGTATCCTTTCTTCTTCTTGGTATATAGTCTCCAGTCTCTCTTCAACTGATTTTAGTTTTGCTCTTTTTTGTCTTCACGTTTGTTAGTGCTTGAGATTTACTGCGGTTTTATATTTGCTACTTCTAGGTGTCTGAAATCTGTTGCATTTACATATTGAAAACTTGTATGTGAATACCAGTTCGGTTACTTTTAGGTTGTGTTTATGTGTGAGACTTTGTGACACCTGAAATTTACTACTTGTTTTGTTGAAGTATGATGAGATTTAGATAGTTCTATGCTTATAGAAAATTATTATATACTCCCTCCGGTCCTAAATATATGAGCCAGTCAACTAATTCACATAGATTAAAAACACACTCCATAAACAGTAAGACACTATCTGCCATATGTATCGCAAAAATTGCGGTCGTCATTATTAACATTTTTCCACCACCAATAACTCCTGCTTCTAAATATGTTGTTTAAGTTTGTTTCTCTTGCCTAAGCCATACAATGGTCCTTAATTAGAGGCATTCCTCGAGAACGTTACAGCAAGACAGGTGAGAGAGACTTACATTTCTTTCGTACCAAAGAATTGAACAAAATATTTCTTTGGATCAGGGGTTTTCTCCCAATCTTCGGGCCTGCTTATCTGAAGGGGGGAAGAAAGCAAAAGGAACAATGTTCCCGTTATTAATAACTAAAGTTTATCTTCTACAGCTACCAACTCAGAAATGTAGCAATGAATAAAATCCAAGGAAAAAATAAGAGGAACACAAAAAGTAATGATACCGAATATCCAAATCAAATTTAAGGACAAGCTGAACAATGATTGAGGAAAGGAGTCTCAGAACGCACCAAGACTCTAAGAGTAAAGTATATCACACATCAAGAATGCAAATCCCTCACCGGCGTAATAATACAAACTTAGCTGACAGAAATTGGACGGCAATGCTTAGCTATTCAAATTTCAAGTAAGAATAACTTAACAAAGACGTTGCCCTGCAACTCACATGATCACACTTGAGATACCAGCAAAATTCAAAAATTAACACAAGTTCAAGGAACGATTTCTAACCTTGGCAGGCCAAGCTGGGAAGCCCTTGACCTTGGCAAGAACAAGATCCCCAAGACTCAAGTGCCCATTGGCCTTGGCCTTGTTCGCTCCGCGTCGACGCGGCGGAGCCATGATGAGGGGCGGATGCTGACAGAAAATGAGTAAACTCAAATAACCAGGCGTATCGTGAGTAAAACTTGAGCCAACCCAACAATCTGGAAAACCCTAGAAAAATCCCGCAGAACCACCGCAGGGATCCTCGGCGGGGTCGTCTCCGGCGGCGGAACACCGTCACCGCAGTCGGCTAAAGCATCGGAGGAAGGGAGAGCGAAGGAAGGCTCAGCATTGAGAATACGGTAGCAAGAGAATCTGAGCAAGGAGATTGCAGAGAGAGAGAGAGAGAGAGACGAGGAGGAGATTGAGGCGGTGGAACGGAAAGAGAGAGAGTAGATTTTGTGAGAGGGTGGCTTCGGCCTGATGTCTGATGAGGGGGATTACGGGACCTAATGGAATTTTCTGATGTTTTTCCTTTGTTCTCCCAAATTTTACTGCTTTTCTTTTTGCCCCCTTCTGAATTTTTGCACTTTTCGTGGAATAGAAGACGATTACATTGATGATTTTCAATTTTTCATGTGTCACTTCGCTTCTGTCTCCGATAAATTTTTTTTGCGATTAGTAAAAATGACATGTTTCTGGGAAAAAAAATTAAAATTGAAATTGAAGTATAGAAAATTATATAATCTTTGTCAAATTGCATGTATATCAAATTATTATTGGATAATTATGTTTTTTCTTAATATAAATTTTTAAGATAGCAGATATAATCTAATTTGTACACTTCATTATCAATAAAATATCAAATTTTAATAATGATGATGTAATAAATATAATGATATAAGCTAATATCATATATAATTTTAACTAAATTGAATACAAATCACATCATTATTGGGGACAATTACATATTCTTTAAAATAAAAATATAAGCTTGTTAATATCAGTTAAAAACATCATCACATTTCTTATTATTGCTTTTACTAATATTTATCTTTGAGAACAATGTACTAATTAAGCTTACTTGTGGTTTTAAGTGAGATTACTCGTGCCATTACACAGACTTAGTCACTTAATTGATACGTGTCAGCTTAATTCAATAAACTTATTGGAAAATAATGACATTAATGCTGTATTTTAATTGGAAGGGAATAGAGATTACAATAAATTTGATTTTAAAAAGTTGAAAAAGTGGAATTTGATTTCAATAAATAATGACATTAATGTTGCATCCTTTATTAAAATTGTATAACCTCACTTATTGAAAATAGAAAACAATTACCCGAATTTGTGCCATCAATTAATGACCAACAAAGGTACCTTTTACCACCAGAGGAAAATTACAAGACTCGGTTAAAAAAAAAAAACAAGACTTTATATTTCAAGAATTAAATAAATGAAGCATAACCTTCAAAAAACAAATTTAAAAAACGCAAGTATCAAAAATCAAATCAAGACGAAATTAAACTTTCATGCACTAAATTATTAATTATTAACATATTAATTTAAGTTAAGCCTCTAGGTAAACATAGGGCACCTTAAAGGATGATAATAAAATCAAAAGGAATAGAACGAAATGGTGAAGGAAGAGAAAAATTTAACCAAATGGTCTAAAAGTCTAGAATCCTTGTCTTTCCTATGTCCTAGAAGCCTGTCTCTTGCAGCCGAACAAGCTCTCAAGGCTAGACAAGTCTCAATTACAGAGAAAAATTATATTTTAATCCTGAATAAAGGAGTCAATTTTCTATTTGATTGTTCGCGTATTTCGTTACACTTAACTTCGCAATTACTAAAATATCTATAATCTAACATTGTCCTTAATACCTCGAACGAAATTAGCCTTTGCTGCTAACAAAAGGTGACCCCAGTGTCTCCCCAGACACAAAATATTTATAATCTAAAAACTATAATATTGCGCTTCCATGTAATTTATATCTCTATCATACCATCCACAATTGAAAATCAGCTAACTGACAAAATCTATATTATTAGTAATCTTGTGTTGCCACCAAGTTAACATTTTAACGATTCATAAACTAGATTAAGAAACTAGTATGTAGACAAACAAATTGACATATAGACAAAGACCTAACATGAGAACAAACGAAATTTCAGAATGTATCACATACGTAAAAGAGTTACAATTACAGTGACTGTGAAATTAGAACTCCAATCATGCTCCCTGAAAAGCTGTATAGGGTTTATTAGCAATGAAAGTAAAGCCTGGAGGAAGAACACGAGGAGAAAAGAATCATTCATATGAGGTAAGGCGTCCAATCCATAGAAATTAAACATGAAAAGTTAGAACAAAAAAGAGTGAGAGAAAACTAAATAAACAGAATTACATACCAGCAAAGATTATATTCAATTGATAGTGATAATGACCAATCAACAACCATGTATAGCTCAGGCGGCAAAGAGGCATTTAAAAACAACAGAATGTATTCAGAGAAATTTTACCCTGCCAGTTCTAATTCAAACTTTTATCTTTGCTCTCATTACCAACAGCATCAGTCACCAAAGCCATTGGTCTTTGATCAATAACCTCATCAATAAGCCCAAACTCCTTTGCCTCTTCTGGAGTCATGAAACAATCTCTATCCATATTTTTTTGAATAATCTCTAATGGTTGTCCTGTATGTTTTGTGTACAATGCATTCAATGAATCCCAAACCCGAACAATTTGCTTTGTATGGATTGTGATATCCTTTGCCTGCCCACTATAACCACCTGAAGGTTGATGAATCATGATTGTAGCATTTGGAAGAGACCGCCTCTCACCCTTGGCACCTGCAGCTAATAGGAGAGAAGCCATAGATGCAGCTTGGCCCAAGCAGATTGTGTTGATCGGCGACCGAATGTACTGCATAGTATCATATATGGCAAGGCCTGCACATTGCATAGGATTAGCCGATTAGGAACATGAACACTAATACAAGTCTTCAAATTTTCCATATGCAGGACTTAACTTCTACAAGGCAACGGAGTTTCAAAATATTTCACTGTTATGTGCTTGTACAGTGGTGGGGTAGGCCAGATTTCAGGAATTATTTCTTTGCTTTTGTAGGGGTTTATCATAGAAGGATCATCAGGAATGGAAACTTTCAGGCATAGATGGATCACACCAAGTTTCAAGACAACATGGTAAACCTCTTAATCACCAACTGTACTGTGAGACTGATTATTAAGTTAAACTTAGGGTTAGAAACTACTAGAAGAATGAAGATTTTGTACGTTCAGCATGTTACTATGTTATAGTGCCAAAAGGCCAAAACTCACGTGTCATCAGATTCACAGTTCAGAAATTCAGTTACTATCGCTATTTTTCTTTTTGAGAAGCCTGCTTGAAGGAACGGCATCATTGGTTGGAAGAAAAATGAAAATGATGGCAGACCATTCCTGAACAATTCCTAAATGCTTAATTTCCACTATAATGCAAGGAGTCTGCAAAGTCTTATAATGTGGTAGGCTGTAAAGAAAGCATGTCTACAAAATGCGCTCTATCAAATGATTTCCTGGAAGAACAATAAGTAATAATCAGAAACAAAACTAGTTAGCAGTCTGCATGCATAGTGCAAATTATTGGTGTCAAGCCGACAGCACAAATACTTGGTACAAAGTGGCAAATAACATGAGTCCAACAACTCATAAGACATGGGCAAAATGAAAAGTGCCAATCTTTAAGAGTTTTTAAACGCCAATTAGATCCAGCACTTCAAAGGGTCAAGTACCTTGTTCACCCTCTCTCTAAGCCTTCGTGCCTCAGGTTTGGATTCTCATTTTATTTTTCTTCTTCAGTTTTGTTTACTTTTATCTCCCTCCCAGCACTTTCACCGCTTCTATGTTATTGACAGTTTATTTCTCATCATCTATTTCTTTCTTATCATTTTCCATAAACGTTAGGATCAAGGGATACATTGCAGTGGTCAGTGTGCACAATTGCGCCCAAGATCTCGAAGAATCCACATGATAGCATAATACTTTGGTTAGTTATTCAGAAGTTCTGAACAAATACCGGATGCTCTCTATTGCTGACTCAACTGCAAGAACTGTATTAAAGTATGTACACACTCATTATCTTGCTTGATCCTTGACTATCTCACAAAGGAACTTTACAAAATCAATTCAACCAAGCTGATAGGGTGGTTTGTCCTAGTGTGTGCTAATTTTTTGTTGTCATATAGTTATTTCGATAGTTTAGCCACCATAAAAATTACATTTTCAGAAATTTGTTCAAAGACACTCTAGGGACCAGGACTACGCATATCCAAAGATCAAGCAAGACAATTTGAAGAAGTAGAAAGCAAGAGGATTTACAAAGAAAGCTTAAGGGAACATCGAACCAGATGGTGACAACTCGCTGTATATTTTTGTTTCTATATATGTGCATTTCAATTTGAGAACTTGAAATGACCCCCATCGGCAGAAAACAACTTTTCATCCACTGAAAAAAAATACTTGACAACACGCAGAGAATCAGGAGTTTGAAAGAACAATGTCAATTTTTGCTCGCTCACTGCCATTAGCGCAAATGACGACAGAAACTACGGGAAATTTATATAAAGGAAACGAAAAACAAGTTGAAAGAGGACGTGCCTGCAGTGACAGCACCACCGGGGGAATTGAGGTACATGTGGATGGGCTTGGACGGGTTCTCAGACTCAAGGAATAGAAGCTGAGCAACGACGACGTGGGCGGTATCGTCGGAAATGGGTCCGTTAATGCAGACAATCCGCTCTTTGAGAAGACGCGAGAAGATGTCGTATGCTCTCTCTCCTCTGGATGAGTGTTCAATCACCATTGGGACCAGGCTGTATGCACGACCCCATTGCGCGCTTTGATTGCTTCTTCCATACAATGCCCTTGCGCTGCCAAACAGCTTGCTGGTGGAGAAAAGGCCTCTCATGGCAGGCAGTTATGATCTGAATTCAGAACTCAGAAGAGCAAGTAGGGCAAGGGTTTCGGTCTCAGCGACCAATGACACGCGGGATAAACCGTCTCTCGGAGCGGACCGCATTGGGCCGAGCCTGGCTGGCTCGTGGGCTTTTATCTATCCCTGTTTTGTTAATATACTATTTGTTTGTTTTTTTGTTTTTTTAAGTACAAATTACCTAAACTTTAAATAAGCTTGAACTAAAAACCTGTTTAAATAATTCTTAAAAATATATTTAAATTACATTTAGAATGTATTTTTACTGAATTTAATAAATAGTTAGATCCTTTAAATATATTTTTGACAAATGTAAACTGAAATTCAAACAAGTATTAAGATTATTAAAAAAAACTTTACAAAAAACTATCAAAGATGTAACATAGAAGGAATTTTTTCTTTCTAAAAAATAATTGTTGCTACTTGAATAATTTAATTTTGAGAAAACAAGTAAAAATATTACAAAATATACAAATGATAATTAAAGCTTGTGAAATGTAATAATTATTTTTTAGTTTTTGAAATTTTACATTTTTTTTGTGAAATGACATGCTCGACAGCCTTGTCTTAAAATTTATCAGCGAAATCAAGTAATTAAAAATTAGTTACTACTTTTATTTTATAAATGACTAGTTTTTAAGGGAATAATTAAAATATAATGACATTTGTTTTGTACAATTTTTTTATCAATAAAGTCCAACAACTAAAAAATAGTTACTATTTTCTTTCAAAAATTACTAGTTTTCTTAGAAAATTGACTAAAATGAAATAGAAAATTATAATTTGTTCCTTAAAAAAATTTTATCAATGAAATCCAATAATTAAAAATTAGTTACTACATTCTTGTGGAAAATAACTATTTTTTCGAACTAAAAATCATTTATTAGGTCTAAGGATCATCTTTCCTTTATTTTATGAAAAGGTAAAAATGTTTTTTCACATTAAAACTAATTGACAAATAAGTCTCCAATGACTACAAAATAATTATCATATTTTACAACACTTAATTGTCATTAGCATGTTTTTTTTTAATGGGTCATTCTCTCTTTAATTTTTGTATGTAACTTTTACTTCTCCAATAATTTATTTTCTAAACTTTCGTCTCAAAACAACTTTCTATATTTTTTCATTAACAACTTAATTTTAATTCAAAACAATTGACTCTTATAATTTATGGACTTGTAATAGCTCAATTTTTATAATTTTTAATTTAATCAATTGCAAGATTTTAGTTGCAACAAGTTAAAATTCAAGTAATAAATTAATAATTAAGGGTTTTAATTTCAAAATATTTAATATATGTATTTTTCTAAAAATGGTTGATGATTATTTATTTATTTTTTTACCTCTAATTTAGTTATTACCTGATACTATATTTTAGTTATATATGAGAAAAATGGACAAAAGAACTTTAACGAAGGAGGAGGTGGAAGGCAAATTTCTCTCTAGATCTCCCAATTTAGAAGAGAGAGAAAATATTATATTATTGCCAAATAAAGAGAGGAAAGTCCTTTCATTTATGTTTTTTCTTCTAAGGCCCCCCTGTCTAGCCAAATATATCAAATGAAACATGTATCTACATTTTGTTAATAAAAAGACAAGTTCATAAACTTGAAGAGATTACAAGACAAGGTTGCAAAAACCTAAAGGTTGGCAAACAGATCTATCTCTAATATAAATATCCTTACAAATCTCAAGAACTTCAAAGTCAATATGCAAAAAAATCATCCCAACATAACCATCTTTTGCCAAAATATCAGCACACAGGGTTACTTCACATGAGGAATATGTCACAGTAAAATAAGGCTCATTAATTAAGGCCATTTGAACTTGAAAAATCTCGTTCATAAAGGAGTGGTCTGGTGAAGTACCCTTAACACTTAGATTAGTTGCTTTCAATGACTCAAAATGAATTCAAAATCTGTCAAGGTTGAGCAAAGTATACTCTTGGATACCTTTGCTTACCACCAGAATCTCAGCTCTAGTGATTAGAAATTTATACAACTTAACTCTAAAACAAGCTATCTAATTACCAGAAGAATCTTGTATTACATCTTCACAAGCAGTCAGGAGTTTTGCAGGGTTAAAGCATCCACGTACATTTGACAAGTTCCCTGTAAAGGAAGAGTCCATTTGTCTTCTAAATCTACTAAACTATAAGACCCAAACTTTTCGATAAGACCAGAGTATTATTTCAAGTACAAGGATGATAGTTGTTAAAAATTCATTTACATCGACCTATCCACAAGATCTAACACATAAGGGAGAAAATTTTTATCTATAGATAGTTACACCACCTTATTAATCTTACTTTTATATTTAGCATTCCAAGAAATCTACTCATGTAACTTATAAGAGAAGAAACAATTATAATATAAAGGGTTAATAATAGCCTCCCATGTTTCCCTCGCTATTTGACAATGTCTAAGTATATGAAGAGCAATTCCGTCACTCTCTCACTTAAAAGGACAAGACACACTTGGCTCAAGACCTCTCTGGGTTCTAAGATAGTTACATAGAATTCTCTTAAAAACAATTTTCTAAAAAAAATACTCTAACTTCTTTAGGATAGGCCACTTCCACAGCCAATTCCATAAGCCTTCAGAATGCTGGTCACCTTTGGTATGAAGAAATCTATAAGCAGAACTAACATAAAATCTCCCATCATTCAAGGGTCTTCGCTAAAAGGTATCTTTTGCACTTTATGCACATGGTGCCAGTCAGTGTGCATCCCAATTACCCTCGAGAAGAATGAAATCACTCACTTTATCTTACAAGTTAAAATGATCTCCATTAAATATAGCAAACAGAATGAGTGGCTGATTAGTGGGAGGTCAAATGTCTCACTAAAAGCTTATGATACAACCATTTTTTAATTCCATACTAACTCCTTAAAGGAAAAGGTCCCATTGTTTAATGACATTATTCCATATATGAGAATTCCTTCTTTTATTAATCATCATAGCATCTTGCTCTCACTATATCTATATTTGGATATTAGGCAATTAATCCATAGCATCTTTATTAGTTAGAATACCCCAATAAATTTTGAAGATGTAGGCCTTGTTTTGATTGTGAAGATCCTCGATGCCAAGGCCCTCTTCATTCTTCTCTTCACCTTGTCCCAAGTTATCAAGTGCATTTTTCTCCCATCACCCAAATTGTTCTAAAGAAGGCTCTACTATATTCCTTAACTTCATCCAATACACCTTTAGGAATTAGCATTGATTGCATTAGGTAACTAAGAAGGGCTAATAGAATGGAATTTCTAAGGACACTTCTCCCCTCCAAATTAATGTACTTAGCTTTCCATAAAGAGAATCTTTTCCCAACTTGTTGCAATAAGGGAGAGAAAGTTCTTTTAGTAATCTTCTTGTGGAGGAAAGGCATCCTTAGGTATTTTTGCTTGGATTTGAAGTAAGGCCAACCTCTAAAGTCTAGCTGAACTCCATTTTCCTATTATAATAAATATTCTTAGAACAATACAACTTGGTTTTTGATAAATTCATCCTATGACTAGAGACTTTATAGAAACCCAAATTACATTTTTTAGTAACAAAACCTTAGCACATGATGCTTCATAAAAAAGGAGAAGAACATTCATAAAAAAACAAGTGAGAAATAGCTAGCCCTCAAAGGAAAATCTTAAAAGGTTTTCATTTTTTATGTTAGCATAAACTATTGATCACATGACCTAGCCTTTCCATGCACAACATGTAACATCTCCTTTTTCCAAACACTATTAACTAATTAAACTTATGGTAATCAATAGATTAACCCATTAAGGAGATTACCAAGTTTGAGTTTTAAATCAAGTAGATCATAAGTTTTCATAATCAAAATGAGCTAAACCATTCATAAACTCTTATATTAGAGTAAAAACAAGTTATGAAAGCATAAGATACCTTAGAAGAGTAAAAAAAATAAAAATAGTTTAAAAAACAACATGTTTGCTGTGAGACAGAGTAATGTACTGTGGCTCGTGCACACTATATCATAGCGTGTTACTCTCTATGCCACGCATTGTAACTCAAGCGCCCATGCACCATGGCGTGTTGCACATTAATTATAGCAAATTCTGTTATCATTTGACAATAAAATTAGAGAACTTCCAATGTGTCTCAATTCTCCATTCGAATAACATGATCTAGGTGTCTACAAAAAACTCTCTCCATAAATTAGCTAATAACATAGGTTTTACTTTCAAAATAAGTCACATTAGAGAGTTAAACACTCAAACCTATTTTTATCACTTTTCACAGCCAAGGGTGTTCAAAACCTAAAACATGTGCCAAAAGTCTTTCCTAACACCCGAACCATGTTCATTAGACCTAGGACTATTAATACAATATGTCATATACACTCAGATACCAATATACTACAAAATCATTCCTTAACCCCTTTTTCACTAAAAACATAAAGGGAAGGTAATTTGCTTTACATTGTATCAAAACCAATCGTAACATGTTTAAAATATCATTTATACACTTGCACTAGTATTTTGGCCCTATCAATATATATAACTTATCACACATAATCACTCAAGGCTCAAAATACAATCCAGATACTTAAAACAACCAATTAATGCAAGTGCAAATGAGATGAACCTAAAATTTGTAACAATATTCTATTATAAAAAAATAAATATAATATAGAGGCATACAGTAGGAATAAATTAATTTCTAACCTTTTGAGCCTTCTTCCTCTTTACACCAAAGCTAGAACTTGTAAAGGGTTAAATGAAAGGGGTGAGTCTAGCCATTCAGTAACTAAGATAATACCTACCCTATGCAGTTATATATTAATTGAAGTCAAATACATGCATATAAAATTAAGTTCTTAAAACATGCTTGCATATAAGTAATAACTTATCATTTACATTTAACTCATTTCTATCCCACATACACTAGGTACATTATCACAAGATATTAAGACATGTGACTATAACCCGATACCTACACAACTTGCCATATCACAATCATTTGACACGTCATAAATTTACATAGGTAACGATCAACTAGCCTCATACTCTCCTTATTTTCTCCCATTGAAACCGTAGGCTATAACACTAAATAGGGCTCCGTCCATGTGATTAGACTATTCAAGCTCACTGATTATGAGATATGACTCGGCCAACGATTATATGAATCACCCTCAGACCGCGGCTTCCCCCACTCTTAAATCTCTAGGGTGTCATATGTCTTAAGTTAATCTTCTTAATAAACTGGTGGAGATAGTTAGGTTCTAGTCCCTTAATAAATTATGGGATAAGACTATACCTCTGTGCACCGAAGGGCATTCAAAATACTATATAGATTTTAACTCCTCCCAATCTCCCTAGGCGAACTCTTGCCAACTAATCATGCCATGTACAATGCCCACTTATTTTTACAAATCTTATTTATTCATTATTAACACGTTGGGTTCACGTAATTCACTACCTAAGTGAAATCAATATCATTTTCTCAACATTATTTTCACTTTCAAGTGTAACATCTCACCATACCCTCCATGGTCTTTGGCCCCCCTAGGCTCACTACTGCCTTACAAGTCTATTAATGGTACAGCCTGACACAAGATTATATTACCCATTTTTACATACAATCACTACTTTCAAAATCAACAAATATATCTTTGTTAAAACTCATCATCAACTAATCAAATTTATAATCATTTATATACCTTTTCTTCATATCAAAAAAATTATGCAACATATGATCTCATAGCATGTTATACAAATCCTCAAGTCACAATTCATATGTTAAATACATATTTCGCATCATATCGTAATTAACATACAGTAGGATTTTTTAAACTAAATTAATTCTTCTTGAAAATATACTCTCATAAAAATATTTGGTATTCCTATCACTCCCCTTAAGCCAATTACAGCGAGGTTTTTTAAACCAAATTATTTCTTCTTGAGCTTATAGCTTATAAAGCTCTTACCAAAGCTATCCTTCGATCTTTCCTTATCTTGTTATTAGAGTTATTGGAACCAACTTTGTCTATCCCTTCAAGTTGCTTCACAATGATGTTCTTTTTCCTCAAAATGTTTCCTGCCACATTTTTATTCCACTACAAAGCGTTGGTTGTAAAGAAAGAGACTCCTTCCAACCAATCCTTGTTTGACCAAGTAACCACCATAACCTCTTTGAAATTGTCCTTCGAGATATTTAAAGAGTTGAGACTGAGGTCTAATAGAGGCAGGAGATACATTTGCTACCACAGCAACTTTATGGTCAAACTTGAATTATGGAAGATTATGAGTTTTAAAATTACCAAACAAGTCTTTCCATTACAAAAAAACCTAGCCAATCCTTTCTTTCACCCTTCCTCTTTCCTGAGTGAATTTATCTCCGACAAGGGGAACATCAAAGAGACTAGAGATAGTAAGATAATGATTGAAATTCAATATATTACTCTTAAAAGGAGGGGAGCTACCTAATTTGTCATTTACGCTCTTGAAAAGTGTTAAAATCGCCAACAACAATCCAAGGTTTAGTGATAGTTTTTGAAATTTCAAACAGAGAATCCCATAAAGGAAAGAGATGACTTTATGAAATTTCACCATAGGCAAAGGAAGCAAAGATAACCAAATTATTCTAGCAATTATTAATATGACAATAGAGAAATTGAGAGGAAGAATAAACATACTTAACAGTAAACTCAGATTCATTCGCAGCAACCAAATCCCACTTGAAAACCTTATAACTTTTACTTTAATCTAGTTAGAAAACCTAAATCAACATGATATTTTATCAACATTAGCACTACTTACACAAGTTTCCAATAGATAAAGAAATTTAATGCCATATTTGACAACAAATCTCTAATCATTTATGGGAATACTTTATTTCTAGTGCCCCTTACAATTCCATGTTCCTATAACCATTAAAAAAATTAATGATTAAAAAAAGAAGTAAAGGACTTACACGGAAGAATCATCTTCCATCTGGGTCTCTATAACCACAGTTTAGACCAACGATGGCAACATCTCATCGCTACTCCCAACCCATTAGATTCATCTATACTAAGAAGATGAGAATTCTCTAGCGATAACTCTAATGAAGAATTCAAAACCACATCGCTGTTTGACATCGTAGAGGTGTGGGGTTTGGGTGTTTGTTCTCTTTCAACTCTAGAGTATTTTGAAAGTTATGAGTGGGCTTGTTTATAATGGGCTTAATAACAATAAAATTAGCCTGATTCAAATTTTCTGAGACTATATTGTGGCTATGTTTGGACTTGTCATAATTTTTGTTCTCCCCCAACTTGTTCATAGGCCTAGCTTTACTATAAGAAAGAACCTACCCATCAAGGAAATTTTGTTATTCCCAATGCACACCAAGAAGTTGTCTCTCCTTTTTATTATTTCCTTTGAGTTGATTCCTTACACCCCCTGACTCCTTAGTTCTTTAACCCTTGCTCAAGGTATTGATATCCTTTTTCTTAGCCCTCTGGCTTTCCTTTCTTATAATTGATTTACCTTTATCCACTCTAGAATTGTCGGAGGCACTTAGCTCGACCTTATCAAGGGTAGTGTATTCCCTATCTCTCTCCTCATTATCAAGCTCTATTATTACCAAAAAATTGAATTATTGCCACTCACTTTTGCTTTTTCTAACAAATACATCCCCTCTCTGGGAATTCGACAGCCTTACTCTAAACCCTTCTTTCCTCATGAACTACATTTTTCTTCTTCTCCACAAACATCTAGGTACCCAGCTTGTTCCCCTTCGATGAGTTCATCTTTTTTGGTGGCATTGTCGGATGTGTTACCCTAATGCAAATGTTGTCTTAGATTAATGACATCATTTCTTTATACATTAAAAGGGTAGTTCTCTTTTTTATGACCATACTTTCTACATAGAAAGCGAACTATACCAATGCCTTTATATTCAATATTAAACCATTGATTGCCAAAGATAACTCTGGTATGGGTATGAGTTTCTTTTAGAGATCCACTTCTACACATACTTTGGCATGGCAACCTCTTTCAATCTTTTCCTTCTTCTCTTGATTGACTTCAACCTCTCTGATGGTATTAAGATCTACATGCAAAGTACATCCCATTCTATTACCCAGTCTCTACATAAATACCTTATTATAATAGTACATTGATACATTAGGAATTTTGATTCAAATGGGCATTCTACCTAGTGGATCATCTATAGCATTAAAGTCAGGCATCCATCTTTGCACAAAGACGCAATGTTGTTGGATCATCTAGGGCCCTCTAAGTAAAACCTAACAATATAACTCCTTATAGTTTGCTAGTTCATCAAATCTAACAATAAAGTAATTATTTGGTAAATTGATAATTTCAAACTCAAGAATGTTCCATATTTTTGATGGCCAAAGCTTTATTTGGCCAAGGTTTAGTTTGAGAACCAAGATCGTTACTACCAGAGCATACTTCTATGGCTTGCACGATTCTTTAAATTCTACCTTTATGGCAAGAATTATAAGGAACTGTTCCATTGATTTCTTAATTTTTGGAGATGGTTGAGGAATACTCCAAGGTACATGATTGACATCCTCAAATAGGTCATATTCTTCCACAACAACATCTATATTCGCCATGCCGTTGCACCCCAATAACAAGTCCTTATACGAAGGAGGCCTTTTCATTATCAGAGGGGTACTCTATTCCTTCACCTCTTCCTTGTTCTCACTTTATTTAGAATCAAGTCGAACAACATTACCTTTCTCTTCCTTACTATCACTCAGCATCAAGTTATCCATAGTGAAGTCATCCACAATAGCATCCTTGTTGGAGTTCTTCTTTTTCTTCTTTTCCTTCTTACCAAGAACCAGCTCATCGAAAGGTTGGTTCAATGGTTGTTTCCAGTGATAAATCCCGTTGGAAGTTATGGGTATTATTGAGGCATAAAAACCAAGAGAGAGAGAGAAGAACTAAAAACCTTAAGGGCTTTGATGTTTGGCAAATTATGTTTGATGTTTCATACAAACAAGTTAATGTTGGCTTGAAGCCTTTCCTTAAAGTAAAGATATCACATTGTGTCACTAACATTGTTGGCTATTAGACAAAAAAAAAATCACAAACATTATCTACAATCCAATATAGTCTAAAAACTCAAATCAATGTAGGAAAAATATATAAAAATATATACAACTATTTTACCAAATATGTACTCCCTCCTATTTTTTTTATTAATCACATTCTAAAAAGTTTTCTTGATCATTTATATAAGTCACTTTTCATTAATTTTTATAACTTCTAATGTAAAATTCCAAAACTACTCTTTATCAAATTCTAAAAAAAGTGTAATATTTTATATTTTTTAAAATGCTTTTCACGTATCAAATTATTATTTTTTAAATTTAGGAAAAAAGTCAAAAAATAAATTTATTTTTAAAATAGCTTTTTTATTCTAACTAGTTGATTTTGGTTTTGGAGAATTAGTTTAAAGTTATTTATAAAAAATAAAAAAGGAGAATGACTCATAGGTTTAGGATGATCAATTAATTCATACAAAGTCTCAGGTGTTAAACTATAAAAATTTACGAGTTCATATTTCAATATTATAATGTCATTGTGATGAATTTATAGCATATTTTTTAAATTTTAATATAATTGAAGGATAAATAAATTTATGTTTTTGTTAAAATTTAGAACATAAATTATAAATTTATTATAATAAAATTATAAAATTAAATTTTAAACTTATAAATTTTTGAAATTCGATATTCAAAATATAATTTAAATTAATTCATCCTCTGCACCTCTGCGTCATTCTGCCAAGTAAAAACGCTAATGAGTGTGTTATATATAAAAATAACCACGCTAGGACGGAATGGCGAGTACAGTTGCAGGGACCAGACTCCAAAAGTTGACTGCTATTTTCATACCATACGGAAGATATGGCGAGGAAGGAGACGGTAAGAAACGCCGAGCTGCTTGTAGAGAAAACAATGAACGGGAACGATGCTTCCCATGACCCAGCTCACGTTTGGAGGGTCCGTGACCTTGCTCTATCCCTTGCTCGCGAGGAAGGCCTCTCTTCCAACCCCACCTCCATGGAAATTGTAAGCGCCTTCTTTTCACCTTTAATCCCTTCCAGCCATTGTTAGACATTGAAAACGGGAAATAGGCAATGGGACATTCCCCTTCACACTGGGGTTGAGTCAAAGTTTGCTGTATCACTGAATCACTGATATTATGTGCAAAATTATCAATATCTCGTATCCATAATCTCCCGTGGATCGAATTAAATTAATATTAATAGATATGTTGTTCAGGATCAGGATTTCTCTACAAATCAGCATAATAATCTTGCTTTGGTTGACAGCAGTTGAAATTTTATCATCCCTTGCGTTACTACAGTCATAATTTTATTCAAATTTTGAAAAAATAGCTATATATGATCTTCTGGATTTTACTTTTAATTGTCACGTTTCAGTTTCAAACATTTCTGGGAGTTCTTAGGGAAGCTTAGACTGCTTGCCTGCTGACCAGTGAATTACTCAATTTTACCATCATTCAGTCATGGATCTAATTCTCCTGTACCTGTTCTGTTGTGTTTGATGATTTTGCTTCGTAAAAAACTTATTTATACAATGCAGGACAATTGTTTATCTACCATGTTAACATTTGTGTCAGTAACATTTGCTTTACTTACCATACTCACGACAACAACAACAAACCTTATCTCACTAGATGAGGTCGGCTACATAAATTATATGATGCCATTGTACTCTATTATTTATTAAGTTTTTAGGAATATTATGAATTAAAAAGTCTTGCTTAACAACCTCCAAAAGTGTTCTCTTCGGTCTTCCTCTACTCTTCTTGACATGGTTTAAAGTCATCTGTTCCACTCTCCTTACAGGTGCCTCACGTGGTTTTCTTTGTATATGTCCGAATTACCTCAAATAATTTCTACCATTTTTTCTTCAATAGGTACCACACCCACTTTTTCCCGTATTCGTTCATTTCGAATTTTATCTTTATGTGTATATCCACACATCTATTTCAACATTCTCATCTTTGTTACTCTAACTTTATGCTCTTGCTATCCCGTCAAAGCTCAACATTCATTACCATATAAAATTGCTGGTCTTATAGCAATTCGATAAAACTTTCCTTTAAGCTTATCGGGTACCTTACAATTGCAAATAACTCCTTTAGTCTTTCTTCAATTAAACCATCCCACTTGTATCCTATATGTAATATCTTCATCCCAAATATCTAAACTTTTTCACTTGAGGTATGGTCTGATCACCTAATTTCACTCCAAGTTACTACTCACTAACCCCTTGTCAAAAATTACAATATAAATATTCTATTTTACTCTTACTCAGGTAAAAACCTTTTAACTCCAATATCTTCCTCCATAATTCAAGTTTACAATTTATTTCTTCTCTTGTGTCTGCTATAGGAATTATATCATTCGCAAAAAGCATGCATTTAAGAATTTCCTCTTGAATATGCTCAGTCAAAACATCTAACACTAGATCAAACAAATAAGGACTCAAAGATGATCCTTGATGCAATCCAATCTTTATAGGATAATCTTTTGTTTCATCACCAAGCATTCTTATACTAGCTGTTGCCCCCTCATACATATCTTGTATAGCTCGAATATAAGCAACCCGGACACCCTTCTTTTTTAAAGCCTTCCAAAGTACTTCTCTAGTTACACGATCATAAGCTTTTTCCAAATCAATGAAAACTATATGTAAATCTTTGTCTTTACATCGATACTTTTTTATTAATCCCTTTAGTAGATAAATTGCTTCTATAGTCGCTCTCCCTGGCATAAAGCCAAACTAATTCTCCGAAATTCCAATTTCCAATCTCAACCTATGCTCAATCACTCTTTCCCATAATTTCATAGTATGACTCATAAGTTTAATCTCTCTATAGTTAACACAATTCTTAATATCTCATTTATTTTTGAAAATAGGAACAAAGATGTTTCTCCTCCAATCGTCTGGCATTCTCTTGAATTGTAAGATCTTATTAAATAATTTAATTAACCACCGCGCTCTTTCTTCACTCAAACATTTTTACATTTAAATGGGGATACAATCAGGTCCATTGGCTCTATTATTTGCCATTTTCTTAAGAGCTTTTCTCACTTCCCAAGCTCATATTCTTCGATAAAAAAACAAATTTTGCTCTTTTTTCAGAAGTTACTGAATCTTCCATGTTAATTGACGACCCCCAATCATCATTGAAAAGTTTAGAAAAATATGTCTCCCATCTGTCTTTAATATCATTATTTGTGACCAAAATATTTCCCCCTTCATCTTTTATATACCTTACTTGTTTTAAATCTTTTGATTTTCTTTCTTTACTTTTAGTAATCTTATAAATTTTTTGTTCTCCATCCTTTGTCCTAAGACCTTTATAAAACTCTTTAAATGTTTTAAAATGAGTTTCACTTACGGCCCTCTTAGTTTCCCTTTTAGCTATATGATACTTTTTTCAATTTTCACTATTATTGCACAAATGAATGGCTTTAAAACACTTCTTCTTATACTTTATTTTTTTTTTGTATGCTATTATTTTACCACCAAGACTCCTTATCTTTCAAACCAAAACCTCTTAATTCTCTCAAAACTTCTTTTGCAACCTTCTTTACCTTCACAGCCAAGTCTTTCCACAAGGTGTTAGTACTTCCTTGACACTCTCAAATTCCTTCGGCCAAGGGATTTCTCTTAAAAATTTCTCTTTTTTCACCTTTTAATTGCCACCACTTAATCTCTAAAGTTATTACTTGTCAACGCTTTTGGTTTTTACTCATAGTATGTGCATCAATGACAGGGACCTTGTGTTATGTCATAATAGCATCCCCAGGAATCACCTTACAGTTTTTACAAAGTCTTCTATCCGTGTTCCTTACCAAAAATCAATCTGTGACCTTGAAATTCCGTTTTTATAAGTGATGAGATGCTCATCCCTCTTTTTAAAACAGGTATTAATAATCTTGAAATCATACGCCGAAGAGAAATTTGAGATATGTTGTCCTTCATTATTTAGCTCCCTAAAACCCAAACTACTATGCACCCTCATATAATGACCTACCTCCCTCCCGACATGTCCATTAAAGTCTCCTCTAATAAATATCTTTTTACTACGTGGTATGCTTTTAATCAACCCTTACAAGTCTTCCCAAAATAATTCTTTAAGACTGGCTTCTATCTCAACTTGAGATGCATAAGCGCTAACAATATTGATAGTCTCCTGTCTGATGATCAATTTTAAGGAAATAATTCTATCCCTAATTTTGTTAACTTCTTCCACTCCTTATCAACAATGATACCCACTCCATTGCGTGTGTTTACTTTCCCGGTATATCAATTTGAAACCTTGGATATCCTTAGCTTTTTCACCAGCCCATTTAGTCTCCTGCAGGCACAAGATATTAATTTTTCTCTAAATCATAACACCTACCACCTTCATTACCAGTCAAGGTCCTAACATTCCAAGTACCAAGTCTGATCTTGCTCACATGGACTAACTTCTTTAGCCGCGCTCGTCTAGAATAACGCGGTAGCTCTTGCTCATTTAACACTACATCTGGGCATCGATGCAGTGGTCCTAACTCATTTATCACTGCACTCGAGTCATGCAGCGTGTTACTTACGGGTAACGACCTAGCATTAGCAAAAAAATGTCTATTGTCTATATCCATGTATGATTCAACAAAGTTTTACATTAGCTATTAAGGGCCTAACACAACCCTTCTCTTTTATCCAGACTTGGGACTGGCTATAAAACATAGGCGGAGTTACTTACCATACATCATATTAAATTTTAAATTTTACTTACCATACTCACATCATATTACTTACCATATGCATATCATATTAAATTTTAAATGCTTCCTTGCAGGTAGAGCTTGCTGCCTTGCTCCATGATATAGGTAATGATCTGTCTCCTCTCTCCATGCAAAGTTTCATTTATAGTCATTTCATATTCTTACTGTGAAATGTTTAAGGACCTATAAAGAGTGTTATGACAAGGCTTTTCCTTGAGGTAATGGAGAGATCTTAAAATTTTATCTTTATTTTGGTAAAATTTGAAACTAACATCATAACATTCATTCCTTTTTAGGGGTAAGAAATCCGAGCCAGTGTTTCCTATATTTAAGGCCTTTCTAGTTTTAAGGTGTAATGCAGACAAGGAATGCCCCCTAGTCAGCGAAATTGCTGAATTTGATACCTCTAATGTTGTAACCTTAGGTTCTATTGTGGAATGATGACAGACTTGAGTATTGAAAAATTGTCTTTTTTTTCATACTAAATCTTTGTACAGAACCGGGGGAATTTATACAGCAATGGTGATTATATACAATAAATGCAATATAATCACGGTAATTAATGTAATAAAATTGATGCAGTCATAGGAAATCAATTTCTGATTTTCCTCACTTGGTGCAATAAAGTTCAGATTCTCCACACTTTGGTAGGGCCAAGGGTAAGAGAGTTAATCTACTAGTTTTTCATAAGCAAGTATCTCACTCAAAGAAAATGGTAGCTAAGTCAAAGACTATCTCCCAAAACTAAAAAGTCTTGATTAATTCTGAATGCTTTTCTACAGACGAGCAGGACATGTAAATAGGCTGGAAAATAACTGAAGACTCTAGAAAACTACCCACTTCCAATTCAGACTTAATAAAATAATAATACCTCTTGAAAGCTAGGACACTTTCAACAAAAATAAATAACTAAAATAATAAAATATAGCAGAAATATTTGAGCTCCAAGTTAGTCATGATTCCTCTTTTTTCTACTGTATGTGAGTAGTGGTGCCCTGTCACATCTCCCCCTTTCAAATGTCACCTTGTCCTCAAGGTGAAAATCTGGAAACTGAGCAGCAAACAAGTCGTAATCCTCCCAAGTAGCATCTTCAAGTGGCTTGTTTTTCCAAGCTACCAATAATTCCAGCACCTTTCCTGATTGCCAGCGATGATCTGGCTGCAACAAGAGTTCCCAATCATTGGAAATCGGAAGAGGAACTGGAGAAGATGGTAAAATGCCATGTGCAGGACGCAACAAGGAGACATGGAAGATGTGATGAATTTTTGCATCAGATGGGAGTTCTAGCTCATAAGCTGCAGCTCCAATTTTCTTTAGAATTTTGTAGGGACCAAAGAATCTAGGAGAGAGCTTTTCATACTTCTGCTTTGAGAGAGATTTTTGTCGAAAAGGTTGAACACGCAGCATCACATAGTCACCTTCGTGAAAAACAAGCTCCCTACATTTTTTATCTTGCTGATTTTTCATTCTACCTTGGGCCTTTAAGAGGTTATCTCTTAATAGCTTTAGCATAGCATCTCTATTTAACATCTACTCTTCCAATTCAGCATTAGCAGTTTCACCCTTCACAAATGGGTGTAAAGGGGGAGGATCTCTACCATAGACTACCTTGAAGGGTGTGGTACCTGTGTACGCATTGAATCCAGTGTTGTAAGAGTATTCCACCCAATATAAATAAGCGCTCCATTTTCTTGGTTGTTCATGAGCAAAACAACGAAGGTAAGCTTCCAAGCACCTATTAACCACTTCGGTTTGGCCATCCGTCTGCGGGTGATAAGAGGTGCCCATCTTCAACTTAGTTTGGCTAAGACGAAATAATTCTTGCCAAAAAGAACTAAGGAAAATGGAATCCTTATCTAAAACAATTGAGCAGGGCATGCCATGAAGACAAACAATTTCCTTGCAAAAAATTTCAGCCACAATTTTTGTGGAGTAGGGATGAGAGAGTGGGAAGAAGTGGCTATATTTGCTTAATCGATCAGCTACTACAAGTATAGTATTGACTCCTTGTGATTTGGGAAGAACAATGATAAAGTCAATAGAGATGTCTTCCCAAATTCGTTCTGGAATTGGCAGGGGCTGTAGCAAACCTGCGGTAGAAAGAGTCTCATATTTGTTTTGCTGGCAAATCAAGCATTGCTAAACATACAACTTCACATCCCTCTTCATTTGGGGCCAATAAAACTGATCAGTAAGCCTCTTAAGTGTTTTCAAATAACCACCATGACCTCCTGTAAGGGTTTTATGTGCTTCTTGTAGAAGAGTAGCACGTAGGTTGTTCACAGAAGGGATAACCAATTTGCCTTTGTGAAAAAGCTTGTTGGCTGACCATTGAAAATTTGGCCTAAAATTACCATCTCGTTGTAAATAAGAAATGATTGCCTGAGTGTAAGGGTCTTATAACAATACTACTTGCAATTCAAAAAAATCCAGGGGCACAGCTATAGATAAGTTGAAGAATTCAGCTTGATGTGGTTTTTGAGAAAGGGCATCTAAAGCCATATTCTCTTTTCCTACCTTATACAGAATGGTGAAGTCAAAAGGCATTAGCTTCAAGATAAGCCTCTGTTGTGAATTAGTGGTAATACGCTGTTCTAACAGATGTCTTAAACTGCTATGGTCAGTTTTAATGTAAAAATGATGCCCAATCAAATAATGTTTCCATTTCTGAACAGCAAGAACAAGAGCCAATAATTCTCTATCATAGGCAGATTTATATCGATTAGAAAGGGAAAAACCCTTACTAAAGTATGCTACCAAATGATCTTGTTGCATGAGGACTGCACCAACACCTTCTATAAAGGCATCACATTCAACGGTAAATGGTTGAGAAAAATTGGGCAAGTGAAGAACTGGAACAGTGGTTAATGCCCTTTTGAGCTTTTGAAAAGCCTCCTCAGCTTGTTCATTCCAACAAAAAGCATCCTTCTTGGTGAGATTCGTGAGTGGCTTGGCAATGACTCCATAATTCTTCACAAACCTCCTATAATAGCTAGTGAGTCCTAGAAATCCTCGGAGCTCCTTGACTGTTGTAGGAGAGGGCTTTTGCTTAACAGAATCAATTTTTTCAGGATCAACCCCAACACCTGCTTGTGATACAATGTGGCCAAGAAAGTTGAGTTGTTGGTAGCCAAACGAGCACTTCTTAGCATAAGCAAAGAAAGCATTAGTGCGTAACAAGTTTAGAATTGTCTCCAAATGAAGCTTATGCAGATGTAAAGAGGGGCTGTAAACCAGTATATCATCAAAGAAAACCAAGACAAAACGTCTTAAATGAGGACGAAAGAGGTCATTCATTACCGACTGAAAAGTTGATGGAGCATTAGTAAGTCCAAAGGGCATAACAGTAAATTCATAATGACCTGAATGTGTCTGAAAAGCTGTCTTAGGAATGTCTGGAGGATTGACCCGGATTTGATGATACCCCGAATGAAGATCAATTTTGAAAAGTAGGCAGCACCGTGTAATTCATCAAGCAATTCATCCACATTAGGAATAGGATACTTATCGAGAACGTAATGTGATTAAGTTCTCGATAGTCTATTCACATCCTCCATGAGTTGTCCTTCTTCTTTACTAGCAGAACAGGGCTTGCAAAAGGGCTAAAGCTAGGTTGGATAAACTCTTTGGCTAACAATTCAACAACTTGTCTCTCAATTCATCCTTCCGGAAGTAAGGATATCTATATGGCTTGATGTTGGGAGGTTGAGAATTTGGATGTAGAATAATGGCATGTGAGTGTGTTCGGAGAGGAGGCATTGTAGTAGGTTACGTAAATATATCTCTGTAATCCTGAAGTAGCCCCTCAATATCTGTAAGCTTATATGGGAGACTCCCTTTGAGACCCTCCTGCTTAGTCAACACATTAAACACATTAAATTCTGCCTTTTAAGTAGTCTCCCGAGGCATTCCTTGCAATTTATACCTTTTTTCATTAACCCAAAAAATCATAAACATTTGCTGCCAATTGGCTCGTATTGTTTTCAATAAAGCTAGCCATTGAATGCCAAGAACCATGTTTGAACCAGCAAGAGAAAAAGGGAAAAAATCACCCACAATCTTTAAATCTTGAACTTGCATATATAACTGCTTACAAACTCGGGTGCAACGAATTAAAGAGCCATCCCCAATCTGAATGCCAAAGGGTGGAGTGGTTTGAGTAGGCAATTTGAGTTCAGCAACCAATGATTCTCTCACAAAGTTATGAGTCGAACTACTATCAACTAGTATGGTGATTTCTCGCTACTGCAACATACCTCGAAGCTTCAGAGTGGAAGTCGAGCTCTTCCCCAGAATAGCGTGGAGAGAGATTTCGGCCTGTAGCTCATTGTTTTCGGTCTCCTCTTCCTTAACAGACTCGATCGCACAAACAGGGTCACCTTCTTCATCTACTTCCAAGATTTTCAACGTCCCTGTTCTGCAGCGATGCCCAAGCATAAACTTGTCACCACACTTAAAACATAAGCCTTTTTTTGTTTGTGTTTGCTTCTCTATATCCTAGGAGCTTGGTGTCACGTTCGAGTGAGATGAAGATGCAACAGAAGTTGCGACTGAATGTGTGTTTGAGGGAAGCATAAATTGTGTCCCACTAATGCGTGCGTCTTGGCTAGAGATAGGGAAATTGGGCTGGATCCAAGTCAGGTTGGGGAACCCACCCCGTTTTTGGCCCACGACCCAGTAGGGTTTTGGCTTCATATTCAATCACAAGGCTCATTGCTTTGTATATTGAGCGTGGCTTCTAAATCCGGACATCTACCTTCAACTCTTCCTTCAGTCCGTTCAAGAATACACCTAAGAGACAGTGCTCAGGCTAGTTTTTCACACGTGTGGATCTCTTAGCAAACTCTTGCCTATATTCTTGCACTGTTCTAGTCTACTTAATGCCATAGAGATGCTCGTCTGGGTTTTGAAATTCAGCAAGACCATAGTGCTCTTGAAGCACTTTCGTGAGTTCTTCCTAGTAAAGCAAGGTTTGTTCAGTGTTGATCCAAGCAAAGAGATCTAGTGCATCTCCTTCAAGGTACATAGCTGCAATATCTACTTTCAATTCATCTGGTGTTTGATAATATTGAAAATATTTTTCTGCCTTCAGAATCCATCCTCTTGGGTCACCACCTTTGAATTTGGGAAATTCGATTTTTGTAGATGGTCGCCTTGAGGGATTTTTCAATCACTAAGATGTGTCATAATCATCTTCTTCCTCAAAGGCACAGATATGTGTCTTGCCTTTGTCTTTGTTGCTTCCTTCAACATGAGATTCACTGTGAGAAGCCTTAAGAGCAGCTATCTCTGTGTTAAGTTGTCCTAACTGGGCAGCCATCTTAGATAGTTGGTGGGTAAGGGCATCGGGAAGGCTAGTTTGTTGTTGGTCAGAGGAGCGTGTGGAAACCATCTCGTAATTGAGCTCGGACACCAAATGGTAGGGTCAAGGGTAAGAGAGTTAATCTACCAATTTCTCATAAGTATCTCACTCAAAGAAAATGGTAGCCAAGTCAAGGAGTATCTCCTAAAACTAAAAAGTCTTGATTAATTTTGAATGCCTTTTTACAAACGAGCAGGCCATGTAAATAGGTTGGAAAATAACTGAAAACTTTAGAAAACTACCCACTTCCCTGAATGTCTGACTTAGTGGACAAACTGAATAAAACAGACTTAGTAAAATAATAACTACCTCTTGAAAGCTAGGACACTTTCAACAAAAATAAATAACTGAAATAATAAAATATAGCAGAAATATTTGAGCTCCAAGTCAGTCACGATTCTCTTTTTTTTACTGCATGTGAGTAGTGGTGCCCTATCACACTTCCTCTCAAGTTGGATTATAAATATTAATTATGTCCAACTTGCTTATGCATTCATTAAAGCTCTCCCTTGGAAGGCCCTTGGCGGGGACATTAGGAACTTACTTCTTTGACAGGACATATATTAGGCATGCCACTTTGCCTTCAATTTTTTCTTTGATGAAATGTCTATTCGCTTCAACATGTTTTGTTCTATCATGTTAAACTGGATTATGAGATATATTTATGGCTGCCTCCCTATCAGGATCCAGCTTAATAGGCCATTCCACACCAATCTGTAGTTCCTTTAGAAGTATTTGCAGCCACAAGCCCTCACAAATTCCTTGCACTATAGCTCTAAACTCAGCTTATGCTACACTCTTAGACACCACATTTTGTTTTTTGCTCCTCCAAGTTACAAGCTTGCCCTAAACAAAGGTAAAATACCCATATATGGATGTCCTATCCTTTGAGGCACTAGTCCAATTGGCGTCAGTAAATATTTTTACATTGGGTTGCTCCCTTCTTTTGAAGAATAAGCCCTCTGATAGGTATATCAATTTCCTTACCAAACTTTGGTATCTCTCCTTTTCAACAATCGGCCTTCTTCCTCCTTCTCTCTGTCTTCTTCCTCCTCATCTTTGCTTTCTTCCCCCTTCTTCTTCTTCTTCTTCTTCTTTACTGCAATGGGAGTATCAAATATCAATTGGTTTGCAGCCAAGCATTCCAATTTTTGTCAAGAGATCAGGGACATATTTTCTTTATGAGATGCATATTCCTTTTTTTGGCCTTGCTACTTCCATACCCAACCATATCTTATTCTTCAAATTTAGAGACTAGGACTTTCTTCAATCCCTCTATTTCCTCAAAATCATCACCAATTAAAACCATATCATCCACATAGACAATCAGTATGGTACTTTTTCCTTCCCTGTGTTTAACAAAGAGTGTATGATCAAACTGGCCCCGTTGATAGTGCTCCTTTTTTAGAACCTTTTGAGAACCTATCAAAGCATGCTCTAAGAGATCACTTTAGTCCATAATGGGTTTTCCTCTACTTGCAAACTTGGTTGCCTTTGCCCCGTTTTTCAAACCCAAGAGGCAGAGTCATATAAACTTCTTCAACTAAGTCACCATTGAGAAAAGCATTATTGACATCTAGCTGATGAAGTGACCAATCAAGATTTGCATCTAATGATAATAATAATCTAATTGTGTTAAGCTTTGCAACTGGAGCAAATGTCTCGGTGTAATCTATGCCATAGGTTTGAGTGAACCTTTTTGCAACAAGACGAGCTTTGTATTTTTTCTAGGAGCCATTAGCGTTATACTTCAGTGTAAAGACCCATTTGCATGAGAGAGAGAACAAGAAGTAAGGATGGGTTGAGAAGGCTTACAAACAGAGAAAAATTTATTAAAGGTTATCCTAATCCTAAATGCTTAATTATGAAGGGCTTTGTATAGAGTCCGAACTAATAACCTTGTCTAGTCTCTATAATATAGCATACAAAAATAAATCATGTTTTTGAGTAGTACCTCTTTATTTTTCCATTCTCATTTAAGGGATTTTATATTAATAATCTTACTTTCTGCTCTTGTTGATAATTTCAGGTGACTACAAATACCTAAGGTTTGTTATTTTTGTAATTTTTTTCATCTCATTTATGGAATAATACTCCTAATGGTTCTTCTATATGTCATGGCAACGTTATTGTTTTAGGTTAATGTTAAGAAATCTTGGTTAAATCTTGCAAAAGGTCTCTTATCATGTTATTAGCTTTTTAGCATGGTTTCCTTATTTTCGGTTATACTTTTTTACTAGTGGTAGAGGAATACCTAATAAGTAAAATATCATATGTATTCAGATTTTTATTGCCATTATTTGCTCAATGAAATTTGTTCTCTTGCATATCCATAGATTTGATTTTTTTTTTTTTTTTATGCTTCAATTGCATATGTATAAAGGCATTGCTAACCTCCTCACTTTTGTGTGCTGGTTGGCATCCTTCAAATTTTGTAATGGACCAGGAAACATTACCATCTTTGAAAGGCATTATAAAGGATGAAGGATGGGGCGTTGATGTCGTACTTTCAATATGTAGAACATGCAGTGTCATTTAATTTATCTTTTCTTTATTGAATATCCATGTCATGAGAAAATAACAAATTCCCCTGAATGTTGAGGATGCTAAGATCCAAACAACAGTGAGTGTATTAATATTCATCATATTATTCAATAATATATTGTTAAAAGTTAGTTCCATGTGTCTAATTGCAACATGTGAATACTCTCAGGTTTAATTTTCTTTAACGTGTTCCACAGTGTGGCTGCTCTATTTCTTTTATGCTTCCACCGCATCCATTCTATTAATTATAACTTTGTATATTCCATCTTTGCATTGCTGTTCCTCTTTCATTGCTTTCCCTCTCACACTAGCTACTGCATTGTAATACAGGGATCCATCTGAGGGAAAAATTGTGGAGAATTTCCTTGAGGAAGAGGGAGTTGGGGAGAACAAGAAGTCTGTTATTTTGAAGATAATAAAGGGAATGGGTAAGTTATGATTTATCATGTTGTTTTAATTATTTTCTCAATATTTAACATGTTAGACAGAAGGGATATGCAGGAGGAAGCTAGTTTTAGCAGTTAGGTTGCTATACAACTGAAGGGGTTATCAGTACTTAATAGTTATTTGGTTCTAACTACCCATGATAAACTAGTTGTGTAAGCCATTGGAAAAGTTGTGAATGATGTCATAAATGAATTCCTCCAGCTCTCTCGATTTTCCTATTGTTTCTTCTATTTCCTTCTTCCCTATTGGGCAATTCAGAGCAACAAATCCTGTGACCATGGCTAAATGCCACGCATTTGTGATCTCACATTTATGATGTGGTAGACAACTTCTGAGCAAGTGTGGACTAGATAATGTGTAGCTTGGTTGATCAGAGAATGTTTAAATGGAACAAAGAGTCCCAGGCATTCATGAGAACCAGAGTAGAACAGAGAAGGCTAACAGGATAGAGTACTTGCTATCCTTACATTTTGACCAAGGTGGAATTCCTAAAATCCCATCAAGAAGTTGTTTTATGTTGGACTGAAAATTGTGAATTATAGAATACCAAGATAATGGGTGATTTGGGGAGAGAAATATAACGAATAAATATTTTAATTTATTTTAGATATTTTCCATTTAATAATATTGTTTAGATTTTATTTAGATATCTAGATATTATACAAATATCTAGTTATTTAGATTTTATTCAAGTATTTAGTTATGTAGATTTTTTTTAGATTTTATTATCTAGTTATCTAGATTTTATTCATTATTTTAAATTGTATTTGGCGTTATAAATATGCTTAGCAACTTAAAAGCAGGCATATCATGAATAAAACGTACTTTTGAAACTTTTGGCCCCTTGGAGATTCTCCTAAGCGTGGCTATTGAGAGAAGTATGGAACGGGATTCTTATTTTATATCATCTTAATAGATTTATTTCTTATATTTTCTTCTATCAATTCTATGCTCTTATTAATATTATGAAGTTAGATTCTGATTTTATATGTTAATAGAGGTTTATCTTCCTTATTTATCTCTACCCATTTTGGATCCTATTAGTGAATGAATTTCTTATGAAAAGAAAAATCAGAGGAAATAAAGGCCATGGTTGTGAGTCTGCATTTGGATGAAAGGAGTTTCAGGTGGCATAAGACTTAAAAAACAATCAAGAAGGCAGACAATCAGGGGAGAAATATGCAACAGCCATTAGAAAGTTTTGGCCTGCTTGTAAAGACCAAGTGGAAGAGTTGATGCAAATAAGACAAATAGTAAGTGTTAGCAATTACTAAGATGCCTTTGATCTTCTTTTGGACAAGATGAAGCTATTTGAAAGTCAACTAATTAATTGTTTTGCTTCAAGGTTGAGGATGAGATTGCAATATATGTAAGTTTGTTTATATTCAAGACTTTGCTAGATGCTATGAGAATTGCAAAGTCGCAAGAGCTGAGTTCTAAGCATGCAAACTAGATTTGGGGGGAGCAAGAAACCAAGGGCAGGTTCATTGGGAGGTCATGCTTCCTGCAATCAGGAAAGACCAGCTAACGGCAAAACCTTTACTGTCAAAACTACGAACAGCAACTGCCTGAAGCAACAAGCGTTGGGTCAACAACTTGTTATTTTTGTCATGACTCTTGAGAGATACTCTCAAGGTCATGAGCGTCTCCAACGAAGGAAGTTAGAGTTGCACTTGTTTTTTTTTTTACTGTTATGCTTGGTTGAAGTGGTGGAACCTGTTGGGCAAGAAGGATTCGTAAAAATATGTGAAATGATGAAAGAATGCCAAACCCCCCACCCCAAATTTTTTTTTTTAAAAAGGTATGAGGGTATAACAATACTAGGATATGCAAGAAAAACAGTTACCGCAGATTTTTTTTCTTTTTCTTTTTTTCAGGTAAAAAGCGATGTTGGGGAAGGCTCTCCCAAAAAAAAAGAAAAAACCAGCTTTCAAGACTTGCTTGTGGCATTATGATTTTGTTGCAAAATTTCTTCTTTTTCTCAATAAGAAAAGATTTTGATGGCTATTCATTTCAGTTTAAAAATTTTTCATTCTAGATGCTCGTTGCTAAATCCAGGTTTCAAAGAGGAACTGGCGGGACATGCAAATAGTGAATGGTTTCCTGAATTTGGTGTTGTGCAAGATGCTGATCGACTTGATGCAATTGGTGCCATAGGTAATTTGAGAAGTACCAATTGATGCAATTGTAATGTTATTATTATATAGTTTGATTTTCCTTGTACATTTTGTTTGACTTCGTCTTAATATATTATCACAAATGCAAAGGTTTTCCTTGTCCCTTCAATTTTAGGAGTTGCTCGTTGCTTTACTTTTGGTGGAAGCAGGAAGATGAAGCTGCATGATCCTGCTATTCTGCCACGGTGTGAATTATCCAAGGAGCAATACGTGAACAAAGAGGAGCAAACTACCATCAATCATTTTCATGAGAAGCTTTTGAAGCTTAAAGATATGATGAAAACTGAGGTACAACTGTATTTTCCATCTTTACTGACCTAGAGATTTTATTTTATCACCTGTAGCCAAGCATGCTTCCATTAAAGTTGATTTGAAATAGTTTCTCAAGGAGTTTGAGTCTGAGCTTCAAAATTTCAGTCAGGGAAGAGGAGGGCCGAGAGAAGGCATAAATTTATGGAGGGGTTTCTGAAAGAGTTCTATGAGGAGTGGAACTGTGTAGCATAAAATGAGGAACTTGTTCTTTCCCAGATCCATCGCTTAATATGTATATGCATGTAGCATTGGTGCTGTAGAAAGAGCTAAACGGTTATCGATTAGCTCATATTAGGATGATATTCTGATTATGGAGCGTGCAGACTATGGAGGCCATTCAATATCTATTCATGCTTCATTTTGCAATTGACTAAGTTTTTTCTGAAACCTTGTGAGGATGCTGTGGCTTATAAATATGTTGGATTTGAACTTTGCTATCCGTTGCTTCTCTGCCCACCTGACAAAGGTACCGTGTGAATGGCTGGTTCTAGAAATACAAGGCTGAAGTTCTGATGATGTAAAAAGTTTGCATTTTATTGAACATGGTATGGAGAATGCATTTCAAACTAACTAGTGAATACAACCATTTTTCTTTGGGGTTATCTTGTGTTATCCAAGTTATTTCTAGTTTTCTGACAAAACCATTCGGTATCCAACACTTTACCTGCACAATCATCAATATTATATTACAATGCAATATAAAACTGGTGTACTGACAAGCAAAGAAAATATATTATTGACAATATGATTCGTAACCCCAATTTTTCAGCAGCACATTCAACATGAACATTATTTAACTTCATCTCCCTAGAACACAATAGTAAATACAACCATTTTCCTTCATCACTCTGCACAACGCGCCCTTCAAGTACCTATGAATCAGAAACATGAAGAGGGAAAAATAATTAAGGCACGTAGAATACTTGATAAACCCTAGCGAGCCAGTCCATGATGGGTTCAATTTTTACTGATCTGAGAAATGTTTCCGAATCCCCGTGACATCCCTCTTTTCAAGATGAACTCTCAAGCCATGCTTCAAGTACATAGTTAATGCAAGCTTGGGAAGCACAGGGTGATTCTGAACCACCCTCACATGGTAGTGATATATGATGCTGGCAGCAACATATTTCATCTGGTAATAAGCAAAATCTTTGCCTAGGCACAAACGAGGGCCACCATTGAAGGCAGTGAACTTGTAAGCAGATTCACTCATGAAACGGTCATCTCTGAGCCACCTCTCTGGTCTGAACTCTCTGCAATCTTTTCCCCATATGCCTTCCATTCTCCCCATTGCATAAATTGCGTATATGACTTTGGTGCCCTTCTTCAGCTCTGTTCCATCTGGGAATGTGTTGTCTTCAACTACCTGAAAACAGTAGTCATTATTGAACCTTGTTATCAGTTGACTTCTTCAACTCCAAACCCTAGATGGATGACTTAAATGTCTCATTGGACTGTGTGGCAAGAGAGATTAAATTAAATAAGGGCCGATGGGTGATTCTTCTTCTGGACCAAAAGGGAGGGAATGGGTATTTGATTGATACTAGACTGCTAAATTATTTGAGATTTTGAAAAGTCATAGTTGAAAAATATTTTCCATTATTTTTTTAAAAATTAAAATTTAAACCATTCATTTTAACATAAACAATCTACAGCATTGGACTCATTAATTAAAAAATCTTTTAAATTGAAAGAATTCAAATTAATAAAGTCAAAGACAAATAAATAGAATTAGGCTGAGTACTATTCTCAAGGTCTAGTTTCTTTATTATGTTACTTCACTGTTGTTGGTTATCCGAGTCTAGTTTTTTTCCTCAAATGGAGAAGACGTATGTTTGGTAACCAACATAGTTGACCCTAATGATCTAATAAAGCAGCAACGTCATTCTGGAAACTTTAAGGAACACCTGTATCAATTGGTTGGAGGAAGTGGAACTAACCGGCCATTTATTTGTTTATGGGACAAAGAGAGAGAAAAAATGTGGTCCTATTTATAAGGTATTTATCAATTCTCAATACTCATCTTTACATTTTTACCTTCATTAAATACTTTGAATAAAAATACTACTAATGAGATTTAAAAGCATTAAATGTAAAAACATATTAAAAGTGGTTTATAAATAAGTTGAGAGAGAGTATTGAATTTTTTTTTTTTTTTGGACCAAGAGAGGGAGTATTGATTGATAAATCAACCCAGTCAAGTGGCTCTAAAAAGTAGAGTTAGAATCTTGACTCTTGAGATGCATGCCACCATAAAAGGTTTCGTATAATTTATATACTTAATATTAATAATTCAAATATTTTCATCCAAATTTAAGAAGCTTTTAAGTATGATTTTCTCAGTAAAGAGACAGTATTCACAGACCTCGTATAATACTATCATTTACCCGTGTCCGAAACATATAAATATGAAATAATTTTAGCGAAGCAAAAAAACTGAATGAATGATAAAATTTAAAGAATCAGAAAAGTTACCTCCTTGTGATCCACAGGGACGGAAGGGTATAATCGGAGTGACTCAGAAAGAGCAGCCTGCAAATAATCCATCCTCTTAATCTCTTCTGCTCTAAATCTCAACTCTTGTCCCTCCTCCTCCTTCTTCCTATTCACCGCCTCATCTTCTTCCCTCTCACTAATTATCTTGCAAATCTCTTGCACTATCTTCTCTTCCACCTCAGGACTCTCATGAAGCAGCCAGAAAAACCAGCTCAGTGCCACTGAAGATGTGTCCCTCCCTGCTAATATGAAGTTCACACATATGTCTCTCAAGAACTTGTCTGAATATGCCTCTCCTTTCTCATCCTTCAGCCCCATAAATATTGTCAACAAGTCTGACCTCTTATTCTCCTCCTCACGCTGCAAAGACAGCTCCTTTTTCCTTGTCTTTATCACATTCTCTGCGAATTCGTCCACCTTCTTTATCGAATTCCTCAGCTTTCTTTCCATCCCCAGGCCGAGACACCTCATGGTTTTCCACACCCATGTTGGTGTGACGAAGCGAAGCACCGTAGCTTCCGTTGCATCTTCGAAAGCTTTAGCAAATGGGATTTCAGGTAGATTTAGGCTCAAGCATCCTGGATCAACACCGAAAGCTATCATACACACGTTGTCAAACGTAAGCCTCAATAGGATGTCTTGCAAGTCAATGGACCTGGACTTCTCAACCGATGCTTCCAACACAGGTAACAGCCTCAAGTGGACGAGCTCAAACAATGACTCCGTGGTCATGTTCCTGAATTTTGCAGAATGAAACTCAATGCTCGTTGTTTTCCTCTGTCTCTGCCATGTGTCATCATCAGCGTTGAAAATCCCTTCTCCAAGAAGGTCCCTCAGATTGTCCCTGAAGTAAGTTCCTTTGGGAAAAAGAGGGAACTTGGTCTTGAGAAGATGCTCCAAGTTGCGAGGATCAGACGTGACCACGCAGTTGAGGCTGCTGAACCAAGGCCCTTTAAACCGAAAGGTCCAGTTTTGCCGGCTCAGGACCTCAGTGACCCATTCATACAAGTTGGTTCTGAGCCCCGTGAAGACCAGGGAAGGTAACATTCCAAGGACAGGCCAGACGGGCAAGCCATAGCGTTTCTTTTGCCTCATGGAATGGATGGTTACGAATACCATAGCAGCAAGGAGAATCTCCAAGACCTGGACATCTTGCAAGAGAAAGAGGCGGCCGGATAAGGAGTCTCCGGCGAGGGTGAGGCGGTTAGAAGAAAAGGTGGAGTTGAGAGGTTGAGGTTGTATCATGTTGTTGGGGTGATACGGAATATTGTGGCAATGCATGAGCATGCTATGTAATATGTGAGAACAACCAAGTGTAATGGTGGTGGTGGTGGTGGTGGTGGTGGTGGTCATGAGGGGGGTTATATGGGGTGGGAGTGGCTTGTCTTTGTTAGCTTGCTTAAACGGTTTTGGTTTGGTAAGCTGAAATCCAAGGAATCAAATCAGAGTCTTTTTCAAGTGACCTATTAATTACTTGCTACTTTAGCTATTGCTTGTACTGATTTTTACTAGGACTAAGGTATTGTGCACTTGAAGGGTGAAAAGAAGAATGTGAGAGTGCAACAGGGTTGAGTGTCGAATGGGAATTTATTAACTGGGTTGACACTTTGACACATTTTTGTGTTGTAATCAGGACGATGAAAAGTGGGTGCGGGAGGGTTAACTAATTAGCAACTTTTTGTTCTGTTTTTCATTAGTGCCCCAAGTTTCCTCCTCGTACCATAATCCTCTTGGTTTGTTTAAAAACCCAAATTACATTCCTTTGTCAGATGTTCGGCACATAGAATTACCCAAAACCAACATGATTCTCTTCGTGCTTCATGCGACTCTTGCTCCTGCCATATCACTCACACTATCGCCATTTTCATTTTTGGCCCATCCTTGTCTTCTCTTGCTCACAGACCATGCATGCATCAGCATGCATGTCCGCTGCGCATAATTTAATTTATGAAAATGGTTACCCTTGTAAAATAAACTGTGATCCGGTGTTTAATAACTTGTGTACAGTTTAAATGATTCGGCGTTAATTTTTTTTTCCAATCTAATTATATAACTTATTTGAAAACTATACATATACAGCTAAAAGTCAAGAGATTTCTTAAATGGGTTGCACTTGTATACGGCACATTAGGGATTGCTTAAAAGAGCAGCAAATTGGGGGGGAAAAACAAACCATGAGAAATAGGGGGTTTTTTTTTTTTGGTATAATAATCTCCTCTCGCTTGAATACCATAATTCAAATTTAAATATTTTCCAATTTAAAAATAAAAGTGTTTGCAAAGGATGGGGCTTGTAAGTTGTAAGGTAACAATCAAATTTTTTATTTGCATGAATTGTAATTGCAATTGGTCGGATTGGTTGGACGTTGGTTAAAGAGAAGTTGGAACCATACGTAAATGGATGTGTGGCTCAGATTTCATTCTGCTGATGTGTCTTCCAATGTCCACAGGAAGAATGAATACCGCAAGAGGCCGAGTTTGTTGCTCACCTAATAACACAAATTAACAATACAAATTCGTTAAGTAATTGTCACCTTTTCTAATTAATTAAAGTTCTGATAACTTCTAATGATCTGTATTTACTATTTAGGAACGAGGGTTTTTTATTCGTACATGATCACTTCTGATCCTGGTTTGGTGACTGGTGTGCTCTCTTGAGTCCATTTTTTTAACATTAAATTTCAAACATTGTTCTTCTTCACCCTGCATACATCCAAAGAGGAAGCTATTTTTATTTTAGATTTTAAAAATTTCCAATCAAATCAAAATAATCATCTACAATCATGTTCGCTTGGGAAATAAATTATACGCTCAATATTTAGCTAACGGTATGAATTTATTAAATTTGAACGTTTTAATTGGTTCGATGAATTTCCATTCATATCATATGTCCGGATCAGTTATTTGGTTTAATAATCACGTTTAGAAATCTTATTAAAAAATTGAATTAAGCAAGAATCATGACAGGCCCCTTCGTGCAAAGCATCGTTCTACACATAACGTTGCGCGGAATTTTTTTTTTATTTTTATATGAGAAAGTACCAATTAAGGATCGGCAGAAGAAATTTATATCAATCAAGAATTATTTATTTTTAAAATTTAAATGGATGCTTGTCAATTTAAGTTGGTATTTTATCAATAAATATTTAATCAGGTTTTAACAGCAACTTATTCTAAATTAACAATAACTCATTCAGATTTTGATAACAACTAATTCTTAATTGATATAAATTTTTTTTAACCATCCTTCCTTGCTATTTTTCTTTTTTATATTCCTTTTTTTAAAATTTTGAACAAGAGTTATATTTAACTACAATGATTTCATTATTGGGTTTCTAATTAAATACAATTTTAGTTGCCGCATAATGGGCAAATTAACAATAAGATAGTTATCTGTATAAATTTAAAGGTCTAAAAAGATGGCGATAATAAAATATGTCTCAACCCTAATCCTAAATTCCTAATTACTCTAAAAGATATCAAAAATATCCTTATTCAAATAAAATAACCTAAAACAGATTATCTTAAAATAAATGATAAATATCTAGAAATAATCATAATTATATCTAAACTCATGTTCCATCATTTGCCATTCCTTGTGCTAAAAAAAAAAATGAGAATATGAAAGTCATGTTTAAATTATTTAAAAAAATAAATTTAGCATTTTTGAATAGTAAAAATCCGTGGGCTGCGCGATATCTGTGAGGCATGAATCAAACTGAGGGCCCAACCGGACCACTGTCACCATTCTTCAGAAATTGATCCTGTGGACTTCTTCAGTCCAAACCAAAAAAAATGAAAAAGGAAAATATCAATCAAGATTATTAGAGTAAAGTCATATCATTTAAAAACTAATAGATTTTGAGAGTACATTGTAATTCATTGGTCTTTAGCTTAAATTTATTTTTCACATCAAATGACAGAGTTGCCCTTAAAATTTAAAATAATTTTTAAAAAAATTACCCCCTATTGTCACCGATGTTGGCCCATCGTTGGAAATCTTGCCATCGATAAGGTTGTCAATGGCCGATCATCAGAGCTTCGAAGCTAGTGATAATTTATTTGAAAATAATTGGTGGAAGGGACCAAGGAAAAGGTTTGGTGGCCACCAAACCACCAAACTGTCTTAATTATATACAGTAAAAGCGAATATATGTATTAACCTAAACTTCTACAAATGTTAGTTTTTTGTTAACAAATATTCATTCGAGTTTTAACAATAATATATTTAAAATTAATAACAATCTATTTGAGTTTTAAAAAGTTTAAAAAATTGATAAAATGTGTTTAATTATACAAATGTTAGTTCTATATCAGCAAGTATTCATTTAGTTTTTGACAACAACTTATTCAAAATTAACAATAACTCATTTAAGTTTTAATAAGTTAAAGAAAACTAATAGGATAATCTTAATAATAACAAAATGTTAGTAGTATATTGATAAGTATCCATTTAGATTTTAACAACAATTCATTTAAAATTAACAACTCGTTTGATTTTTTTAAGAGTTAAAAAAACTGATAGGATGAGCTTAATTATACAAGTGTTTGTCCTTCATCAGCAAGTATTTATTTAGTTTTTGACAAAAATCATTCAAAATTAAGAATAATCCATTCGAGATTTAACAAATTAGAAAAACCAATAGGATGATCTTAATAGTACAAAATGTTAGTCCTTGATCAATACGTATTTAGTCATATTTTGACAATAATTTATTCAAAATTAACAGTAAATTATTTAATTTTTGACAAGTTATAAAAAAAATAGGAAGGGCTTCATTATACAAATGTTAATAATTCATTAATAAATATTTATTCAGGTTTTGACAGCAATTCATTTAAAATTGACAATAATTCATTTAATTTTTAACAAGTTAAAAAATTAATAGCATAGGTCTAACAGAATAAGTTTTCATCCTACATAAAAAATAAGTCATTTAAATTTTGATGATAACTCATTTGTGATTAACAAATAGTTTGTTTCATTAAATATGTGCTATCAGTTTTTGTAACTTATTAAAGTCTGAATAAATTGTTAGTTTTAAATGAATCTGTGATCAAAACCTAAATAAATACTTTTTGATAAAAGATTTATGATTATATAATTAAGGTCATTCTATCAATTTTTTTAATTTGTTAAAGCTCGAATGAATTGTTATTAATTTCAATTATATTATTGTTAAAACTTAAGTAAATACTTATTAATAAAAGAATAATATTTATAAAATTTAAGATTAAAAATTTGGATTAATATATACTTTTTTTTTTGTCATATATGATTAAGAGAATTTTGTGGTTTGGTGGCCATCAGAATTTTCAGATAGCTAAAGAGACATGGGATTATCAAAGCTCAGCGACCTCAACGACGGCAGTCCAACCGCCAGCGTCAGTAATAATTGGTTAAGTTTAGGGACATGTAAAAACTTGATTTTATATAAGGACCAATGCAATCATAGTGTAATTTCTTATTGATTATTGAGTAATATAATTTTCTCCAACTGGTGGATTTTTTAAAAAAAAAAAAAAGGATGGAGAAAGGAGAAAATGACAAATAAGGATAACATAAAAATAATAATTGTCAGTAAAAACGAAAAATCATACATGGCTAGGGCACGCCGCTGCGATTTGGAGGAGGAGATCCCGCCGACTGTAACAGCAAGCTCGGCATCTCCTCATTGTCGCCAGCCAACGCAATCGGTGTGGCGCTTCTTCCACTTCGCCATCAACTCGGAGTCATCTGACTCTTCTACTTCCTTCATTTCTCTCTCACTCTCACTGCTTCACTAATTCTACTCACTCTGGCTATACTGTCCTTTTAGCTCGACTGGATTGAGCGTGCCAGACTTGCCATTTCAACGCTGAAACTAATTTCCAGCTCGCTTCTTTGTGCTAACTAATGTTGATCTCGCCTTTTCTTCTGCTGTTCATTCCCAGTATCTCAGCTTCATTGCTGCATTCAACTTATGTTCAGCTCTGAATGCTTCCATCTAATCTCTCGATGGCTTTCCTCTTTCAGAAATTTCAAGAGGTATATCCCTAGCTTATTATCATCTAAAATTATTAGCTGTGCTTAATTATTGTATGTTTGTGATTCAGATTCCTATGAAACTCACCACAACACTTCGTCTCATCTTTTTCAGGCGGTAAAAGTTCTGGCAAAAAGTCCTACTTTTGCTAAGGATCCTAGACATTTACAATTTGAAGCTGACATCAATCGCTTGTTCCTTTATACAAGGTAAGTAGTTTTACGTTGCACTAACCGAGCTTTACAAATGGAACTTTTATGCCCGAGGCAGAAATGTGGATTTTTGTTTTTGTTGCCCGATGCATCTCCATCTGTTTACTTTATTGACAGACTCAATTTCCCCTCCTTTATTCGTCTTCCTCTTCTCTTTCTACCCTCCCTGTTTGATACATATTTCACTCTTTCATTGTTCAATCTGCATCAGTTTTAAAATGAACGTATATAAGAGATTTTAGTTATGAACATATGCATTTCTTCAATGCCATACTTTTATGAGTCTGTCACACCCTTTTTTTATTTCGAACATTTTGGCACTGCGTTGGATAAGATATAATACGTGCAGTCAAGCAGCATATTCGTTGTCAACACTTAACAATTAGTTGATCAGTTGTTGTCAGTTTGATTATGTTGTGGGTTCGCATATTGTAATGCCTCTGGCTTCTCTTTTGCAAGCGTGATTCTTCTCAATGTATCTTAACATTTTTGGCTTATGCAAAGACTTGAATATCCAGCTACAATCGGTTGGGGAAGAATGTTGTTGAGGCTGATGCAGAAGAAATTATTGAAATGGCGAGCAAAGCTTCTATTGCTGATCAACAAGTGCAAGTGCAAGAAAATGTTCATTCTCAAATTAAAGATTTTTGCAAGTTCATGGATGAAATTCTCCTTCCTAATGATAAGATGACGAGTGACAGCCTCGAGCCATCTCAACAAATAAGCGACTTACCCCGCCAAAGTGGGCTTAGTTTGGCTGTGGGTAGTAGTGCCTCGCCTCCCAATCATCCTCGTGAGTCACCTCTTTTTGCTCATAACCCTCTTTTGCATTTTTTTTTATGATTTAAATTCTCTGGTAATCATTAAATTCTTCCACTTGGGGTTTCTAATTTAATTAAAACTTGAGTATAATAAGCCTTAGGAACTAGCAGCAGCTGAAAGACTGTGAAGTAGTGTGAACTGTCACAGTTAACATATTTTTGACACCTCATAATATGCATTTGTGCCTGCTTCATCGTTTTTTCTGTTTCATCCATGATTTTTGCAGTCAAAGAATATTCCGAAATATGAATGTATAACTAATTTCTTTTACAAGTAGATTAAGCTGGGCCTGTAATGCCAACTTAAATGAGGATAATTCTGATATTGACGTCACATCTTTAAATAATACCCGCTCCATTCATCATTACCAATTAAACAGCTCCACCCCTCAGGATTATCATACATTCATATCAATCCATTCAAGCTATTATGATATTTATTTGTATCACTCCTCTTATCACTAATATGATAATTATCTTATGTTGTAATCTTGTTTTAATAATCTATAATTAAAAATACCTGCTTGCAAAAAAAAAAAAAATCATTTTAACAATCTAAGCTTAATAGCAGTATCACATTAATTGAAATATATCATGCATGGCTTTGAGAATGTTGGGAAATTGATGGCAATGTGGTATTAGGATTTCAATGTAGCATCCAATTCACACAGGAATATAACTACAGGGTTTGATGATATTGTGAACATCTCTGTTGATGTACGAGATTTCACTTAGAACCAGCAAGTACAGAAGAGTTAGAACTATATTGTTGGAGGGTTACTAGTAGTAAGTTAACTGGAGAGATTCTTTTTAATTTTTGCAATTAATGGAGCAGAAATTAAATAATTTAACCATGATAGAACATAAGCTCAGTTAAGGCAGCTCGTATATGTGGTTGACACATGGCCTTATTGCATTTAGGATCAAAAGACCTAGCAAATGATACTGACCTTGGCTAAGTATGAGTTTGTCCTTTATAAAGGAGTATATGCTATTATGGATGAGGAATGCCCTTGTATGTATAACATGCTAATTTGCAAATTACCTATTTTGTTTGAAGTTTAGTCATGTGACCTTTAGATCTATTATGTAAACGAAAAGGGTAATTTTAGTGACAACGACTTCTTTACCATTATAATTTCAAATATTTTTTTGGGTATTCTACTTGCTGTCTGCTGACTGGAGCACTTGTCAACGATTTGTTTTGGATGCAGCTATCCCTCAGACTAGACCATTAAGCCAAGCTGAAGTTTCTCGGAAGTTAAAGGATCAACTTGGCTACACCCTTAATGTTAAACGTTCAAACATATCCCACAAAGATGCTGGCCAAGGTCTATTTTTAGACGGGGAAGCTGATGTCGGTGCAGTCATAGCCTTTTATCCTGGTGTAGTTTACTATCCAGCTTATTACCGGTATATTCCCGGATATCCAAGGGTTGATGCAGAGAACTCATATCTAATTTCAAGATATGATGGGGCTGTCATCAATGCCCAACCTTGGGGTTCTGGGGGTGGCAAGAGAGAAGTATGGAATGGCCTAAAAATAGCAGAAATCAACCCCGACAAGAAAGGAGTTGAGAAAGGTTCAGACCGGTTATGGAAACTACTGAGTAAGCCTTTGGAAGGCACCGTTGGAGGCAATACTGGTGATGTGCTAGAGCGTAGAAATCCATTAGCTTTTGCCCACTTCGCAAACCACCCAGCTAAAGGGATGCTACCAAATGTGATGATCTGCCCTTATGACTTCCCATTGACTGAAAATAACGTGAGAGCATATATTCCAAATATATTATTTGGGAATGCAGAAGTAAATATGAGGAGGTTTGGCAGTTTTTGGTTTAAATCTGGAATGTCAAGAAATAGTGATTCAAGTGTTCCTACTCTCAAAACCCTGGTTTTGGTAGCTACCAGGGCTCTTCAAGATGAAGAACTGCTCTTGAACTACCGACTGAGTAATTCTAAGCAAAGGCCAGAATGGTATGCTCCAGTGGATGAAGAAGAGGACAAGAGAAGATGGAGTTAAAAATGCCTCTTCTATTCCCCGGCCAGCTTTATGAAGACACTATTTAAACGGTTGTCTCAAAACTGAGTTTTGTCTTTGCATATTATTCTCTTGTGAGATAATAAAGTGAGGTTTTCCTTCATTTCCTCTTTTTAAGGTACTAGGGGTGAAATTTCGCTGAATTATTTTATTTTGTTCCCTCTAATAGACTTATAGACGTCAAAATCCCAGTCATTTATTGATATCTCAGTTATAAACTGGCTAAATTTAAAGTGAACATGCTTAATGAAGCTTAAACAGTTTGTTTATGGCTAGTCTAGTCCAAAGCTGAAGTTTCTTACTTATTTTAAGATATGATCTCATTTTTTGTATTGCTAACTGCACAAATTTTTGAGATTTTTTAGGGAAAATTATATTTTAAGGACTTTAAGAGGGAATGTTATTATGAAGAAACGTAAACATTACAATTTGATTGGAGGAGCAAAGCGCAACCAAATGACCAAAGTAACTCAGTAAAAAAGAGTCATCTTTTTCCCCTCCTCACAACCTCACCCAATGTCTCGCACAATAACTACTCTGATAACTACTCCCTCCACCAAATCCCCTTTGGCACCACACGATCCTCTTCCTCCTCTCCCCACATTGGAGGCAAACGAAATTCTTTCGTCAAAAGTCCCCAGGAGTCAACGACAATATGCCAGTTTGAACTTCACATTGAAAAACAGTCTACAAAATCGAATCAATTCAACAAAAAAAGGTTTTGCGCACCATGTAAAGGGATTTTTTAAAAACGTATCCACTTAAAACGGATGTCACTGCGATCAGAGTTAGGTGGCCTTTGATGAGAGGGCTAGAGCAGCACGCCTCTCTAGTGCCTTTAACCTATTTGCTTCCAGTCGAGCCCTCTGCTCTTCTGTTATTTTAGCTTTACCAGCAGAGTTGGTTCCACTGTTTGAAACTGCGGTTGATGTTTCCGCAATGGAATCTCTGAACTGAGAAGGTTCCTGTAACAACAAAGGCAAGGAATTTCCTCAGCTATGGCTTACTCAACATCTTATCTTGTATGCGAAAATGGCTTTTTGAGAAGTCTCTGATGAAAGCTCACATCAAGACCGTTAATGTAGAGTAACATTCATAGGGACAGATTCTCTGAACAGTTTCATGGAAATCTCATTCAAGCATTCATCATTTATCAGTATAATTTATATCTCAGCCAGGATAAACATTTTTTCCGTCTCCTCATATCAGTTCAAAAAACTCAACGTGCGATCAGCCTGACCTAGAAGAAATAGAAAATCAAAACATCCACAAAGCTTCTACCTAATCGTATCATACTTATTAGAAGTCCTTATTTCTAGGCGGCAGGGGGTTATGGCTAGAGTCACCTTCAGTCGTTTCGCTAATAGATGGATCATTTTGCATGACAGTGAACAAAATTAATTTAGAAGAATTGAACATACTGCAGTAGCTTCATCGAAAACTTCATTAAGAATATCTTCAACGTTCTCAGCATTCTGGGATTCTAGAAACACGTCTCCCTGTTGATGACTGGCTTCCCCACCTTCTGCAAACATAGTCAGAATATATATAGATTGGGCGGAAATGCTTGATAACGTGAAAAAAAGAGAGGTTCTCTCGTCAATCAGCAAAGAAACAATTCTAGGAACTACATTGAATGATTGCATCAAGCCAGCAGGCTATACTTGCCAGTTGCCAGCAAGTTTGTCAAGGTAAGAATCCAAACCAAAATCATTCCAAGGGCCTCTCTGAGGATCAAATCAAAGATAATGAGATCCCCTCCCCTTCAACTAAACATAGCCTAAAATTCTAGTTTAGTGGAGTGTGCAATGCACCCACTTATATGCCTAAAACTCTCCTCAAATCTTTCCGATGTGGGATGTAACAACTCTCCCAACCAATCCATAACACTCCCATCATGAGTGAAACATAACAAGGGGCATTGTTATGGCAGAAGAAGCTCTGCGGTGACTAACCAGAGCTATTTTATGATTGGACCATGAAATCGTGAACAATCTTCCCTACCAAATACAAAGGTGCACACATTGAGATGCCAACACATGATAGAATGCATTATGTCCCTTTGGTTATATTAGATTTCCTTCTTCAATATTATAACCGCAAGATTCTGGAAAATAACATTTAATATAGCGAAACTAATTGATCATGAGAACATTCTAACACACTGTAAAGCAAACATCATACCATCCTTGTCAACCGGAAAGCCATGCTCAACTGGGTGTTCGCGCAGCCTTGTTGGATCTCCACCATTAGCAACTCTCTCCCTCAATTCTCTGAGGCAAGTCTAGTTTAAGCATGGGGGGAAAGGCAAATCAGAGTTAGAATCCGTAGAATTTTAACATCCATGGTTTAGAAGCATGGATGAATGCAACCATACAATGCAGACATTGCTATGATCTGCATGATTGTAGCATCAATAACAATACAATCATGCTTAACATGCATTGAAGTCCGTCTATTAGAAACTGCTAACTAATGTAAAACCTGAATAAAAGAAGAATGATGAATTGGTGATTAAACAACATGATGAACAATACAACTCCAACTAGGAAGAAAAAACCATGAATCCCAAAAGCACTTTGAGGCAAGGAGGATCTTTGTTAACCTCTTTTAGAGGCGGGATGCAACCCGCTACTCAACTTAACAATATAGTGCCCTTTATATAGACTTTTAGGGTCACCAACAAACCTAGTGATTAACTCTAATCACTTACAACATTCCTTTATAATATTCCAACAGAAAAAAAAAGTGGGCACGTGTTTTTCCAGCAAAAAAAGAGTGCATGTCAGTACTTGAGAAGAACGAATGGGCTAAATTCCAATTAACCATACTGATACAACCTAATTTTCTCTTTGCTTGCTCCGATTTAGGTCACTTTGAAAACTTGAATACCGTGCAGGAAAATATAGACAAAATCAACTTTTTAAGATTTTTGTTACTTTAAAATGTTAAAACTTAACCGAAATATCATATAACGTTACATGAAGCTGTGAAATAGCATGTGAGTAAAAGAATGACAGAAACGGTACCCTATGGTTATCAAAATGCAAAGAGGCCTGGTATCTATATGCACTATGCGTATACACATATATAGATAGTTCACCAATATTTTAAAGATATAAAAATAGAATTTACATGATTATCTACTTCCAGTACAAAGATGTATCGTCCTACCTTGACACGCTTTGTAGCAGCAACTTGCTCCACTTTGTGAATAAATTGATTGAATGAGTAATAGGGGAGCAAGCGAGAGTGCCATTCACAGTATAACTCTATAAGGTTACCCAAATCACGAACCTAAATAAAGCAGCATACACAAACGATGCATAAGAAAAAAATTAAAAAATTAAAACGGCCCAGCAAAATAATGCATGTGTCTGATTAAAATTTAAATAGCTCAAACTTAATTAGAGTACAATTATATCAAATCATAGGGTCTAGATGAACAAAATTCTCTATCAGTACAGATTTATCATTCGATGGATCACATTTATTGGCAAAGAAGTGGCTGATCTCATCATCATATCATAATAAAATCTAAACCATGTGCTTATCGGTGCATAAGATTTGAATGGTCCAGATTTAAAATATTATTTTATTTTATATTTATTAAAATATTTAATAAATTTTTATATTTGTAATATGGTCTAAATTTAACTTGAAAAATCCAATTTAATATTAAAATTTGTAAAATTGCTATATATTGACTATTTAGATGTACCCTACACAATCCAAAATCTCCAAATTGCACAGTCCACAACACATCTAAATGGTCAACATACAGTAATTTTAAAATTTTAATATTAAATTGAACCTTCCAAATTAAAATTAAACCAAATTAAAAACATAAAAATTTATTAAAATTATTTTATAATTTTTATTATAATAAATATAAAATAAAATAAAACTTTCTAAATAAGATCAAAATTTAAATAGTCCAAATTCTATCATACTGTGATGAGCACTATGATGCTCATTAGTGTGATGAGCACTGAATTTAGGTCCACTGTAAATGTGGCTCATTGTAGGACAATTTCTTGTACCAAATAATTTACTTGTCACCAAAGAAGATTTATGAATTTCCTTTTAATTGCTGGTTTATAAACCACATTTGTTGGCCGAAAAAGGGGGAAACATCAACATTGTTGCTTCCTCCTCGCCTCGGAGCATCAAGTTTGATAGGCTATATAATTTATCTCAGCACAACTACTTTACTTTTTAATCCCTCTACAAGCACAACGTTAAGACACTAGATAAGTAAATTTTGCTAAACGCCTGGGCCGAGCTGTGGCAGTTTATTTCTCTTTGTTTTAAATGTCACATACCTTGAGGGTCTCTTGGTGACTGAGAATAAACCCAATTATCTTTTTTCATTAGCCAATTCCAGGTACATGTTATATTTAGCCAACCCTTATTCAAGGATTGGCAATTTGACATGAGCAGTATGTTAAAAAGGCATGTCCTACTTTTAAGGTCATGTAGATGTAATTCCCATTACTTTGCATCTATGATGACCAAGCCAAGCGTTCTTCCCTGTTCCTCGAGCAGAATTTTTTTTTTATGCCTCTAAGCGGTGGTTGCACAATGAATAATAGTGTTGCTTTTGTGCTCTAAATGTCTACAAATATCAAGTGTAGATATAGACTAGTTCAAGATACACTCTAGTGGAAGTCTTGATCTCTTCAAATTATGTTTCCAAACTAGTAAAAAACATTAAATGCGTCCAATATCATTATCAGCGTGTCATGAGCAAAAATGACTTACAATAAGGATATGGCAAAAAAAAAAAAAGCACTACGTCTGAATTCAGAAGCTCTAGTTCAAGAGAACGATAACATTGAACAGCAGATATGCTGAAAACAGTTCAGGAAAACGAAATACTAAATGTAATTGCCATCCTGAATAAGCATTTACTCATAACATAAGCCAAAAGGAAGATCATTCTTGCGTCATTCAAGAATGCTCCTCCAGTAGAGGACAATCATGATAGAGCCGTTTTGATTACGGAATTTGATAACCAGAGAGGGGGAAAGGAATGCAGCGAATACCTCATTCCCGCGGCCGCGGTACTTGAAGGCGCGAGGGAAATAACGTAGAACGTAACCAAGGCCATCGTCGGAGAGAAGAAGCTCGGGGGTGAGCTTAGGCCTGGTTCTAGGGAGCTTCTTGGGTTTATCGGCTGGCTTGCGAACAGAAAGGGCTCCATCATCTGCAGGAGTAGGCTTGAGAGAAGAAGAGGGATCAGGGTTTGAAGGAGAAAAGGGGCAATCACGCGACCAGTGGCCTGGTCGGCCACACTTGTAGCATCCTGTTGGGGCCGCCTCCATTTCATTCCTTTCCTCTTCGATCTTTTGTTTTGTACCCTCCTCCAAGTTATAACTTTCAAGTTCTCCTTCTTCGCGAATATTTTCCCCTTTACTTTGGCGGGAAAAGCTGGCGGGAACGAGGGATCGGATTTCCGTTTCGCCGAAACCTTTGTTTTTTTTTTTGTAGCAACAAACTTTGGAGGTGATTGGGTCCTTCCAGGCTGTCCTCTTAGCCCAAATTTTGTTAGGAAAGCGCTTGAAAAGCAGCTTTTTGATAACAAGGGGATTAAAAGGGTAAATTCTAATGGGCTCAGAGTTTAAATGGGTCAGTCCTGTTGGGCTAGGTGCCAGCATATTTAGGCCTTTTAAAAACACTTATCCTAAAAAAACAAAAACTTATCGTAAAAAGCATTTTACACAAAAATTGATTAACGTTTAACGTTGCAGCAAAAAACTTGATTCTATCAGTTCTCACAGCTGATCCATTTCTCTTCGTCGACGAACAAGCACCCCGCACTCTGTAGCACCGTCCAGTATTGTCAGCCAAGCGTGCTTGTTCTCGGGCAAGCAGTGAAAAAGGTTCGAACCCTAGGGCTTTTTCTACTCCCCAAATCTGGTGAGATTGATTTGTTCAATCTGGTTGTGTATCTAGATTTGAATTTATTCCCTGCATCATCTGGTCCCTGCGTGGCTGTTCTTGCTTGTTTTAAATTTTTTGTTTTAATTTGGCTTTGAATCTGGTCGTGTATTCCTTTGAATATTGACGCTTTTCAATTTGGGAATATTTACAGACTGAGTTTTTTTTTTTTTTTTGGGGTAGGTGTGTGATTGTTGTACTTCTTCCCTCTTCATTTTGATTACTAGCGACGTGTATGATTTTTTGAATACTAGCGACTTGTTTGCTGTGTTCGAAATTCGCAGTGCGTTGTGAGAGAGATGGGGGGAGGCCATGGCGAGGGCACAACCTACAAAGGTATGACAGTGCATGCTCCGAAGCGTTGGCATGTCGTCACCGGCAAGGGGCTTTGTGCTGTTATGTGGTATGCGATAACCCTCATTTATCTATCTCACCTTGCGCGCTGTTTTTATTCACCAGATCTACTTCCTTCAGGAATGTTCTGTACATTTGATTTTCTTTTTTTCCTTTTTGGCTAAATCATGGGTCTCTTGTCGACATGGGATCTAAATTGCTGGCGGATTACCTTATAATGATGAAGGAAATGAGTATTTTTTTTATTTTCTGTTCCTGTTTAATTCATGGAATTTGTTATCGTCAGCTAGAAGGGCTTGTTTCACTCGTTTATGGTGAGGATTTAGGTAGGATTGATGTCAAGTTACATGGTTTATTGTTATTGAAATTGAAATTTACGAGACTGCTTTCGTTTTTCATATTACTCTTGAGAGTGCAGTAATGTAATTGGATTGAGTTGATTCTGACTGCTGAGGAACTCACCGCGCGTCTCAATTTTTTCCCCCAGGTTCTGGGTATTGTACAGGGCAAAGCAAGATGGTCCTGTAGTATTGGTAAAACTCTGAAAATTAATTTTTGTTCAATTGTATTTAGCTGAGGTTAAGTTTGGTTTAGTTTTACTTTTTCTGATATATTCTTCTGTTCTTTGTGGTGCTTTCCAGGGCTGGAGACATCCTTGGGAGGGTCATGATGACAAGGGCCACGGACATTAAAATTAGGTACCTTCACTTGATATTTCTGATCTCAGCAAATTTACAAGATAATTAGTCGTCAAGCATTGCTTTACATAGCTTCTATTGAATAACTTAGCGACATTATCATTCCAGAAGGTTCTCTTATTTTAGTTACGTGGTTCTTAAGCAACCCTTCTCAAGCTAAGGTTAAGGGGGAAAAAGCCTGTGAAGTTTATCTTCATTCAACTGTTTCGTATATTAGTTTTAGTTTTTATCATTTAAAGGTCTAATTGCCATTAATTTTGTATTAATTTGATTTGATGAAAATTTGGCTACCATATATCTGACAAATAATGTGATAGAATCACAACCTTCAGGCATTTTGATGTATGCATTTTCTTCTGATCAGTTATTTCAATATTGCTCTATGTATGAGTTAAGAACACAGCGGCATTTTGTCAGTTGAAACAACTGACATGTTGAACCTATTTCATTGCACGCGTGATCTTGTTCCCCAAGACCTTTTACTCTCCTTCCTCCTTCGGTTGCAATAGAACTTGACTCACACCCTTGATCAGCCTTTTTAAATAATTTGGTCTGGAGATTTGGACGCATAGGGGTATATGGTAACAATGCTCTGTAAGTGCTAATTTACCTACTGTAATGCTAACTTGTAATTCTAAATGCAAGTAGCTTAGTTTCTTTGTGAATTTGACATGGAATAGAAAGGATTCTTTTTTCTTGTTCTTTTCACGAAGTTCCTTAAAGGATTCTTTTTTCTTGTTCTTTTCACGAAGTACCTTGAATTACACACCTGCACATTCAAATTTCGTTTACATTAAAAGGTTGAGTATTAATTCCCTTTATTTTTTCTGAACATGTACGTTACATTCAACTTTTATAACCTTTGAAGAATAGTAGGTTGTAACTTAGAATTTACCGGCCAGTGCCAAAATCCTGATGAAAATCCTGTGAGAGGTTTGTGTTCAAAAAAGTATGGAAAATGATGAATAACATGCATCTATTGATTTCTCAGCAAGCACTAACATGGAGATTATGCACAAGATAAGCTGAAGGATCTGCGGTTGGGCCTTCAAATGTTCACTTTGTTCAATTCCTCCAACAAGTCTGCTGTAAAAGGGTTTTTCCTTTTTGGACGATTTCCTGAACATATGCTATGTTATAATTATAACTCTGCTGTCGTTGTTTAAATAAAGTGTTCATGCCTTCTGTTTTTAATGCCATTTTTTGGATAAAATTATTCAGATCTTTAAATTTCTGGGAGAGGATTTTTTATGTTATATGCAACGTGTGTGCCTTCAGTCAACTGTGAGATGGATCCCAAAACTCTGCTCATTTGCACCTATCCCATTCGTGTGTTTGGAATTTGGATGGACAGTCAAGTCGATTAGCCATCTTATTTTTTTAGCCATTGATGTAAAATAAAGGGAGAATGACTGTTAGGTGTTGAATTAATTACAATCTTATTTTTTTAGCCATCTTATTTTTTTATGTTATATGCAACGTGTGTGCCTTCGGTCAACTGTGAGATGGATCCCAAAACTCTGCTCATTTGCACCTATCCCATTCGTGTGTTTGGAATTTGGATGGACAGTCAAGTCGATTAGCCATCTTATTTTTTAGCCATTGATGTAAAATAAAGGGAGAATGACTGTTAGGTGTTGAATTAATTACAATTAAGTCTTAATTAAAAATATTGATCCAAATAATTAGAAATATAAGAGTTTTAATTGTAGATAAATATTTAAATATTAAATGTAATTCTTAAGTTGTAATAAGAATTTTTGTTTGTAATTATTTGAATTAATATTTATAATTTTTAAAAAAAATATTGGGAATTTAACTATCATTATTTTAATTTTTTTGGATCTAATAGTCATTCTCCTTATATTTTTTGCATCTTTCCACCTCCACTACTAGTGCTAAGACCATTAGAGATTATAAATCAAGATTACCGAAAAAAGAAAAGTCTCCTTAAATCAGAGATGACGCAATTTGCTAAGTTGAATTTAGCAAAATAATAATATACAATATTGGTTTGAAATTGAAATAGAAAAGAATGAATACAGATTAAAAGAAAAAAGTTATCGATCCATATTTGAAGAAATTTAACTAGCTTAATTTAAACGAATCCATACAAATACAGTTTAATAAATTCGATCAAAAAAATATACACTTTAATTAAAAAAAAACAAGACCGAACTATAACTACGTTCGTCCCGGGGGGGGGAATATATATATATATATATATATGGGGCGTTTGTTTTATTTTTCAAAAAAAAATTGCTTTTTTAACTAAATTTATTTTATATAATTTTTTTTATAAATATTATAATATAATGGTAAATATCCATAATCTTTTAAAAGTTATCCTTTGGTATTCTCCAACCAAAGCTAAATAACCTATAATATGAACGGCCTTTTGGGAATTTTCCAACAATGATTAATTCATATAACACCCAAATGTTATCTATTCTATCATTATGTTGATTTATTCTATGTTTTAACTCTTATTATAAAATTTAAAGACTTGATGCCTATAAATAATATGCATATACGAAATGATTGTGTGCTTGATGAAATGAATAAGATCTCCTCCTTATTTTTTCCCTATTTCTTTTTTCTTATCTCCCTCACCTCAATTTTCTCATTTTTATGATACATTATTAGCACAATACCAAGTTAGTTCGTGGCATATTTCATATTCATGCTTGTTGATTTTTGTTCATGGCATAAAGATAATTTATCCAAATAGAATAATGAAAATTTGCAATTTATTTAGAATGAATGATGACCTTGTAATTGCAAAGAATGTACGAATTTTACTTATTTATGATTTATTGGATATTCATATTGAGTCATGAGAATTTACCTTTCCTTGATTTTACTTTGTGCCTTTCTTTTTTTTTTTTGGGTAAAACTTATATTTTATATTTGATCATTTAAAAATTCAAGTTTTATTCTTATAGGTTGTAATAATCATTTTGATATCTATTGATATTTTAAATTTATGTTATTGAATGGCCAATAGCCATATTATTTTTTATTCTATAGATGGCTAGAAGCTTTGTCACTTTTGATAATGATCTTTTTTAAATACAACAATAAGTATTATCTCATTAGGTGAGTTTAGCTATATGGAGTATATAGTATTATTGTGCTCTATCACTCATTAAGCTTTTAAAAATATTGTTAATTAAGAGATTTCGATTAACAAATTTCAAAAATGTTGTCTCTGGCCTTCATTTGTCTCTCTTGACAAAGCTCAAATTTATCTGTTCCACTTCCTCACAGATGTTTCCTGTGATCTTCTTTGTATATGTATAAACCACCTAAAATGATTTTCTATTATTTTTCCTTCAATAGGTGTGATGCTCACTTTTTTCGATATGTGTTCATTTTAAATTTTGTCTTTATGTGTGTGTTTACACATCCATCTCAACATTCTCATCTCTGCTACTCCAAATTTATGCCTCTACTATCCCATTAAAACCCAACATTTACTACCATATAATACTGATGGCCTTATAGCAGTTCAATAAAACTTCTCTTTAAGTTTATTAGGTATCTTAAGATTGCTAATAACTCACTTAACTTTTGTTCAATTAAACCACCCAACTTACATCCTATATGCAGTGATCTTTTTTTAAATATTATTAAAAATTGTTACTGCAAATAATATAGTTCTAAAGGCTAATGATTCAAACATTTCATGGCACAAAAAGCTTTGATAGCATTGAAAAATATTTTTGCTATGTATAGTCTTGAAGATTAATAGTTTGTAAAGAATCATGTCACTAAAAAGTATTAATTTCGAAGAGTAATTAAATTTGTGGCACTTTGATCATTCAATTGATTACAAATATCAAAGTCTTGAAGGCTATTGGTTCAAGCATCAAATGATACAAAAGGGCTTATACTTCTAAGAAGTTTTTGCATGGCCTTGAGGATTAATTTATGGAGAAATTGTGGATGCATTGTTGAAAGCACGAAATATGCCTATAGAGTGATAATGACTATGATCACGTTGTATTGTAAAAATTGACAATTAAAAGATGATAAGATTTTGTAATGGCTATTGAAAAAAATTATCTTGCAATAACGGTTGAAATAATGATATCTTTCTAGTATGGTTATTTATAGGGCGAGATGGGGTTGAGACACTCTTGTCACGTGTCATATCTCGTGAAATGATCAAAACTAATTTTTTGTTTCATGTTTTATCCCGTACTGAAAGTCATCCCATTTTTTTAAGAATTAGGATGGGACTGAGATATCCCAGCATCCCAGTAAACAGACAATATGGGAAAAAAGCCAAAATAATAACATTAATAAATTAAAATTTTAAATTACATAACTTATTAAGTTTAAAACTAAAATAATATGAGCACATAAATCTCAACAATTTAAAATCAATTATTGATTACGTCAATCATGACTGCAAATGTACAATTTAAAGTCAATTATACATGATATATAACACATTATGACAACAATCACAAGTGATCTCTAGATTAGTTGAGATATGTTAAGTTAGTAACTCTTTTGAAAATAAAAGCAAGAAATATAATATAAACAAAAGTTATTAAATAGATAAATATAAGAATAAATTGTATTAATATAGTTAATATATTGTAAAGAAAAACATTACAATATATTGCTTATCTTGTTATTAAAATTATCAATATAAAAAACTTTTAGTTTTAAACAAGGATTGCACATATGGAAAGTATGATTAATATAAGTATAAATTATATTAATATAATTAATATATTTAATATATATTTTTAAAATAAAAATAACATACATACATGTATATATAATATTTGAAATGGGACGGGACATTTCGAGGGCAATCCCATGTCCTGTTCTGTCCTGAATCTCTTTCTTGTCCTATTGCACAAAGTCTCATCCTAATTGTTTTCAAGCTAAGATGAGACCTATCCTAATATGGTTGGGACAAAATTGGGCCAATCGAAACAGGTAGAAATTGAACAACCTTGCTCTCCGGTGATTCAAATTGTGAGCAAATGTTAGCTATAAGTCATATATGTCAATTCATTGAAAGTAAATGCCAAAATTGGTCATGAAGTCAGGGGAAAAAAGCATGAGATAACATTAAAATAGACTAAAAGACTATATCTAACATCTCGAGAAATTAAAACTTAGGCTATAGACCGTAATTAGAGGAAAAAAGGCTAAATTAAGGTATAATTATCCCTTGAAATAAGGTAATGACCCTAGGCTTAGGTTTGGTGAGGAGGTAAAGTATTTGGATTAGAGGGGGTCATACTAGGTAACTCGCTTAGGCTAATCGATATACTCATTAGGGCAAGCATTATGTAACTCACTGGGGGCAAGTGAGTAAGTTATCGAGGTGAGCGAATGTAATTTCAAAAATTATAAATACGCACGTTAATAGAGAAAAACACATTTAGGACATAATAAAACACTCTTAGAGTGTAAAAAACCTTAAGCTCTACTAGGATTTCATGATCTACCACTAAGGAGGTACCTTGGAGGCCAAATATGTTGAAGGTAAGTCTTTTTAAATCTAATACATGCTTTCTACTCCTCGAATCTTAGGATCTAATAACTAAAAATTTATCATAGATTTATGTCTTAAATTTGAATTCTTGAGGGTTACTTTTTTAAGTTTTAAAAAGATTTTTAATTTATTCTTTGATTGTATTAATACCATCTGTAGATGAAAATAGATTTAGAGAGCACTCAGGTTCAAGCATGATAGAACCTAAGGATGGAGATAATGAGACATTTAATCTCTCAAGTGTTTGAGATAATTGCAAATTTAAATTAGTGAGTGTGTGTGTGTTATAGTCTGTAACATTATTTGGGAAGTGATCATAACTACTAAGAGATTGATTCTATGTACATTGCAACTAAAGAATGAAATATGAATATGAATGATATGTATTGACTCTATGAGATGCTATGAAATTTATATAAACATGTATGGTAGGCGTAATATATATTGTTGTATCTTGAGGATGGGATTATATATATATATATATATATCTTAACTCTGAAATGAGAAACTGCTCTGAAAAAATTGCATATATGCATAAATTTGATGATTTAGGTGCATGTATAAAGGTGGGAGTTCACCTATAAGAGAGTTGTAGATCATATGAAAAATTCATGGTATGTCTTACCGAGGTCGCACCCTAGTAGTGATTTCACTGTGTATTAAAATGTGTGCTCAATTTCATTACTCAGATTGATAGTGTTGGTCAAGTACTTGCTCAGTTTCACTACTTAGATTGGCAGTGATAATCAGGCACATTATGACACCCTGAAGAATTATTAAATCATAGTGTTAATGATTGTTGTATGATAAATTATAGATTAACTTTCAAACTGGTATCATTCAAGCCTTGTGAATCTTTAGAAGCATGTTATTAAGAAGTAAACTTTTGAACTTTTAAATGTTTGAGATAATTGGGGAAAATCTTTCTTATACTTTTGTATGTTAATTAATTACTTTGGTTAATAAACTATTATTGTTGCTTGTGAAACTGGTTGCCATGCAAGTGCGGCATGATATAATTAAGGGAGTGAAAGGAAGAAGAGGCATAAATTGCTTACCTTGGGTATTTGGAAGCCTTAAACTATTACCAATATGATCCAACAATGTGCCCTAGCAAAGCTCAATCGTGTTCTTCATTTTCTTCCTCTCTTCCTCTCCATTCCCGTATGCGGTGACAAACAAATTTAATTTGATTTTTGGCTGTGCACTGTAACGCATGCTACCCTCCACCATGACTGATGGCACAAAGAGGCTCGTTGTATTTAAATATGTCCTTGTGTGTTGTGGTAGATTGACCATACGTTATACAAGATACATGAACATATTATAAAATTTTAAAATACTCAGCAATAAATTATTTTTCAAATATTATTTTTATAAATAAAAATTTATGAAATTATCATAAAGTCTAAAAATAATTAAATAATTAATATTTTTATTATTGTAACCAGTAACCAAATATAAAATAATATGTCTATTTTTAATAAAATTTTTATAAATCTAATCTCATTTTATAAAATTATTATTATTATTCTTTGTTTTTGAAGATATGCCACAACTGACAATTACGAGACTAATCCCTCAAAAAATATAAATATTATCTAAAGAATTGTTCTCTATTAAATAATGATTTTTATAAGTATTTCAGAAATTAAATTCTGAAATAATATTTAAAAAACTCAGACCGATAGCATTATTATTATTATTGTTCCCAAGCCACGTACTACATTATTGTTATTCTTTGTTCTTATATTAATCTTTTAACATTCAACTATGACTATTTTAAGAAAAAAATGCATGATTGTTTAATTTGATTGTTACCAGATATATATTTTTTGGATTAATAAACAAATAAAATCCTGAATTCTTAATCAAATAAAAAATTATCCTAAATTCTAAATTCTTAAAATATATAAAATAAATTTTAAATTTTTAAATTCATATTAAAATAAATTCTGATCGTTAATTTTTTAACATTGTTATTATCTACATAGATATTGTTTAGGATTTTTTTTTATAAATTTAATTCTAACTATTACAATACTTATGTGGATAATAATATTATTAAAAAAGTTAACAATTATAATATATTTTACTATAAATTTAAAAGTTTAGAGTTTTATTTGTTCATTAATTTTTTTTTTCCACCAACATTGTTACCAGATATTTTAAGTGCCAATTGTTAATGATTAACTAAATTTGATTTTGCTTTAAAAAAATAATATTTTAATCTTTGTTTATCTATTGGATTATTTTCCGTTTGAAAAAAGGTGGACGAAACCATTCGGTCGGGTCAGTATAACAAGTCTCGTCTTGTACTCTGACCCCGATTGCAGATTTTGAGTTAGCCCCAGTTAGGTTTCCAGCAATTCTCGTCTTAAGTCACAGAGAGGCATGTCGTACTTGCTGCCTCACCTCCATTCAGGATGGGCTGTAGATCAGGCCATCCTTGCCGAGGAGGAGCGTCTCGTCGTCATCCGATTTGGCCACGATTGGGACGAAACGTGCATGCAGGTATTTCCTTGCCTGATTCGTCTTCTTCTTCAAATAACTGTTTCAACCCTTATTTTCACTTGATCTATTTTTCGGTCCATCGGAACCCTAAACTAAACTTGGCCATTTTTTCTGTGTTAAGCCTTTCCAAGGCTTTTTGTATATTCCATCGCTTTTAGCTGCAAAGCAACGGCCTTTTTCTGGAATTGAGTTTTGGCATGTATTTTTCCTGCAACCAACTTATGTAGGATCGGTTAGTGCAAATTGTCAACTTTTTGTTCGAGGTATTTATGATTAATTGAAATTTTGTGGTGCCTGTAGTTAATAATTTGCTCACTTGGCATGAACCTTAATTTTAAGTTTGAGTTTGTACTGGACGTGGTATCTGGCTTTGATGCTTACCCACCTTCTACTCTCCCCACTTGACCGCTTCCCCTTGCTTGAGAACCTCATTTACGATTAAGAAGGTAAAATGGTTTTTATTTAGCCATGTAATTAGAGCGTTTCTAACATCAAGGGATTATTGAATCCAGATTTTATGTTAATACTAATCTGCGAACGCTAATGCCTCCACGAGTCTGCTTTTCTTTTCTTTTCCTTTCTTTCTTTCCTTTTTTTGGGGGGGGGGGTGGTTGCCACCGTGCCCTGCAAGTGACTTTAATTACAACTCAGTTATTTCTTCCAAAAAAAAAAAAAGTATTTTGGTGGTTGTAAACCTTGTTGCATGGTTTGTGCAAACTAACCTGACACACTGTCATTTTAGTGCTGTAGAATATGAGTACAGAGAAAACTGCACCCTTACTCGAGAAAGAGAAACAGGATACGCCAATTTCCGGATTCTTAATTACAAGAATGACTCCCCCCAAGCCCCCCTCTCTTCCTGTAGTTTTATTATGCTCGGAACCTTTATTGCGTTCCTTACTTATTCAGACTCAAGTCTGTAACTGTATTTGCTAACTAACAGCCAGTTGATGATCTGACTCATCAACCACATAAGTATAAAGTCTAACATAATCACAGATAACAGATTGACCGTGTCTCACTACTTGCTTCTGATTCATAGAGGTTAGTAACTGTATGACTCAATTCTCAAACTATTGGCCTTGCTTTTGAAGGCTTCCTTCTCCTTGATTAAATAGACCGACGTCTGGTGAAGTCATAATCTCATTGATGAAACCTGTAAACGATTTGATGTCTTCTTTCAAAGACAGTCCTTGCCTATTTGATTTTTGTTGATTATTTGATTGTGCAATGGATTTCTATTGCTTTTTAATGAACTTGAGCTGCTATCTAAATTATAACGTGGTGTTGTGATATTTTTCTTTCAACTTTAGATGGATGAAGTGCTGGCATCAGTTGCTGAGACAATAAAGAATTTTGCTGTAATTTACCTCGTGGACATAACTGAGGTTCCTGATTTTAACACCATGTATGAGCTGTATGATCCCTCCACGGTTATGTTTTTCTTTAGGAACAAACACATTATGATAGATCTTGGCACTGGAAACAACAACAAGATTAACTGGGCTCTTAAGGACAAGCAAGAGTTCATTGACATTATTGAGACAGTCTATCGAGGTGCAAGAAAGGGACGTGGTTTGGTGATTGCTCCCAAAGATTATTCCACCAAATACCGTTATTAAGCTTATTGATCAAAGTGTTCTTTCCGTATTTTTTATGACTATCTTTCTCTTCCAAGTGTTGGTAAGAACAATTCGTATTTGGTTGTCTTCCACCGACTTTGCATGGGCAGCAATATTTATATTGAAGTTGAAGCTTCTAGACTGGATTGTCCTTGATTCGATGAGGTTTCTTGTTACAGAAAGTATATAATGTTTTTGGTGTTTTGAGAAGGAAGAGAAAACTTTGGAATAAAGTTTATTTATCTGCTTCTTTAATAAGAGCATGGCTAGTATATGGTTCTTACAACACCATACAAATTGGATTGGTCAGTTAACTGTTTTTTTTTTGGGCAAGCGTTCGGTTAATTATTATTTCCTCATTGTGAATATGTTATCCTCGTATTTCTTTTTCTTTTTTAATGGCAGCGATGGACAATAAATGAAGGCTGTACTTCAAATACCATGAATCTTGTTTCAGCATTTGACAGTGCAGAAAGCCGAAGCTGTGTATCATTATATCTTGATGAAAACTTAATTTATACATCACCCCCTGTGTTTCATGTCACTTTATACACATTCCAAAGCATCTATGGACTAGATTGTGCTTGATTCCATGAGGTTTCTTTTCACAGTAGGGTAGAGCGTTCTTAGTGGTTTAACAAGGGAGAGTGAACTTGGAATGAAATTCATATCTTTGGTTTTTAGTAAGAGCATGGCTTGTGTACGGTTCGTGCAACACCATGTCACTCTAAATTGGATTGGCCAGCTAACTACTTTTATTTCCTTATCGTCAACATTTTCCCCCTTTTTTCCCTCCATAGCCGAGATAGACAATAATAAAAGAAGGCTATATTTGAAATGCCATAAATTTTGTTTTAACATTTGAGAATGCAGAAGGCAGAGGCTGTGCGTATCATTATATTTTAATGAAAACTAAATTTATACACCACCACCTGTATTTATTGTTATTTATACATTCGATAGTATCTATGGTCTACTTGCCTACCTTCGCCAATTAAATCTAGTAATCTACGAGCACCTAGTAGAGATACTATCTATTTTTTATTGCCGAGGATAGCTACAAGATCTATTATCGCTAATCCAATCATATACCATGTAGCTGCAGCAAGCATGCACTGTAGCCAAGGACTGTTAACAATATCCAGTGCTAGAGAGCCTCCAGCATGTTGATTCAGTTCATGAACTGATCCTCCACCATGCAATCGAACTGTAGCTACAGCAATCATGGCAGTGACCATTGGGAATGCCCATCTGATTGGGTTATCTTGATCCTCACATATTCCAGACTCCTTGTCATTTGCTTCTAGCTCTCCCCGAATAGATGAAGAAGGCTTTGCAGCTGACCTTGGAGTAGCAGTATTCTCAGTTGAAGACGGAAGGGCATGAGCTGATGGAACCCAATACTCCTCAGGACTCTCGCAATTGGTCCTTTTGCTTTCCCTGAGTTGTTTCCTTGCAGCAGCATCTCGAAGCTTGTCGATGTTTGGTTCAGGTAATCTATATACAATGCGTGTGAGACTCTTGTCAGGTTCTGATGACGCCCCACTTGTAACAGGCGATTGCCAGTATAGCCAGTTAGATATTGATCTTATTGCCTGAATTGCTGACATTCTTGCTTCTCTCTGAGGGTCCATTACCTGATAGAGGTTTTCTGGTTAAACCGTGAGAATCAACTACTGAATTCACTGTAGCAACCATTAGTTGTCAACACAGTCTAACCTTAGAAAACTTGATAGAAGTCTTTTCCCTTGCTTGATGGAATCTGGTTTGGAATTTCTGCACTTCTGTAAATATGTTAGACACACGAGCACCGACTGTGTTGCCTGCTCCAACTCTCACATTGCCTCGTGGCTGCTTCGACATCAAGAACTCCAGAGCTGCAAGGTTGGACCTTTCAACAACTCTATATTTACACAAGCAGCGAAAAGCCGATTTGTCAGGTCCAGAAAAAAATATTGTCAACTTTTTTTTATGGCCAAGTGAATTGACTAATCATGATCATCTACTTTTCTTAGCGCAACGCATTATATTCTCGCAGTCCTTGTTTACCATCTTTCAACGTGAAAGATCATCTTCCCTTTCAAAGATTTAATTAAACAACTGAAAATTGCAAAAGATGAACTACAGTATGAAGCCCATAAATCAGGCTCCGTACAAGGCAACAACAGTGTCAGCGCTCTACAGTACCTGCAGCTGGATACAACTAAATCTCAAGACATGAAGTTTAAGGGAAGCATGCGAGTGACTGTGAGAAGTGACATCGAAGTGTATTAAGGGTAATTTTATGGCGCTTAACTCTGGGTGGTTGTTTACTTCGTAAAAATTCTGAAGTGCATGACATATGCAGTGTGTGTATCTTCTGCAGTTGCATTTTTATTATGATCTTCCGAATTTAAGTCATCCTCAAAAAAATAAGGTACGTGCATAATGGTAGGTAACATGACTTACGAAATGCAATTGACAGGACAAGAATCTACTGCCTCTTGGATTTTCTCTTCAGGATCAGCCCACTGTCCCACAACCCTGGCTCTACCATAAACTGATTCAATTGCAAACGTCTTCTCAGCTAACAGAGCACATTTTAAGCAACCAACACATTTTATTTCGTCCACGAATATTGCTCGCTGCTCGCTTTGTGATCCAAACCAAACCGAGTACAGGGGCCTTCCTGTGAAACCCTTGAACTCTGCAATCTTTTTCTGCTCCTGCACCATATATTGTTTTCACAGTAAGCAAACAGCTAAAGCAACTCAAGAGAACGAGTGGATTTTACTATAATGCGCGATGTTAGATTTGGTTCAAGTTCAAATACTGAAATATACTCCCTTCTTCGAATATTCTTGAGCCGGTCTCGATCTTCTAAATCATTATATTTCAGCTAGGCGTTTCTTTCTTTCTTTCTTTCTATAAACACCAATCCTCGATAAGATTACAAAGCGTATCAACCTCTACTCTATAATCAGAGATTACAGCTTGGACTTGACAAGCATTTAAGTATTTATACGTTAATCTTCGTATTTATACGTCTACATGAATTTCACAAACCTTGTCATAGGCCAGACGTGAACTGGGGTCAGAAAGCACGGCATAAGCTTCATTAAGAATGATAGCCATTTGATGGCCGGGGGGGCCGGCGATGTCAGGGTGGCACTGCTTCTGAAGAGAGCGGTAAGCGAGCTTTATCTGAGACTGATCAGAGCAGCTATCGATGCCCAGAAGATCATAGAGGTCGAGCTCTGTGATGGAAGAAGAAGCCGAACGGACCGCCCTGCACGTCAGAATTGAGCCTTTGGAACAAAACTTTTGCAGAATTGCGGGGTGAAGTCCCAGCGATTTCGGGGTCGTTAGCTCTGTTCTGGTGACACAGGAAGAGCGAGGAGCGTAAAGCGGAGGAAGAAAACGTGCAGATGCAGCACAAGGCATTTTTGCAGATAAAGATAAGGTGTCAGGGAACTCTTGTGAGTCCTATATGTACTTGCAATTGCAAGCGACAACGCAAGGCGATAATAGAGTACTGCAGTACTGGTTATTCCCTCCGTCTAAAAGTATAATTTTTTTTTAAAGGTTAGATATTTAAAAAAAATATAAAATATTTTTATTTTTTTACTATGTAATTATTATTATTTTAAATGTTTGTATTAAATAAATTATTTTATATTTATTTTGAAGTAAGATATTTTATTAAATAAGAGCAAATGCAAAAAAATAAAATTAATTTAAAAATAAATAATCATTTTAATGGAAATTAGACGGGAGAGTAGATGTTTAATGTTTTGTTCCTTCCTTTTTGCTATTATATTTTTACCTTTGCACTTTCTAGCTGCCTCTTCGGCTGGGAAAGCCGAAAGATTACACACGCACCACACACAATAGCTCGCAACTCGATAAATATTTACTGTGAGAGATCTTAAAAGCCAAGGAAAATAATACTACAATTCTTTTAAATTATACAAATAATCTTTTGACCTCTCAAAATGCTGTAAAGTCTTTAAAATTTTTATTATTATTAATAATTTATTAAATATTTAAATTGCTCTTGTAGCACTATAAAATTTTAACATGTAAACTTATAATTTATTATTATATTATTTTAAATATAATAAAAAAAGTTATAATTTTTTAAATAAAACTTATGATTATTACTTATTATTTCTAACACTTATAGCAACATCAAAAATTTGACAAACGAACTTATAATTTGTTATTAACTTGTTGCGAATATAATAAAAAAAATTATAATTATTTAAATAAAATTTATGATCATTACCTGTTATTTTCAACGCTTGTAACAACATTAGGAATTTGACACGAAAGTTGTGATTTGCTGTTACATTATTGCGCAATATTAAAAAAAGTTATGATTATTTAAACAAAACTTGTGATATTTACTTATTATTTGTAACATTTATAACAATATTAGGATTTTCACATGTGAAGTTATATTTTATTGGTGTATTGTTGTACATATAAAAAGAAAAGTTGTAATTATTTAAATAAAACTTGTAATCATTACCTGTTATTTCTAATATTTGCAGCAATATGAAGATTTTTATTTTCAATAAAGGCAATTTGATCGTTTATATAAATTCATTAATAATAGAAAAGTTTTTAAAAATTACAATAGAATTATGACATTTCGAGGAATTAAATTGTCATTTGTATAATTCAAAAGAAATTTTATTATCATTTTGTCTAAAAACTATAGTAATTTTAAATGACTAAATTTATCATAACTTTCATAAGTTTCAATTAATATCAAGTTTTAAATGAGCTGTCCTCCCATATTTTCAAGCCTGAATTTTGATGGTGCTTTTTTAGAAACTCCATGAATTTTGGATTTAGTAAGTGATGTGAATCTTACATGGTATGATAAAAATCATTTAACTCAATTATATTATTGATAGATATTTTGTTATATGATATTTAAAAAATAAAAAACACTAAATTTTAAATTTTTGGAGGGAGCAGTATATATAAGTTATGATTGTGAGAGTAGTTTTAAATTTTTTCTCTGATAATATATTTTGATAATTTTTAGATGTTAATAAAATCCAATCCCTCACTAATTAAAAAATTCATTGAATGTCATTCACCGAAATCCATGTATAACAACGAAGTGTAGAAAAGCAAAACATGGTTGACGTTGACGGTGAGCGTGAGATGCATGCGGGAGCAGAGGCGGTGGCATGAAGTTTGAGAAGGATGACGCACGTGGAGCTACGAAGAGAGAATGGAGCAGCTGCAGGCTGCAGCTATCTAGTGGCTTTAATGGAGACTTGCTTCTTGGATCACGTCCTGTTGTTCATCACGCCGTGGCTTTCCCTTTTGTTACCCTAAAGATTGAAAAAAGGTAAAAAGGTTTTGTCTTTTAAATAATTTCAGGACATACTCACTGTTTGATGGCATAACCATATTCTTTTTCGTTTTGCAAGGGATTCAATCATTCCTTACTACCTGTTGGACCCAAAAAAAAAAAAAAAAGCATTCCTTTCCATGATTCTCTCTCCCCCGATCATTCTCTGTGAAAGATACTATTATATTATTTAACACCAGGGCTATTCAGACATCAAATGTAAGAAAAACGGTAGTGACCAAAGCCCCCAATCGAAACTCTAATTAATCCATTCGTACCATCTGTCCTGAAATTTCCAATGAACCATTTCTTTATTTGTTTCCTTGGCGCCAGATTTGAAAACCCCCCATTATCACCCATGGTTTTCCTTTTCTGTTGTCAGTTTTTCCCCTTTATATAAACGTCGCAACTCCCTAAAGCTCAATGTACTTTCCAGTTTCTGCTCAATCACACCCTCGTTTGCTGCGTTGGGTTTTGTGAATTGATTCTTTGTGACATTGAAACCTAAGTTTCCATGGCTCACGGAAGCAAGCGGCTGGAGAAGGATGACGCACCTCCACTGCCGCAGTTTCACCAGTCTGAGAAGCAAGACGGTGATGAAGAAGAGGGCATGGGACAGGAAGAACGTTCCGGGAATCTGCCTTCGGCGGAAGGCGGTAGTGGACTCGAGAGAGGGGAAAAACCAGAAAGATTCGATCTTGACACCGAACAAGCGAAAATAGAGTCATTAACGGAAGTCACCGAAGCTGTCAAGAAAAGCCGCGGCAGAAAACGTAAGTCAGAGACGGAGGCCTCAGGAAACGAGATTTTGGCGGATGTGGCGAGGCGTAGTGCTAGACTAACGCAGAAATCGTACTGTTATGTTTTCTTTGACGAGGAAGATGAAACTAAAAAAGGGCGACGTGTGAGAAGTCGTAAGAAGACGAAAGTTGCGGCAAATGAAACATCAATGATTGAAGAAGGTGTAGGAGTCGAGGACAATGGTGATTTAGGCGGAGAGAAGTTAGGACATTTGGAGCAGGGTGATCCTGGGGGTTCTGCGAAGGGTTGTGCTCTCGAAGGAGGAGAAAGTGGACACAAGAAAATTTCAAAGCGTGGGAAGGCGGTTCATAATGCGAAGGCGGAAAATAAAGTATTGGAGGCTGAGGCTCATGGTCCAATGAAGATGGCTAGATATTCCTCAGAAAGCAGTTCATATAAAGGCTATAGTTTGAGGGCTTCTAAATCTGAAGTTAATAAGCAGGAGACAACCAAAGTAAACAGGCACGATCCTGAAGTAAGAAAATTCCTTCTTCTCTATTGTGTTCTGTGCTTCAGGTATACATTATATTAGCTTGGCTGTCGTGGTTGTAATTTCTATTTCCTACTTAACAGTGGATTGAAAAGGAGTGCTTAATGTGCCATCAGTGTCAGAGAAATGATAAGGGGGAGGTTGTTAGGTGTACAAAATGTAAGCGGAAGAGATTTTGCATCCCGTGTTTAAAGAGCTGGTATAATTTACTTTCCTTCTACTTCGTTTTGCTTGTTTTCAGCTTCCAGGTGTTGTACTTAATATTTATCGAGCATGCATCTTTAGTTGGGCAAGATCTTTTTTTTTTTCAAATGCATTCATGACTCAAGATATTACATCCAAATAGAAGATCCTAACTGATCCCTTCCATCATTCGCCTCCTCTTGTGGAGGAGGAGAGGGATGAACAAAGGTTCAAAAGTTAGACACTAAATTGTGCGACATCCTTGCTAAATAATCAGCATATATGTTGGAGCTTCTACAAACATACAAACATGTTCAATAGTTAAGCTTCAATCCCCATGATACAAAAAAAGAGTGTCATCAATTAAATCCTTAAAAGGATGTGAATCATCAAGATCTACATACTGTTCTCATATTTATGCCTGCTCATACAGGTCAGAGTCCATTATTAAACTAAATTTTTGGAATCATAGCGTGAAAGCATGTGCTGCATGGTATAGAATATCAATGTTCTATTTAGTTTAAGTATAATGTTAGTTAATACGCACCAAAATTCAGGGTTACTACTAACTATTTAGTTTGAACTTTATAAAGGTCATACCTTATGGTTGGATGAGTTTGAAATAAGCAATCGAAGTTACTTGTTCGTTCTGACCATTAACCTTGGCTTTCATTGTCATTTTGGTCCTTCACGTCTTTGTTGTATTGTAAAGGTATCCTCAATTGAGAGAGGAAGATATTGCCGAGGAGTGTCCTGTGTGTCGTGGAAACTGCAATTGCAAAGCATGTCTGAGCTCTGATAAATTAATCACAGTCAGTGCTCTGCTTCTAAATTGCACTTTGTGATGATTTTTATATTCTACAGTTAAAATGTGAATGAATTCAATTTTCTATAGGCAATTAAGGATGCAAAAATCGATGAAAATGTGGAAGTTGAATTCTTTAAGTATTTGCTACCCATGCTTCTTCCATATCTAAGGCAGCTAGATGAAGAACAAATGATCGAGAAGGAGACTGAAGCCAAGCGACAAGGTGCGTTCTCATGAACTGTCTTAATCAAGATTACTCTTCGATAAAGCAATGCTATTTTTCCTTCTAAGTTGCTTAGCTCATGAGAAGTTAAGTATAATTAGTGTCTACAATCATGTGATTAAATCATGGATTCTTGGCACACATACAGTTATGTTTTAGTTCTGGTTGTGTTACAGAATGGTGATGTAGAACAGAAACTGAAAATCAGATAAACAATAAAAACAACTAAATTGCATTAATGTTTTTGCTCAAATAACTATAATTATCCCATTATAAATGCTTAACGCCAGATCATAAATTGATATGATAAACATTAATTTCTTCTCATTGATGAAGAGATTTTGTTTCAAATAAGTGAAGCTTGTGGAGGATATGATATCCTTGCACCAAAATTACAAGAAAAATGCTCTTAACATGATACTTCAACAAAAGAACCATAGCGTTTACTGGTGTAGAGAAGCTGTCCAATCTTTTTGCATATTGGATGATGGTGATTTCCTTAAAGAACTAGTATGCTGGGCACCAAAGGGAAGACTTGTGCACAATTTTATCCAATGCAGTATTTTGAGAATTTTAGATGTTGATGTTTCCTTTTTTGTTGCCAAAACCTTTTAAAGAATTTCCAAAGCTGCAAGACATGCTGATTTCTTGCCAAAATAATGAGTCCTCCCCACAAGTAACGAACTGCTGGACAATGGATGAAGAAGTGAGGAAAAGTTTCTGAACCACATTAACATATTACAGACTTGTCAGGATGAAGGTCTTTATGGGGCCATCCAGCTGTCAAGATGTATTTCTGTCCATACGTTGGCATTGAGCTTTAGATGAGATCCAAATTGGCTCATGAGGAAGAAAAGCTCTTGCTTGTGCTTGTTGGAAAATGAATCAGGAGCTGACAATAAGATCTACTAGATAAAATACCATAAGTACCGATTTCCTTACCTTTCATGTCTTGCCTAGAAAGATGAACATGATCTATTAGAATCAAATGGGATTGAAACTTACTGCTTTCTCTGCCGTTCAAGAAAAAACCTTTCTCATTACCTGATCCTTGAACTGTTGATTATGTTTAGATTTCGCTACCTTTTTTGAATGGATTATCCCTTTGGGTCATTGGCTTTTTTTTAAAAAAGAAAATTTATAATTAAGCCTTAATTTTCTCCAGCTCTATATTTTTTGTCATAGGTGTTGAGTGTCACAGTAGATCTGATATTCCTCATTAGGCCTTAGTGCAGATCTGAGATAATTTTTGTTGGGTTTGCAATGTAGGCGTCACACTTTCAGAGCTCCGGGTAGGAAGGACAGATTGTGCAGATAATGAGCGTGTTTACTGGTCAGCCTCTTTCCCCCCCTTTATTTTGCGACTTGTGAAGGTCCTATTTGGTTATTATTTGTATAATTAATTGATTATTAAATTTTTTTGCAGTGACAATTGTAAAACTTCAATTTTTGATTGTCACCGAAGCTGTAAAGAATGTTCTTTAGACCTCTGTCTGGTCTGTTGCCGTGAGATTCGTCAGGGGAAATTGGTTGGAGGTGCAGAGCCAGTTGAGTTTGAGTTTATCAGCCGGGGCCTGCACTATATGCATGGTGATACTGAAAAGGGGTCAACAATAACTAAATTAAATGTTGAGACAAAGACTGAGGATCGTGATTGGTCAAGATCTGGCTTGAAGGTTACAAGTGATGGTAGCATCCCTTGTCCAAGGGTTCATGGTGGTTGTGGTTGTAGTTATCTTGAACTTCGATGTATATTTGCTGATAACTGGATTCCTGAACTTGTAAAGAAAGCTGAAAATATGGCCAAAGTGTATAAGCTTGATGATGCAACACGGACAAGTAACCTGTGGTGTTCATGTTTCAACCTAAATGGTAACAACAATGTTGGAAATGAGAATAGGAGGAAGGCTGCTTCTCGTGAAGATCCCAATGTTACTGACAATTATATATACTGTCCAAGGGCTGTAGATCTAGTACCTTTGGATCTGAAGCATTTTCAGTGGCACTGGAGTAAAGGAGAGCCAGTGATTGTCAGCAATGTGCTTGAATGTACATCTGGTTTAAGCTGGGAACCACTTGTCATGTGGCGTGCATTCCGTAAGATAACTAATGCCAAGCATGATCAACATTTGGAAGTAAAGGTCCTTGATTGCTTGGACTGGTGTGAGGTTGGTTTTGCTTGGTGTTTGTGATTCTTCTGCCATATGTATTGTCCTTTTTGTTTGTTCACTGAGATTTGATATTTTGACCAGGTACTTGGGATATTTTTGTTTCTGATATTTAAATTAAGTAATCTAGATGCTTTGCTGAACGATTCTCTACCAAATATTATGCTTTTCTGTTTTTGTGAAGGTTGTGGGAAGGAACAACTCTGCGTCATTGGTTCCCAATGTTTGTATTCCTGCTGTTTGCCTGTTGCTGTCATTTCCACTATTTTTGTCAATAATTAAATATTGTGTCTTCCCTTACTGTCACTCTTTTGTTATGCCTTCCTGACACATGGCTATCCTCTTGTTTTTGTTTTGTAAAACATTTTTTCTGGTGGCATCTGCTTTCTTGCACTGAATTACTGGTGTTTCAATGCAGGGAGACATCAATATACACCAATTCTTTACAGGGTACTCAGAAGGTCGAAAAGATTTTGCTATGGGGCCTCAGTTATTGAAATTGAAAGATTGGCCTCCTTCTAATTTGTTTGAGGAACGACTACCACGACATTGTGCGGAGTTCATTTCTTCCTTACCATACAAGGAATATACAAATCCTCATAAGGGTGTTCTAAACCTTGCTTCAATGTTGCCAGAAGGATACATAAAGCCGGATATTGGTCCCAAGACATATATAGCTTATGGAATTCCCATGGAGCTTGGGCGGGGCGATTCAGTGACAAAGCTTCATTGTGATATGTCTGATGCAGTAAGCTCTGTTTCCTGAAAATTTCTTGTTAAGTTTTCAATAGAAATGGTATCTGGACTGTTTTGATACTATGCAAAGCAGGTCTGTCTGCTTTAGCCATTCCACTGCTTTGTGAGTCTTTTCTTCCTTTTTATTAGGCTGTGGTTTGAAGCTTGTGCCTGAAGTTTGCTCTTGGTAGTTGTTAGTTCTTTCCGTTTTATAGTTTACTTTGGGTGTGCATGCTTGATCATCAATTGAATATTTGTCTATTGTCATTCTTTATTATAGAGAATTATGTCATAGTAGAACAATGAGAATTTTGCTGTTTGCTTGTTTCAAGTTCAGCGATTGATTAAATTATTCCTACAGACAGGGTGGTTGCTGACAAATACAAATGAAGCAGTAAAAATTATAAGATTGAGGAATGTTATTTCCTTTCCCTTTGAAGTTCTAAAATATGTGTTTCATCATGCATTGAAGATTGGTTTAATGAGACTAAATGCATAGGACTGCTAGCTTTGTTTTAGCTCATTTATATATGTTTGGTCCTTTTCTGTCTATTTTACATAATCAGTTGAGTTGTTTTAATGTTATCGTCTTCATGAAATTTGTTGATCCCCCTCCTGATAGCTGTGTCATGCTAATGGGGTTTAAATGGTTATTACTGTTTTGTGGAATAAAGTGCATATTATACATGTTTAATGTCTTTCTTTATGTCTAGTTTTCAATTTGTTTTATGGAGATTGCATAGATGAATTGATATCCCTATTTTTTCTGGTTTTAATGGCCTTCATAAATTCTTTTGTTTTGTGATGATAATTAGCGTCATAGATGAAAGAAAATTGTGGGTGCATCTTACACAAAACATAGGTTGGTGTGGTTTCACTTTATTAAACATAGCCGGTCCCAAGCCCACAAAAGAGGAGGGTTGTGTTAGGCTCTCAATAATTAAAGTAAAACTTTGTCGAATCTCGTATGGATGTGGACATTGTTGGTTCATTCAATTAATTTCATTATATCCATATTTAATTGCATACTTGTGAAGGGGAGATGTGAATTATTTGTTTGGTAACTTGGTCTGTTTTAGGTGAATGTTTTGACTCATACTTTTGAGACGCCCCTTGATGCTGACCTCCTAGCAACAATAGAGGATTTAAAAGAAAAGCACCTTAAACATGACAGAGAGGAGCTATATGGCGATGGTCAGGAAGTAGAAGCTAATGTTGAAAATGGAAAAGCTACAGATTTTGAAAATAAGTTGATTGGATATGATTCTGTGGAGGGAGGTGCTCTCTGGGATGTTTTTAGGAGACAGGATGTCCCTAAACTGCAGGAATACCTTAAGAAGCACTTCAGAGAATTCAGGCATGTCAACTGCATTCCATTGCAGCAGGTAAATTTAAATGAAAGATGATTTTTTCTTGTGAATTGTCAAAAGCTGTGTTCACTTGATGTCAGCAATAACATTTTTGCATGATTCCTTGGGAATGACTGCTTTATATATAAAAGTTGTAGTGGTGGGAAGAAAATCTTATATACTATTATCTATTAGCTAATGTACAATATTTGCTAATTGGGCAGCTCTGGCCAAAAAAAAAAAAAATTGCTAATTGGGCAGGGATAGGAACCGCATTCTCACAGGGCAACTGAGATGTTTGAATGACTGAGAATTGTAATCGTGAATGCTTTGCTGTTATCAAATTTTGAATGACAAACAATGAAGAACTGTTTTGTATATGGTCTGGAACAACTTAATTGGCTTGATGATATTTTTTCATGGAAAGAAAATTGAAAATATAGTTTGAGTATGTGGGAAGTATGTTCAAATGAACGTGGCAGTTAAGTTGGCTGAGTATGTATAAATTGTAACTGTCCTTGAACTTGACCTAATTTGTGATTATGTGAGCCTGGCTAAACTAAACAAGCTGCAAATCCCATTAAGATTCCTCTTTGCTTTTATTTCTATCTTAACAATGAATACCAAGTAGTTTATGAGTGCTGAGACATGCAACATTTATTATTGTACTCACCATCCTTGCATAGTCAAATATAGGAATTGATTTTATGCTTATTAAATTGTTGATCATTGATATAGCTGTCTGTGGTTGTTGCGTGCTGATAACTGAAACATTTATGGTTTCATGCTTCTTTCTAAAAGGATTTACTTTATTGTTTTAGGTTGTTCATTCTATCCATGACCAGACCTTTTATTTGACTATGGATCATAAGAGGAAGCTGAAGGAGGAATATGGTTAGCAATTTTTTTGTGTTTTTTAATTATCACATAATATCTGATTTCATTGTTACCTTACAGTACAAATTCCCCAGGCTTTTATCCTCATTTTCTCTTCGGACTTTCCAATCATTTTATAGTAAACCCCACTTAGTTTCTGACCTTCCAATCATTTATTCTGTTGTAATTGATTTTTGTTCACGGTCATGTACCACAATGCCCTAGACTGCTTCAGCTTTATTAAATTAAATTAAAATATCCTTACTAATTATCCATCTCTCCCCAGGCTCTTCTTTTTTTGACTCACATTAGTTATCTCACTAAAGCTACGCCCCACTGGATGGACATTTGCATTTTCCTGCCATTCTCCTTAATATTAATGCATTTTTCTAGTAGAATCTGGCGATTTGAGGGATCAGGTGGGTTCCCATAAATGTTTCTGATTTTGATAGTACTAGTGGATAGTGGACTAGTGATGGAGAAGGGTAAAGTTCATAATTTTTTAATTTTATGTTATTATATTTAATTTTAATGAATTATCCAATTTAATTTTTTTAAATATAAAAATGTATTTTTACCAATTTATTAGGTTTTAAAATATAATAACATGAAAATATATTTTTTAATATATAATTTGATTTTAAATTATTTTGACAAAGTTAATTTAAATATAATTTTTCCTTCAATTTATTTTTATAAAGATAATTATATAAAGCATGATATATTTTCACATGAGGGTATTACAATCATTTTAATATTTGCTTATTTCTTTTTATCTCTATTTTCTTTTGTTCATCTAAACACTAGGAGAGGTGATATTTTTTTTCCAGTTTTCTCTTCTCTTGATTTTTCTTCTCCCATTTTCTTTCCTCTCAACTTTTCTTCCCATTCAAATAGAGTGTTACTTCTTCCCTTTGTCTTTGGCCTATCAGGATTGATTCCTAGTTATAATTGTAATTTATTTCCTTGCTCTTCCATACTTTTCCCTTGCCTGTTGCTGGTGGAATATTATAGAATATTTCCAGACTTTTATTACTGTGATTATTTCCTTGTAAATATTCTAATCTATCCCTGATTTTATGGGATCTTTATTTTCATAATTTCTAGCATTTATAGTCGCTGATTCATTGGGATTGAATAGCAGAAATGTTGCTATCTTCCCTACAAATTGTAGGGTTAAATGGCAATGTGGATCTAAATTATAGGTCTAGGGGTGATTTGAGTTCTGAATTTGTATTTGATACATTTTAAACTCTAAATAATTAAATCAAGAACAATCTCACCCCCATCGTTAACTTGAGACTAAATGCTGCTACTGTGGCCCTCTTCCCCCTTCCCAGTTCCACTAGGTCGCCATGAGTAGTACTCCGGCCATAACACAATCGATGGCTTCCATGGCTGAATGGTGCAAAGCGCCTAACTCATAATTGGTGAATTCGTAGGTTCAATTCCTATTGGATGTTCGTCTCTGCCTTCACCTCTGTCCTCCTCTTTTCTCTCTCCCCTATAATTTGAAACCTTTGCTCTCTCTCCCTCTCCCCTCGCATCTTTGTCTTCTCCTCTCTCCTCTCTCCAATAACTCGAAATCTCCATTGGTGTCGGAGAATCTAGACAATGCCAAGAATCCATTTGAAAATTCCCATTGACATGCTACAACTCATCTCATATCCCTCCATCAATTGATGATTCCGCCAAGTTGACAACCATGAATGACTGATAACAAGTCCCTTGTTTATATGCTGGCCCACCCGCCACTTCGTCAAACTCTGTGAAGAAAAAAGAAACGAAGCATCAAACGTGGTGGTAGGGTTGATTTGTGTGTGATGATATGATTGTTGTTGATCTTGTTTGAGTTTTGGAAGTTTTGAAGGTTGTGTTTGCTTATGGACTTGCGATTCTGGAATCAGTAGGAGCATACTCTTGAAGTTGAGCTTTGATCTTTCTGATCTCAACTTTGGGAGGATTCACTGTTCTAGAGTTGAAGATTGCTTCCAGTATCCACATTTGCTCTGGTTTCGGGTCCTACCTTGGCTTTGGCTTTGGACTTCTTTCCTCACAACTTGCAAAACAAAACAAAGTCATCATCAACAACATGAAATTTCAATTGTAACTAGAAATAGTGAAGTTGATCTGATTTCGTCGGAGTGATATGATTATGAACTTGTAGAAGAGGAAGGAAGAGGAAGATGAAGAAGCGTAAGGGGTTCGATGGCAAGAGATGAGAGAGGAGTTCATGTTGTGCTGCTATGGGTGTTAGGGATTGCAAGGCTTGGACTTGAACATGCTAGGCCCATGGTAACTGTGTTTAGTCCTAATTTAATGGTGGGGGCAAGATTTTCTTAGATTTAATTGTTCAAAGTTCAAAATGTACCAAATATGAGTTCAAAGTTCAAATTGCCCCTAGACATAGTTTAGAGTCCAAATTGCCTTTTAACCCTAAATTATCCACTATTGTGAATAAAATTGAGAGAATTCATCCTCCAAAGTGTTCAGCTATAAATATAATTAAGGAAACAAAGCCACTGTAATGTGCAACTATTCAAATGAAATAAATATAATTGCATTATTTGGTCTTTGTATTTAGCTCCCTCTTCCACCCATACATTCATATTCATGGACCCATGAAAAAGAAATTGAGATGCTGAGGTTGGGTTGCTGGATAGAGACGTCTTAGTGCCCAAGGTTCAATGCCTCAAAGCCTGGCCCTTGTGTTTCGTCGCCTTGGGGATTGTACTGGAATATTGTTTGTTAATTGTAGGGTATTGCATGTATGCTGAACACTCTGGTTTTGACGATGAAGAATATTTTCCTTTCTGCATCTTTATTTTGTGTTTCTTTATCAAATGGTGTCTTTAGTCTTATCTTATAGTGATGCATTCATGTTTCTTTACCTTCTTTTGCAGGAATTGAACCATGGACATTTGTTCAGAAACTGGGAGATGCAGTTTTCATTCCTGCCGGTTGTCCTCACCAAGTCAGAAATCTTAAGGTGTAATAAATGAACAGTAGAAAGTTTCCTTGATTTTTAGGTTTAGTTTTACTGCAAGTTTAAATTATTATCTCCTTGTTATGCATTTGTGACCCTTAGTTGCTTAAATAAGAACGCATATGCAGGATGACTTTGATATTTTCATTTATTATTTTTTAAGTTTGTTGGTTCTTGGGAAGCATGGATATCGGAATGTACACTAGATGCAACAATAACACTTCCATGATAGCATGACTCCATAATAGTAAATATGAAATGCTGGCATGCATTAAGGTATTGTAGAGTTTTTGGTCACGTCTAATATGCAAGTGGTCAGTTTGTGTTGGAGACAGATGCAACTCTTCTTTGGTGTCCATGCTTTATAGATTGGATCTTACTAGTTTCTACTGTTGAGTAGTGTTCTAGAAATTGCTTGATTCTTGATGTGAATTGAATGATAACTACACTTTGGCCAAAATGATATATAGGCAGAAGTCCTTGTTGGAGTTGCAGAATAACAAATTCTGCAAATTTATCTCCTTGAATTTAGCCCATCAAATTGTCAATTTTTTTTTTTAACCAGATTCAACTCTGTTACATTTGTGTGTGTTGAGAGGTTTGACATGCTGCATTTAGGCCTGTTGGAGAACGTCACCAAATTGTGGTTCCATATTTTAATTTGGTTTTTTTTTTTTGCTGCACAGCACATGTGTTTCACATGCTTCATTATTTATTTTGGTTTTATTTTATTTTTTATTTGTTAGCAATATTTTTCTTGAAGGTTCTGTTTTAGATTAAGGGAATCAAGAGAGATTTACCCTAGATTCTAGGTTAATGAGGCTGGCTTGCTCTGTCCAACATGTATATATAACCCTATATATTGATGCATATACGGCTTTAAGTTTTAAATGTACAGAGAATATTGGAAACTTAAAAGTTGTATGCTATTAAGGCAAACAATGAAAGTTGTTTTTTAAAAAAAAATTAAAAAAATCAGTAAACGTCAAGAGTAGTTCGGTTGCAATGACAAGAATCTTTAGAAGCCTAATTTTTTTCCCCTCTTTTTTATTAAAAGAAAAGCAATGAAGTTGTCTGCAACATGTGAACAATAATGTTACTCATGATCTGAGGGAAAGGATCATTTTGGATTTTGTTTCAAAGCTGAAGAGCTAGCGATTTCTTCATGTTGTGTAGCATTCAGGATTTTTATTTTTTTTTGGGGGGGGGGGGAGGGGTGTTGTGGTCTTCCCTTTTAGGAGGGGATGTTCTTATCGAAAGTAGAAACACATGAAGAACGAACCATACTGTGGTATTCGATGTGGAAGAAAGAGTTATATACATAATGGGAATGCTGGCAACATTGATTGGACAAATTTAATCCCACAAAATCAGGTTAATCAAGTTAAACTATGAGTAATGTTAATTATTTGATTTACCAAAATAACAAAGTCAAAATGAATAGATAAAATTCATCAAAAAATTTAAAATACCTAAGGCACCATGTCATAAACTACATGTGATACTGACAGTTCTGCATCGATCATCAATATAGTAATTTTGAAGATTTTAGGGGAGGTACACGTAGTTCATTTGAAAATTAAGTATGCTGTCCTTCAACTTTAGAAATCTTATCAGCTCTTTGAAAGCTTTCCAAGAATAGTAAATGCTGTAAATTTGGATGTGTATGCTTATCTTTGGAGGCATTTTTATATATAATAATTATCTGTTGACACCATTTTAACTGCTGCAAATGTTGATGTGTCTTGCTCTTGCAGTCATGTATCAAGGTTGCTCTCGATTTTGTATCACCTGAAAGTATACATGAGTGTATTCGTTTAACCCAGGAATTTCGCACACTTCCCATAAATCACAAGGCTATTGAGGACAAATTGGAGGTACAAGAATGTTCGTTTTTTGTTTCCGATTTTTGTTTTGTAGGATTATTCCTCTTTGTTACTTTTCATTTTTTATTTTATCTCATATCTGGCCCTAAGAATATGTTGTGAGTATTGTGAATGTGGATGAAAAGTAAGTATAGTTGGTAGTTATGTTTTGCAATGATGGTTGTTTATTTAGTTATAATTTGCAATCTGACTTGAGAGGAGTTATATGATTGAGGATGGAGTTCTGACTTCCAAGTTCCTCTCTTTTCTGTTACTCTTTCTATTTCTTTTTATCTTTTCTCTTATTAGAATACTCCATCTAAGCGAATGTTAAAAGAGGTTTTGTTTACGAGCTTTGTGATAATTACACTGTTACTTGTATCTTAATGTATGTAATCGTTACTTGTAATTGTTAAATATTTGAAGCATATTTAAGATGTTGATTTAAAATTGATGGATCAACTTGCAAAGGAAAGACGAAGCAATTTTGGGTAAAATATAAAGGGAAAACATAATTATTGATCCTATAGTTTTGTGGAATTTTGAGAGAGAAAAAATGTATTTCTCATCCATGTGTTCTGGTGTACAAACTAGTCCTACACACACACACATCAAGGGAGATAAAACGTAATAAATACTAATAAAGCCTAATGAATAATGATGCTGGTGTAATGTTCCCACACTCCCCCTCAAGTTGGATCATTGATGCTAATCATGTTCAACTTGCTTATATAACTCTTAAAGGCAGGCTTAGTTAGTCCCTTGGTCAGCATGTCCGCAGCTTGTAACTTTATAGGTAGGTATATCAAACATACAATGCCTTCCTTTGCTTTCTCTCTGATAAAATGTCTATCCACTTCAACATGTTTAGATATCTCATGTTGTACAAGATTCAATGCTATGCTTATGGCAGCCTTGTTATCACATTACAACTTCGTTGGTAGATCAATTTTGACATGTATTTCTTGCATGACCCTTCTTATTTATAGTTCTTCTGTAATTCCTTGAGCTAGTTCTCACGAGACTATTACCCTTCCCCAAAAAGATAAACCCAATAAGCACGAGTATGATTATCAATGAAGGAAATGAATCATTTTGTTTGAGTAAGGTTTGGAGTGCAAGATAGTCCCCACAAATTATTGTAAATGGTTGTGAAATGTTTGGTGGGTGTGTATTTGACTCTAGAAAAAGAAGTTTGATGGTGTTTTCACTATGATTCAAGTTCAAGCATAAGGTTGGAAACAATTGTTGAAGGTAATAAAAATTATGATAACCCATCCTCTTATGTCATAACATAAAATCAATAATTTTAGAGGTGCCTACTCAAGTGATGACTTTTAAATAATAGAGCTCCCCGTACTCGTTGGCACAGTCAATTGTTGCACTAGATGATAGATCTTGAAACACAATGTGACGGGAGAAATTTAGCAAAATAATTTGAGTGCCTAGTCAATTGACTGATTAGAAGTAAATTGCAATCAAGTTTTAGTAAATGAAGGATAGATTTCAAAACAATAGAATTTGATATATGGGTACTCCTTTTTCCCGCCACAGGTGCTAAGAAGCTATATGTAATTTTCACTTTTAACATTCCTAACACATGGGGTATAAGTGACGAACAATTGATGACAATTAGTCATATGGTCGGCTGCCCTGGAATCCATAATCCACACCATTGCACTTCGATGAAGAAAAGACCCATTTTTTCCACTAACGCCATTGGTGTAGATTTGGAAAAATTATCCACGACATTGCATATGAGCATCTATAACAACACTCTCAGCACTTCAAATAAAAGAAAGACTTCGTGATAGGTTGAAACCAGAAACCACAGCCCAAGAACATACCAACGTCCTTGAAATGGACTCCCAAACACACTTTAGGAATGAACAAAATTAGGTCCCATAATTCTCACCTTTAAACTGGTAGAGACCTTGTTAGAGAAGACATGGCCAAAAGCATAAAACCTTCCTTTTTGAGATGCCGGAATCATCTTTGAGACATAAAGCATGAGAGTTCCCTCAAGATCATAGTTCTTGATTGTAGCAGCATAAGGATCATCAAGAGGACCCTTGTACAAGTTCTCAACATGATATTTTTGTGCCTTAACAAGTAAGGGACGAGTACCCAAACGTGGAACATGCTGTGATTGTGATGATTAAAGGAAGGCTGTCATTGGAAAGAGGGGTCGTGGCCTGAACAACAATGACGTGCACCCATACACACCACTGAACATGCTTGGGGGTGGTGAGAGCCACAATGGTCTCGAACAACACTTACATCACAGCTCTATTGTGTTGTACAGAAGCCCTTGCACGAGCCATAGCCTAGAAAAGCCTTAGAAAATATTATGAATCATTTGCTCTAATACCATGTGGAATTTTGAGAGAGAGAAAATGTATTTCTCATTTACATGTGTTCTGATGTACAAACTAGTCATGCACACACACACAAACATCATGGGAGATACAACAACGACAAGCATTATCCCACTAGGTGGGGTCTGCTATAAGGATTGTATAACACCATTGTGCTTATTATTTATCAAGTTTTTAAAAATATTGTTAATTTAGAGGTCTCGATTAATAATTTTCAAAAGAATTTCTTTGGCCTTCCTTTATCCTTCTTAACAAGGTTTAAAGTTATTTGTTCTATTTTCCTCATAGGTGCCTCCCATGGTTTTCTTTATATATGTCCAAACTATTTCAATTGATTTTTTTATTAGTTTTCCTTTAATAGGTGTGACGCTCACTTTTTTCCGTATTCACTCATTTTGGATTTTATCTTTACGTGTTCGTCCGTACATCTATCTCAATATTCTCATCTTTATTATGTCAACTTATGCTTTTGCTATTCTATTAAATCCCAACATTTACTATTATATAATATTGCTAGTCTAATAGTAGTTTGATAAAATTTTCGTTTAAGTTTATTAGGTATCTTACAACTGCAAATAATTCCTTTAATCTTTTTTCAATTTAACTATCCAACTTGTATTCTATGTGCAGTATTTCTATTATTTTCTCCATTATGTTGAATAATAGCTTTCAAATATTTAAATTTATCCACTTGAGGTATAATCTGATAACTTAATTTCACTTCTAAATTACTACTCACTGATCTCTTATCAAAATAGTTGTGTAAATATTCTGTCTAACTCCTATTTATGCGGAAACCTTTTGACATTAATATCCTTTCCATAACTTAAGTTTACAATTAATTTCTTTTCTTGTCTCCATAATAAGAACTATATCATTCGCGAAAAGCATGCATTTAGAGATTTTCTCTTGAATATGCTTAGTCAAAAAACAAGGATCGAGTCATACAAATAAAAACTCAGATAAACCTTGATATAGTCTAATCCTTATAGGAAAGTCTTTTGTTTTGCTGCCAAATGTTTTTATACTAATTGTTGCCTCATACATATCTTGTATAATTTGAATATAGGCAACTCAGACGTGCTTTTTTAATGCTTTCCAAAATACTTCTATCGATACACGATCATAAGTTTTTCCAAATCAATGAAAATCATATGTAAATATTTACCTTTGCATTGATACTTTTTCATTAATCTCCTTAGTAAATAAACCACTTTTGTAGTCGCTTTACCTGGCACGAAATTGATTCTCAAAAATATTAGTTTCCAATTGCAACTTGTGCATAATCATTCTTTCTTATTTTTATTGTATGACTCATAAGTTTAATTTCTCTATAATTGACACAATTTTGAATATCCCCTTTATTCTTATAAATAGGAGTTAAAGTACTTCTCTTTCAATCGTTAGGCATTTTTTTGGATTGTAAAATCTCATTAAATAACTTAGCTAACTATTGTATTCCTTCTTCACCTAAATATTTCCACATTTCAATAGGGATACAATCAAATTCATTGGTTGTACCATTTACCATTTTCTTAAAAGCTTCTTTTACCTTGCAGTCGTGAATCTTTTGATAGAATAACAAATTATGTTCTCCTTCAGAGGTTATTAAATCCTCCAAGTTATTAGATGAACTCCCTTCATGATTGAAAAGTTTAGAAAAATAGTTCTCTCATCTATCTGTAATATCACCATCTGTGACCAAAACATTTTCATTTGTGACTACACATCAAAAGAGATAAAACCTAATAAATTACTAATATAGCCTAATGAAAATAATAATGATGTAACATTCCCACAAGTTTTATTGAGTTTTATTTTTAATTTCTATAGTTTTTTCAATATTTTCAGTCCTCATAGTTTTAGAAAAATTGAGTGATATTTGTTTTTCAAGTCCCTATAATTTTAGCTACTGGAAAAAAACTATAAGAATTAAAAGTAAAACCTAATAAAACTATAGGAATTAATGGTTATGTTTTCCCAAATATAAATAAGCTGTCAAAGTTTGGTGCAATGAAAGTGATGATTCCATTTATATAGATGATATTGTTGAAAGGCAATAAATGCCTAGTTTATGTAGGCGTGTATATTTGGTTTGTTCATTTTTTAATATTCGGTTCATCACAAGTTGAATGTATGGGATTGATTCTTGGTCAAAATTTTGATTAGAAGTTCGGATGATTGAAATGAGCAATGTTTATGGCACGTGTATTTTGAAAGCATTTATTGTGAACCTCTATGAGAATGCACTTTATGATTGCTTTTTTTATGGAAACAGGTGAAGAAAATGATCATTCACGCAATGAGTAAGGTAGTGGGGACATTGGAGAAAGCAAGGTTTGTGATACAAAACTACTCACGTGTTCTAATTTTTTCTGGATATTGAGTTAGTGTTGATTCTCATGATTCTGTTTATGTTGTAATATTATAAAATTCCCCCTCTTCTATTAATTAGTGCATAAAAAGATCGCTACTTTTGTAGGCCAGAATCTAAACCTTGAAATTTTAGTTCGTTGTTTCATCTCTGAATGGATGCAGCAAAAAGATTGTTATTCTATTTTTCCTCTACTAAGCTACTATGTCTCATGTTTGATAATGGAAGGCTCTGTGCTGTATAATTTCTTTCAACTTCATCGTATATATAGTATTTGCTTTTTGAGGCTAAATTGAACAAGGTATGATATTGCACTAATAGTAACTATGTTGACAACATTTAGGAAGTATTTTTTAATCATGGGTTTATTTGAAGCAATTTTCTACAACCATTTTGCATGTGTTGTTTTTAGTTTGTGATTAATGGATCTCTTGTAAAACTGACTGTGGTTCATTTAATTTTCAGGAAGAAAGAAAGCCAAGGCTCAAAGTAATGAAGATCTGTTTAAATTGAAGCCTGTGGAAGTGTGGTTGTCTGCTTCTTTTCGATAATACATAGCCATCCTTTGTTTTGTTGCAGCAACCATCAATGATGTGTTGTATAGCGCTAGAATGCAAATTCTGTAAATAATTCCGTGGATGATGATTATGACTTGTGTACAAGCAAGGGCGCTTTTTCAAAATGCACTTTGTCTGAGCACTTTTTTAAATGAATTATTGTTGTTGTTGTTGTTGTTGTTGTTTGGGTTATTCTCCTATTTTTATTCAAAATAGGAAGGGAGATAATTTACTTCCCACTGTCACTTAGTGGGGATAAAAAGATAAAGAACGCAGTACAAATTTCTGTCGTCCTTTCCTAATTTTCCCAATTAACTACTATTTCATAAATTTTTGAATCATTTTTCCTTTTCAAATTAAAAAACTTATTAGCAAATGGCTCAATTTTAAGGGTTGTTGTCATTTGGCTGTCACGTTGTTAGTGCTTGTAGTAATTAACAAGAACAACTTTACTGACAATTATTTTATTAGAATTAATAGTCTTTGTATAGCAAATTATAACCATGTCCGTGTTATAGTAAATTCACTACTTTGTTAGTGCTTATGACTACTTTTAAAGTTAACAATTTCTTTACAAAATAATTATTTTTATTTTATAAAAAGGACACTTAAAAGATATGGAAAGCTCAAATTTATTTTAAAAAAATGAGTTTTAAAATTGAAAAATTAATATTGAAATATATTTTAAATATTTTGAGATATTTAATAGATTAAAAATAATAGAAATTTGACAATGTAATATTTTAATTTTTTTAAGAAAATATGTAAAATAATATATTCAAATATATGATATTTTATTATTTTAGTATAAAATGACTTAAAATTTAAAAGATCAATTAATATTTAATGTATTTTATAACATTCTTTGTCCAATTAAACTTGAATATTAAAAAAAAAACATGATTTTGTGAAGCTTGATTCTCAATTTTTTCAAACTTGTTCAGTTTATCCTGACTTATAACTCCAGTACTCCTATCCCACTAAAAGTACTTACGATGGGGGCTTTGACTACAATGGTTCGCGCCTCTTTACTGAATCAACAAAAATTTTAAAATTATTGTAAAAAAAAAATTAAACAAATGAATATGAGAAAATAAAAAAATTAAATGAATTTAAAGTTAAAACATAAGTTTTAAATTATTGTAAAAAGAATAAACAAATGAACATGAGAGAATAAAAAAATGAAAATAGATTTATAGTTAATTTTTGATTTATTTATGCCAAATTCTTCCTCAAATTAATTATGTAACCCCGATAAAACACATCCTCGTCTCGTGAGTAGCGTATTCATCTTTCTTCGTCGGCGAACCAGCATTCCGCACTCTGTCGGGCGCCGTCCACTGTTGTCAGTCCTGCGTGGTTGTTCTCGGGCAAGCAGTGAAAGCGGTTCGAATCCTAGGGCCTTTTCTACTCCCAAAATCCGGTGAGATTGATTTTTCAATCTGGCTTTGAATTTGTTCCCCGCGTCATCTGTTCCCTGCGTGGCTGTTCTTGCTTGTTTTAAATTTTTCATTTTAATTTGGCTTTGAATCTGGTTGTGTAATCGTTTGAATATTGTCGCTTTTGAATTTGGAAATATTCACAGATTGAGTTTAATTTTTATGTACTAGTTTTTGCTTTAATGGTGCGTGATTGGCTATGATACTTCTTCCCTCTTTATTGTGATCACTAGAGACTTGAATTATTTGGATTTTGTTGTTTTCCAATGCTGGATTTGTTGTGTATTGGCATTCTATCAATTAATCTTTTTATGTTATCATTAATTTTGTGATATATGATCTTGTAAATGACTTGGATAGAGTTGTGTCAAAGTATCTAGAACAAAAATTAAAAATTTATTATATCAACTATGCATATTTCAAAGATTCCACTAAGTGTAGTATAGATCCGCCTATGACCATCACTATATCCAAGAACATCGATTGTTTTTCTTGTGAAACCAAAATTATCATTTTAATCGTGCAAAAAATGGGGAGGATGAATGTTTCTGTGACTAGCTGGCTGAAGTTGTGGGAAATAGGGAACTTTAGGGTGAAAGGAATCAAGGAAATGATACAAATTGTATGTCACTCAGATTGAGTGGTGACTTGAAACCCTAGTGAGGAGTCCATATTTCCTGAGCTAAGGTAAAATATGAAACGGGCAGTATTTTATCTTTTAACCTTGTTGCAGCCTGTAGGCAGTACGCCTCTTTTCTTAGTTGGAAAACAACTGAGGTATATGTCGATATGAATTATTTTTAATTGGCTGATTTCGTTTGTGTATCTCTCTCTCTCTCTCTCCAAGGAAAAGGAATGCTTTTCCCTCTGACCAAATGCTCTTGATGTGTATTCTAGGCACAATCCCTTTAAAATAGTTGTATTTCCTCTCATCAGTATTGCCTCTAAACTAAAGCCCCATGGTCACTCTTGGACTTGGAGTGGGTCATCTTTAATCCCTCAGGCCTCTTCTATCTCATCTAACTCCTTCGTCATCCTCTTTGAACCAGCAGCAACAAGCTTTCCTCATTATTACTTGCAGAGCACAGTAAGACTCCATTTTCCAGCTGCCTTGTTAGTCTTTTTTCCCCCTCTCCCTAGTCCTCCCAAGTCCTAAATTACCTTTCTGTTTTGTTATCTGAATTTTGATGCCCCTCCAATTCTACATCAGTCTATTCTCTCTTACATGAGGAGGATCATCCACTTCAAGCAAAGTGGCAATTCAGTGCTGTTTTGGCACCATTTTTTCATGTGTGATGGTTTGAAATGTTTCAAGAATTCACTGAACTGAGAAAAGAAAAAAAAAAGCAAGTTTTTTGCGTACGTGCTTGTACATCATGGCTTCTCTAATAGACATGCGTCTGATATAGATACGGTGCCTAAAGTGGTATATCCATGCATGCTTGTTCAACAATCATTATCGGCATCTCTTTTTGAAATAAATATTCCTAAGTTGCAGATGTTTTTATCAACATGTCCTTTATGTAGAATTGTATTCTTTTATTTTATTATTGTTTTGGGAAGCAAAATACATAGGTAAAAAACCAGGAAAATGGAGATAACTAATGCCTCAATGCATTGATGTGCAGATTGAATGTAAATTTTTTTTTTTCATTCCCTCTTTATTGTTTTTCTCAGTCATGTTCATTTATGGCTTGCAATAGATATTTTTTCCTAGTTATTGTCACCTTTTGCATTGTTCACTTCTTCCTCAATAAAAGGAATTTGATATTGTTTGGATAATTTAAAATTCATTTCTTACTTAACATTTTAGTAGCTCTTTTCTTTTGTGCTATTGCCATCTATTTGATGTGGGTTTTGGTCCTTTTTGATTTGGGATTTTTATGTTTGCATGTAACCTTAACCAGTAAATTTGACAAATTAGTTTTATTCGTACTCATTGGATGACTCCTTTCTTTCCTTAACCTTAAGGACATTTTTATTGCTTTCAAGTGTTGTATCAGCTGTCTCTCCTAATTGAGCAATTTTAATCTCAGATGGCACTGCAAGAGCAGTTAGACCGGTTTAAAAAACAGCAGCAGAAGTGTCAGTCAACCCTCACAAGCATTGCAGCTAGCAAGGCTGCAACAAGCAAAAAATCTACTCCTGCAGTTGCATCTGCATTGGCCAATGGGAAAACTCCAGCTCCTGCTGTCAAATTTTCAAATGATACAGAGAGGCTTCAACATATTAACAGTATTAGGAAGGCCCCTGTAGGAGCTCAGATGAAGCGTGTTATTGATCTGCTGCTAGAGGTATTTGTTCTATTTACTCCCTCATATTTCTTTCCTCTGTTAATGACCATATAAAGAGTTCTATATCATACTAAGTTCATATTGCTATTGCCAGTTACTGGTGATAGAAAAATTGGGCATTTCTGAAAGTTAAGAAAGGCTGAACTCTGAATGATTTTTCATTTTAGTGCATACTGCAAAATCATGTACTGAGTTGCTAGGGCTAACAATGGAACAATTTTAATATGACTATTCATGTTTAAGAAAAAAAGTTGTCTTGATGCTGCTGGGTTGGTGGTTGTGATTTGTGAATAATGGGTTAAAATTCAATGTTGATGGAAAGGCATTTCTTTTATGAATGACATTATAGGGTCAATGTAGTGGAAATAGGAGGCATAGCAAAAGGAGTGACAAGTTATGTTTGTCACGACTTGTTGAATGCTTGAAATTTCTGAACCTCATGAATAAAGCGCTGATTTGAAGAGTTCCCATTATAATTTCATGTGATGTACGTGTGTGTGTGTGTGTTTTTTTTTTTTTTTTCCAGCCATCTGTAAGTTATATTGGTGTTGATGATAAAACCGAAAAAGCTGTTACACTCTTCCTTAATTGCAGACAAGACAGGCTTTTACACCTGAACAAATAAATGAGGCATGCTATGTTGACATGAAGTCTAACAAGGACGTTTTTGACAGTCTGAGGAAAAATCCAAAAGTGCACTATGATGGAGAACGGTTCTCTTACAAGGTTACATTTTCTAAGCATTTATTTGGACTTCAATATGTTCAAATGTTGCTTTAGATAACGGCAACCTCTCCTCTCGTGCCAATAATAAGGACTATGACATTCTGCCTTTTCTCTTTGGTCTATAGTCAAAACATGACCTTAAGGACAAAAATCAACTTCTGTACCTGATTCGCAAATTTCCTGAGGGCATTGCTGTTATTGACCTGAAGGATGCCTACCCGACAGTGATGGAGGACTTGCAGGTTCAACATTCTATCTTTTTGTCTTATGAATTTTAAGCAAGCCAAATTATTGGTTTCGCGTGGAACAAGGCTTTATATGGATATTTCTTACCAGGCTCTGAAAGCTGCGGGGCAGATTTGGCTGTTGTCCAACTTTGATTCGCAGGAAGATATTGCATACCCTAATGACCCCAGAGTGCCGATTAAGGTAGATGACGACCTAAAACAGCTTTTCCGGGGGATTGAATTGCCTCGTGACATGATTGACATAGAGAAGGATCTCCAAAAGAATGGGATGAAACCTGCTACCAACACTGCAAAGAGGAGGAGCGCAGCGCAAATTCAAGGCATTTCTTCTAAGCCCAAGCCTAAGAAGAAGAAGAATGAAATCAGCAAGAGGACCAAGCTGACCAATGCTCATCTTCCAGAGCTTTTTCAGAATCTAAACAATTCCTGACTTCATATTCTCGTAATCATTTGACAGTGTGATAGATCTGTGTAGAAAGTATTTAAGTAGTTCAGATAATTGTCCTCCTCTTATCTCACCTTCAAAAATTCTCGCTTCCATTGTATGAATCATTTTTTGTTACGTGTATCGGTTGGACATTCTTGTTCAGTCCAAACTCTGGGCATTCCTTTAGGGCCTCACAAGTCTCGAGAAAGAGACTCTCCCTGTAATGCCTGTTATATATAGTTTCGGTTCCTTATTACTCTTTGTTCAAATTTGAACGGTTAAAATTTCATCTGGGCAGTTTAAAACTGTAGTGCATGGACTCTTGGTGATAAGAGAAAACTTAGGAGCCATTCCTTGTGCTGTTCTCCAATTAAAACTTGACACGTGGATTGTTTTCATGCATTGCTAATCCAGTCATTGATTCTATACTTGACAGTGTTAATTAACTGTTAAAAAAAGACCTTGGTTCTTGTGGAACCCGATGAATGCGAGCGCACAAGCCGGTTGCGGAAATGAGCAAGAAGATCAAACCTTGCGATAACGATTGGTTCAGCGAAAGCTATGAAGTAGCCATGGAATCCTACACTGATTTTTACATTCAACAATTGATACGATCGCACAAACAGTTTACCTAACGAATCAAGCAAGCAAGCAATAGCAAATCATTGACTTTAATATTATTCATGCAAAGATTAAAAACTAATTTTAAAAAAACATAAATGAAAAATATGTTAATATGCCTTTTTTTTATGCATGTTAATATGATATTAAATGAGGTCATCAAGGTTCAATTTTATATTATTTAGGCTCAATTAGAATTTGTTTCATAATTAATGAATAACGAATTTTGGGCTTCAAATCTGAGTAGAGTATCATGAACGATGTACTCTTAACTCATTTAAAAGTTAACTTTCTCCATAGCATTGTAGAGATGCTCGTGGCGTTATGATGATTGGAACGGTAACAAATAATTATATATACCAACATTAAATTATATCTCGTGGGCGTCAATAAAATGTACATGTTAAATATAAGCTTAGTGTGTATTTTTCCTATCTTATTTGAATTATTCAATGGTGAACATTTTAATACTATTTAATTTGTCTCTCTGTTTTTTTTTTTTTTGGAGCAAAAAGAGACTATTTAATTTGTCTCGATCGTAAAAGAACGGGAAGTAAAAACTAAAAATGAATATGGAACAAGACGAAACACATGTAGCAGCTTCTCATCAATTGACCCATCAGCAATTATCCGCAACAATTATATATTTTTGGTAAAAGAACAAGTCATATGTGAGTCTCGCCTTTTTTCATTTTGTATGGAAGTCGCTTTAATTACAATGGGAGTAAGCTTCAGCCTTCAGATATCCAAAAACTCATGCGGTTCTTCATCATTCGTGCGATTTGATTATTTTGTTAGCGATTGAGTGGATAGCCATCTCCTATTTTCCGCCACATTGGCCATGTCATAAACGTAGGTGCATGCCTCTTTGAGGACATGAAGGCAAATCAAAACCAAAATGCCTCCAAAAGCAGCAATTCTCAACAATCCTCTCTCTGGTGGTGATTTCACTGTCAGATAAACACAATCAATTGCTATTGATATCCAACTCAGCCTCTCCATCAAGCCTTTGAGCATCAAAAGTTTCCCATTGTCATTCTCACACACTATTTTGCATAAAATCCTCAAACACAGAACACCCACCACCAAAAATGTGGTCACAGACCAGCCCCTGTACCTCACTAGCTTCCCTCCCACAACCAAAGCCTCTTTTCTGCACACACATGTCTCACACTCACCTGAAAATGTTGAAGACACCAGAGCATCAAAACCTGTGTAGTAAGGCAGCACAATTGAATCCAAGTACAGGCTTGCATGAAGAATCCCAGAAACTGTGGATGCTGCAAAAAAAGTGTACTTTATGTCCTTATCAGCTCCGTAGTCAAAGGACAATGCAGATATTAGAACAAGTTGAAGAATTGGAGGACCCATGTAAGAGAGAGGGAATATTGTGTTTATCTGAGAGCCTTTAGCAAAGGCTAAGATTATCATAGGGAGGAGAATTGGACCAGAAGGTAGTAAGTATCTGTTTGGGGATCTTATTCCTCTTCTTCCTGAACTCAAATCCATTATCACAATGAAAAGGGTCACAAGATAAGAAGCTGATGTGAAGAGGAGGACCGAGACATCAACAGCTGGTGGGAAATTTGCAGGGTACGCTCTGTCGCAGACATAGTGATAAGGGCAGTTCGTGGCCTCCAAGGTTTCTTCCACTTGCCAGCTGATGCATTTGAAGAATGTGTTTTGGACATCATATAGATTCCATTCAGGCTGGAATGTTGAAGATTCTGGAAGCCAAAGAAGCCTGTTCATATTTCAGAACGTTAATCTTTTGCAAGCGCTAAACTGAGTTTTGATCTCATTTCATAAGTAAGAAGATATTTAAGAGGAGAATAGAGTTCTTGCAGTAGTAGGTTGAGATGTTCAACTTGAAGCTGCAGTGGATGAAGAAAGAGCAACTAATTAGTCCTATTTTTCTCGCTTCAAATATAAAATCATTTTTGTGGGATTGAAACATTGTGGCTCTATTTTATTGACCATCTGTTTGTAATTTCCCCGCAAATTGCTTTTGGGATGGCTTTCTGAGAGACACTTAGGGTCTATCTGAAGCAAATAGAGTAGTTGAATGGACGCAAGTTTTGTAAAGGGACGCTGTTTGGTGAGTGATAGCCACCGATTGATAGTATGATAGGCTGCCAAACTTACAGGATTGGCTTTGTACCTATAGAAATTGGTATACCAAAGGCGAATTCCTTGAATGTCCAAGACAGTAAAAAATCTTCCGCTGCAGATTGTAGCGAAAAGTACGTGAGGATTTTGTTTTCTACCTCCATTTTTGCAATTTTCTTACTTTCGCGGGGGCTATTCAGATACTAAAAATAGGATCCAATTTATTATTTTTTTCAATCTCAATTCCAGAATATCAATTGATTCTAATCCTCATCATCAAGGCACACCTTAATACAATCTTAGTCCATTAAAATCAAGATGGGCTTGCAACATCTGGGAAATCAAGAATACAAATTCTGTTTTGCTAAAAATTACGTGCACGATATGGATCACAAAATTATTGAGCCAAACTTAAATAATAAAAACTGTAACTTTTTTTAATTTGAATTGTTCAGAAGGGCATAATCGATTTAATCAATGGAAAAAAATTTCTTGCTCCTACTCAAAAAGAAAGTAAGCTAGCTACTCATCTTCCGATGTCAATATCAAATACACAACCTTCTTGACTTTCTTGATCAACGCCAAGTTTCATTTGGTACACAACAAAATTTAGCATTGAGTAAGTTTGTTCTGAATGGGGATGTGATTTATCATGAGCAATAAATCTATGAAGGACCCCAAATAATTCCACAAAACTGAACCCTGGAGATTTTTTCACCCCTCTTCTCTCCATGGCTTCTCTCAAGCTTCTTGCATCATCCCATCGTTTCACAACTGCATAGACATTTGATAACCCAACATACCTCCCATCATGATATGGTTCTAGCTCAATAAGTTTTTTACCAACTCTTTCTGCAAGATCAAATTTTCTATGGTTAATACACCCACTAAGTAGAGCACCTAACATGGAAGCCGTTGGCTCTATAGGCATTTCACATATAAATTGGTACGCTGTGGCTAAATGACCTGCACGTGCTAGCACGTCCACCATGCAAGCACAGTGCTCACTTATGGGTGTCATGCCAAATTTTCTAAGGCTCTCAAAGAAGTACCATGCTTCTTTTACTAAACCCCCATGAGCACAAGCAGTCAACAAGCACAGGTATGTGATCTCATCAGGTCTAACACCAACCACTTGCATTTCCTTAAACAGTTTGAGAGATTCTTCAACTAACCCATGTGTTGCGAGACCTCCAATCATTGCATTCCAAATCAAGACATCAGTCTGGCATTTTGACACACCATGAAATAAAAGCAAAGCCTCCCGTATTGCCCCGCATTTGGCATACATGTCCACAAGAGAAGTCTGCAAAACCAGTGTCAGTGGTAATTTATTCTCAACTATATACTCGTGGATCATTCTTCCCTTCTCAAGAGCACCTAAGTGCGAACACGCACATAAAACACTCACCATAGTCACTTCATTAGCCTTTGGCCCTGAAACCCTCATATTTTCAAAGACAGCCATGGCTTCCCCATATTCCCCTGCTTTAACATAACCGTCAATCAAAGAGCTCCAGGACACGACATCCTTCTTAGGCATTGATTCAAATACTTTCTGTGCCACAACCATTTCTCCACACTTAGCATACCCATCCAACATGGAATTCCATGAAACCAAGTTCTTCTCCTGCATTTCATCGAACACCTTGCGAGCACACACGATATTCCCACAAGAAGCAAACATATGAATCAAAGAATTCTGGATAAATCTATCGGACTCATGCCCTGTTTTTACAATGTGGGAATGCACAGATACACCGTTTTGTTGATCCAAAAGGCGTGCCGATGCCTTCACAAGAAAGGGGTATGTTAAGTAATCTGGCGAAACGCCAAGTCGCAGCATTCTCAGAAAAACTGAAAATGAACGGTTCGGGTTTTTGCTGATTGAATAGCCTCTAATGATTGTGTTCCAGCTGAAAATTGTTGGGTTAGAGAGATGGGAGAAAACCCTGTAGGAATAACTGACGTTACCGGAATTTGAGAGAGCTGAGAAAGAAAGGAGTTTGGAGGTGAATGCTTCATCTTGAGATAAGCCAAGAGAGATCAAAATGGCATGAAGTTGCTTCAATTCATGCATTGACTTGCATTCGGTAGAAAGGTAGAGCAGCAGAGTCTTGCTTATATTTACATTTTTGCAAGAAAATGATGATGCTCCAAGCATATGTAAATAAACTTCCTATATTCCTTTGAAAGAAGAATAGAATTAAGTTGAAGGAGGAATCAATAACCTTGCTACACCAAAAAGCAGAGAGATTCGTCGCAGGGTTCAGATAAATGAAGACGTATTGATACTGTTACTGCTAATCATTGACCCTTGCTTGACATATGAATTGGATGCCTGAAGTTGATGTAAACGGATTGGGGAGTTTTCAGCCATTAGGTCTGACGAATAAAGCTCCGGTTTACTGGAGATGAAGCCACTGCATTTGGGAGAAGCTTGTGATGCTTCAGCGTCTGCTACGTCCATAAGAGCTGAAGTTTGCAGCGTAGATTCCAGCAATTGCAGCGAAAGGGTTGATGCGCGTGGTCTTGAAGTCAAGGCGGTCCATGAACACAGCCGGATTGGAAAGTGAACAAAGGCGATCCATCAAGGTGCTGTGATCTGTTGTACATTCGGCCCACGGATGTGGCGCGTTTTCCGAATTCGGACCTGCAAGAATCTAAGGGCTTGTTTGGATCGAGCCAGGAATTAAAAAAAAAAACAAAAATTTAGGTCTTTATATTTTATTTAAATTTTTTATAAATCTCTATATTTTTTTTAATATTCTAAATTTCTATATTTTTATTTTTTAATATTTTAAATCCTTCTAATACTGTTTATGAAGGGATTTAGAGCACTGATATAGGAAACTAAAAGATAAAAAAAAATAGAGACTTATAACAAAATTCAAGCAAAATGCAGAATTTAAAATTATATTTTTTAAAAAAAAAAGAGCTTTTTTTTTTTTTTAAGTTTGGTTGGCATTATTTTCAATCCTGTAGAACCTAATTTTAAAAGAGAGAATGTAAAATAGATGCTACGCAAGACCCCATGAAAAATAATATTTTTAATAGAAATACTTTTTTCTTCCTAAGTTACCTTTATGAAAATTATATAAATTCAAAATTATCCATCATATCTTAAATAAAAAACTACATTCAATAACCACCACTCAAAAAATTATTTACAGATAATGACCAATATAAAATGAGGGTAAGATTTATTGTTAATTTTTATTTATGAATAATTTATTTAATTGATTATTGGATCTGATTTTTCTATAAAATAAAATAAAATCATATACTCCCAGTCTCCAATGGCAGAAGACGAACACAAGACAAATGTGCGAACAGAAAGACCGTGAGAGAAAGAGACGATCGTGCGACTGCCAGAGACTTGCTGATTCTCTCCTCCTTCGTTCTTCTGTTTTTTCTGACATCTTCCGTTGCATTTTTGCTAGTTTTCTATCTTTCCTTTGCTCTTCTCATATCATAACAGTTCGCTGTTCCCCCCCACCCCCCCTTTTTTGGTTATCTTTTGGGTTTTCAGTTTCCGTTATGCTATCAGGGCTTTTGGTTTTTTTTTTTTCCCCTTTTCGATCACTTTATATTCATTTATATGTAATGCAATTAATAAAGATTAATCTAATCGATCATAATGTAATCTATAATCTATAAAATTATGAAATTAAATCTCACCATTGATATGAAAATTTTATTAGTAATAAGTATTTTTTAAACTAAATGCATGCTCTAATTTTAGTAAATTCTCATCACTTAATTCATCTAAATGTTTGCTGTACCAAAAAAAATCACATTTCTGATGAAAATTTTTTCACCCATTGTTTAAGTTAACATACGACCCTCTTTCCAATATGGACCGGTTTTTTATGCGAATTATATATATATAATATAATATAATATGGTTATAGAGATTACGTAAGAATATAACATTACATATTTCAAAATTGATGTTGCTATTATCATCATGCAAATAGTTTTATATATATATATATATATATATAAATATAATTATATAGATTACATCAGATTGCATATATCAAAATTAACATTGATATTTTTTGCCCAATAATATTGATAAGATATTAATTATTAATTATCAACCCATCATCAATCGATTAATCATCAATTATATCAGTGAGAATCTACAGGGGTCAGCAGGGGCTATGGTCCCCATTCTTCACTTTTTTTTTTAAAAAAAAAGGTATAATTTTATTTTTAAAAAATGTAAAAATTAATATTAGCTGCCACACATTTAGATAAAGTTTTAGTCATGACTTCCTATATTATGGTTTACGGATTCGTCCCTAAATGATATACTAATTTTGTGCTGCCAACTGAAAATATCAATAGCCACCAGGTAAAAAACAATCAATATTAACATTAACATATTGATTAATATATTTGATTATTTGCAAAACATAGTACATAATATATTTTTCAAAAATAAAAGATATGGGTATCTTTTTTTTTTTTTTCAACGGAAAAGGTGCCGGTGTCGTGGCTGTTCTAGAAAACCAAAGCTTCCTACTAACGGTCCAGATTCACTGGGGCGTCCCCTATCGACGGTCTAATTCAACCGGCGCGTCCAAATTTGTGGAGTCCCAACGCCGTCTCCCTTCGTCCACTTTTCTTTTACGTTTTTCCAACAAAACTTGCATATTTTTCTCATTCGATCTTCCCCACTTCATTCTTTCTTCTCCGTCGAATTCCCGTCACGTGTTCTTTGGCTTCTATGGAGAATCACACCGCCAACAACACCAAAGCAGTTTCAGGAGGAGTCAAACCCATCAATGACAACGAAGAGCTTTCCAATTTGAATGAACAGGAGCACTCAGAAGAAGTGGATGTAGATGAGAATGGAGGCGGGGCTGAAGAAGAAGGGGAGAGAACTGGATCTGGCTCCATCCAGTCTCCTCCTCGCCCACCTTCCAGAACCCCTTTCACTAATCTCAGTCAGGTCGATGCTGACCTCGCCCTTGCTCGAACCCTTCAGGAGCAGGTTTACCTCTAAATCTTCTTACTTGGATGTTGTTATTTCAGTTTGGAATTTTCTTCCTTTGCGCTTTATTTTGTTGAAGATTTTGTATTTATTGAGTTTTATGCTCGTTTTGGCAGGTAAGAAAATTTAAGGAAGAAAAGAAGGGTTTAGACACTCATTCCTTATTGTTGTGGTTTGGGGCGAACTGAAAAAAATTGTGCACAGTAAAACAATTCGACTTTACCTCAACTCCTCAAGTTTCTTTACACTACCTTTTGGAGTTCTTTTTTCCACGCCGAATTATAAGCTTTGGCATTGATTCGTGTCCATTTCACTGAATGTCTTGTTTGATTTTTCAGTAATTTTCTACGTTGTTGATTTTTTCTCCTCTTGTTTTCTCATGCTTCTGAACTTTGTGTACTATATAGCATTGATTTGTTAATGCTTGAATAGGAAAGGGCATACATGATGCTGAGAATGAACAACGAAGGAAGTGATTATGGAAGTTGGGAAGCTGGCAGCTATTTGCATGATGATGGGGATGATTTTGAAGATCTACATGATGGTACTGATGATGATGAGGACAATGGCCCTGATGATGAAGATGATGACAATAATGATGATGAAGAATATGATGATGAAGATGCATTTGATGCGCATGCTCTTGTTAGTTCTGGTGAAATTGATAATACCAGCATTGAATTTGATCCTGATGTATTCTCTAGTGATGAAGCCTATGCAAGAGCATTACAAGAGGCTGAAGAGAGGGAAATGGCAGCTAGGCTATTAGCTTTGGCTGGGATAAATGATCGTTAGTTTTCTTGGCCATGAATATATAATCAGTGGATTTTCCCCCCCAAAATTATCTGATATTTATAGCTGATAATCACGCTTTACTTTGCAGGGGAAGCTGAGGACACAGAAGACCATGGTGCTAATTCTCCGGTAGAATATTTTTATTTCATGTGCATCTGCATTCAAATGTAGCCATAGGTTGTGTCTTTGTATCATCCCACATAGTTATGGACATACAAGCATTTAAAGTATATCTAGGAATGTGCTATATTTCTAATTTTCTACATTTGAATACAAACCGTCTTTTCCATAGGATTTGGGGAATATTTTATGCTTATTAGGAATTATGGTTGTATTTAGTTTTGCAATCCTAGCGGAGAAACATTGTAAGTTAAATTAACATTTAAACTTTTTTATTGGAGCTCATTGAATGTTACATAGATGAGTTTCACTGGAATCTGTATTGAACTTGTTTTGGATTAGACAAAGTTTATGTAGCATTAACTAAAAGTTTATGCACTTTATTATTGTTGTAGATTGTAGATTGTAGGTGCGATGCTTGAAAATACAGTATATTCCATTCTACATGATTACAAATAACTCTTTTCCCCAATTACTCCTCCTTTGAGGCCAAAAAGATTTTCCAGGTTTATATAAGTCTAAAAGAAACAGAATTCCCTTCAACTCTTTCACTTCAGCACATGGCACGTAGTCCTATGTTGAATAGAAAATGGAACCATCAGTTGTTTTGGGGGGGTGGGGCTTGCACAATTTCTTTAGTATTCAATATCAAGCAAAAAGTTCTCAGATTGTGGCTGAAAGGGTATTTGTAGCTTTTTATGTAGTCACTCCTAAGGGGGGAAAAAAAAAGTAGCAGTCTGACAGGCAGTAAACTGGAAGTAATAATTTGCTTTCCAACAAAGGATAAAATATTTAACTGAAACAGTTTAAGGATTGATTTTTATTTAACTCCAGCAACCTATTTTATTTATTTATTTATTTATTTTTTGGTGACCAATTATCCTTCCGGACCCTGTCCACTTTTTCCCAGTTCTCTATGATTCTCTCTAGAGCTACCTCTCATCTTTTCAGCCATTGTAGACTTTATCTTAGAATGCTGACCTTTTAAACCTCTTCCCAATGGTCATCCAAAGCTTTTTCCCTGACTCTATGGTTTCAGCTTATGTATTGTTACTTAGAGTTGTATTCTATAAAAGTTTCTCATCAACCATTTGACTCTCAGGATGCATGGGAGGATGTTGATCCCGATGAACTTTCATACGAGGTAAATCTTGCAGGCTTGCTCTGTATTTTATGTGATCCTACTCACGCTTCATTTCACCTTCTATCTGACATGTTAAGGGTATCCTTCAAATCTTCAATTATATCAGGAACTTCTGGCATTGGGTGAAGTTGTTGGAACTGAGAGCAGAGGTCTTTCTACTGAAACTATTGCCTCTTTGCGTTCAGTGAACTACAAGATGGGAAGTGATCAGCATGGAAGCAATGATTCGTATGTGCAAAATTCTCTTACTTCTAACCTTAGCTGTTATTTACAATATACCATTGCACCTGATTGTCATGTTCCCTTCTTAGGTGTGTCATATGCCGGGTGGATTATGAGGATGGTGAATCCTTAACTGCACTTTCATGCAAACATTTGTACCATCCTGAGTGCATTAACAATTGGTTGAAAATAAACAAGGTATGCTTTTGTCCTTTGCCAATACAATGCAGTTTTAGTTCTGTACATCAAATGTGGTCTGTGCATATGCTGTCACATTTTTTGTAAGACTTTGAGTATGGCTTTTTGTGCATGCGCGCGCTAAACAATTCCCATGTAGCAATCCAGTCTCTTGCATGTACAAGGTAAAGGAACACCCTTGAAACCATAAAGTAGAAACTCATGAAAAGGGTTCTCCGGCTAGAGATATTACATTTATGCTCCAGCCACATGCACCAGAAGAAAACTTAACGGCTTCGCATTATCCTGTTGGGAATAGCCTATTAGTGACACTAATGGTTGAGACCTATGCGCTTGTACTGTTTTTCCTATGCTGTACTTCATGTAGTTATCCCTATAATGTTTATAAATATAGCGACAGTGGTTGACAAAAATCTCTCATTTGGTTCTTCCTTCCTCTATTTAACGTGGTATAAGAACACATTAATAATTACCTTGAACCTTTACGCTAGAAAAAGGCTAGGCCTTGTAGGCCAATCATCATCCAGCAGTGGGGTTGGATGTTGTTCTTTTTGGTTTGCTCTGTGTTTTTTCCCCTGCAGTATTATGTGAAGTGATAGAAGTATTATTTGCAGGTGAAGGCTCTAATGTGAGAGATCCTTTTTACCTTGGAAGAGTTGAAATAGCATTGATTTCTCCTCGTCATTAGTTAATCAGTGATTTATGTAGATCTCAGTATCTCATCAAGCTTGTCCCTTTTACATGTTGATGGAAAAATTTGGGCTTGAAAACATATAGCAAACAATTTTTTTATATTACATTAGACGTTACAATGGCATAGTGCAATTCATATAACTAAAGTTACTTTGTGAGATAAGGCTTGTTATTGTTGTATCTTCGACATTACAATACTTGAATTTTCCCCTTTATTGTGTAATGAAACATGCATGGAAATCAAGTTGAGCTTTAGTGTATCAGTTGATAAACAAAATGGGTTATACAAACTCGGTATGCTGTTCCACCCATCCCTGAGATTGTCCAGGAGCAGTCCGTGAGTGAAGCATTTCATAAATAGACTTTTACAATGCATAAAGTGTTAAGTCTTGATATTTATCAAGTCTAAACATCTCAGAAGTAATTTCCGAATACTTCAGAAACTAAAATTCCCGTATATGATAAGTTGTGTCACCTAAAAGTTTGTGTGGTATAATAGCTATAGTGTAATACTTGACTCCTTGTGGCGCAGGTTTGCCCTGTTTGCAGCGCTGAGGTGTCAGCTTCTGGGAGCAACTTGTAGTGTTTAATGTTTGTTCAACGCTACATTATTTGAAGAAAATGTTTACAAGTTGGGAAACTATTTTCCCTTTGCTTGGTAGCTAGCATGCCTTGTGGGGGGAATTAGTTTATGCTTCATTGGATCCAAGCTGTTTCGGTTCTAAATGTAATATCGAAACTTTGGAATTAGTTTACCGGATTGTATATGCCTTTGCTAATGAAAGGATTGGCCCGAAAGCCAATTCTTTTTCCTTCATTTCTTTTATGTTTTCGAGAGCTGGGGAGATCAGGATTTAAGTAGAAAATAACGTAAAAAGTACGAATGAATGATAATTCTAATTTCTTTTCATGTCCTTAGAATAGTTGATCTTGTGTTTTTTTATTTTTTTTTTGTAGTGATGATTTACTCCCTTAGATAGTTAGATCTTATTTATGGGGTGGAGAGTGAGGATTTTTTTTTGTGCTATTTATAAATTACATTATTAAACTTTGATTACGAATTTCCTTTTTTATTTTTTATTAAATGTTGGACAGAGAATATAAACTATTAAAATATATATTTCATTGGAGCAAAATTAAAATTTTATTAAATTTTTAAACAGAATTAATGAGTTTTATTTTTTTTATTTTTTGGTTGGGATGAAATATATTAAAAATGATTTATAAATAGAAAGTAGTTATAAAAAGACTTCTCTCAATTTGATTCACTAAAAATCTACATTTTCCAATTTGATTCTCCCTCCTTCCCTCTCAATTTGTTTTTAGTTTAAATAATAATAGATAATTCATCTCTCTGTCTCCCAATTTTCTAGCCAATCAAAACATCCATAAAGCCTCAGCTATCTAAATAGGGGGGGCTACAACACACGCACAAGAATTAGTTGAGGGAGGATCCTATCATTTTATGCCAATTTTATGGTATGTGTTACTCGCTAAGCTCCCTTGACCCGGTTGAGTTGGTTGAAACCGTAATGCCACAATGCATGCAGATTGGTTTCAATGTGATGATTTTTTTTTTTTGTTTATTTCCTGGAGTTAATGTCGTTATTGTGCTATGCTATTTTGTGTAAATCTAACACTGCACCAAATTTTCTAGGGGATAATCAATATTTTGCAAAAGTGATTGAGGTTCTCTCGATATTAATTGCTAATATGAAAAAGCGTTATGTTAAATTAACCATTGTGAACAATGATGGAAAATTTGGAAACATGCGATCATGGAACTTAAGCGGGCATGAGCCTCGTCGTCGTGAAGTTGAAACCAAGTTAATCCATTAAACCAAAATTAATAGTTGAAATTGAATGAATTGTTAGGTAATTCAATAACACCTGGAATAGTATATATAATTGATAATTGAAATTGCAGCATGCACTCATGACATCAGATTTGGGAATGACCCGGCTTTATTAGTGATCTATTTCCAACTTCTATGTATGCACATAGCACAACAAAACGCTTGAACCTTGGCAATTTTGAAAACCCATCCAACTTGATCAAAGTTTTTGCTTATGCACAGCGTCAATATTTTTATAACGGGGAACAAACGAAAGGAAAATCAGTGGAACCTTAAGAAGATGAACCTTTAGGTTATACAGGTGACCAGAAATGTTAAGGGCCTACAACATTGTTTCATGCAGTAAATAAGAACAGAAGAGATCTGCTTATCTGCCGCAGGATTCTCTGGGCGGATCGGACTTCAGAATTAACAAAGTTTGTAATACTTACAGCCAGAAAAATGATTATGTAACTGATATGGATTTCAACAAAGCATCAAGATGCTCTTTAAGTTTCACTTTTGTAATCGCACCTTCCCTCCTGCTTTCTGGAACTTCCTGCCCATTCTTGAAGAGTACTAGAGTTGGAAGTCCGTAAACTTTAAACTCTTCTATCAATTTTGGGTTTGCATCATGATCAATCTTTACAACTGTCAATCTGTCTCCATATTCCTGCAAATTATAACATAATCCCGTCAAGAATAATCAAGATCCTCACAAACACTTGATAAGAAGAGGGCTTCTAAACATGGTCATTTGTAAGAACAAGCAAAAATTCTGTTCCTTGATTTTCTAAGAAAATTAAACAGCACTCTGTCATTTAGTTGCTCTTGAAAATCTTGCATTCAGAGTGTTCTATTATGGGTTGAATAGCGAATTCTAAGCTAATTTAGTTCAAAGACAAGGCATTCTTGTGATGCTTACTGCAATAAGTGAGACCAATAAATTCATAAAAAATGACTGCAGCTCAACAAGACTGTTTGACTAAATCTTATTATCCCTCGATGTTAGAACTCATGCCATGAATAAATCTTCCAAGCAGGTGGGACATTAATGTTCCTTCCTTGATATAAGAATAAATGTTATTTGAGAAGGAAAAAAATGCACAGGAGTGGAGGGAAAACATTCCCAAAAGAGAAGTCAATGTGCAAAAAGGGGGGAAAAAAAAAGCAAAGCCCAGTAATCTCTCGGCATATTCAGCAGAGAAACCTCTCCAGCAATCTCTCAGAATATTCAAAAGAGAAACCTCTCTAAAATAAGAGTCACCTGAACTGATCACTAATCACGCACCAAGACCTACTGCATCCCAACTCTCAAGAGAGGAGCAACAATTTGTCCTTAAAATTTCTAGTATTCCACTCCAATCGTATGCATTAAATAATAGCATACACGGCATGTCAACAAAGAACCTTGCCATCTTTAATCCCCCAGAACTTATGAAAGAACAGAGACAATCTCCCTTGTGCAGAGGAATGGAGGTCTTGGCCACACATAACAAAAGCTAAATTCTGACAGTGTAGCATCACTAGCACGCCCCATCCCCCAAAAAATAAAAATTGCCCCATTAAATTTGACTGTCACTGTACCATATCGATACCATTATTTAAAAAAATAAAAAAATAAAACAGTAACTATCATTCACGTGAAGAAACATATACAAGCACTAATTAACAAAGGGAGAAACAAATAACAATAGAAAAGCTCAAAAGCACACTCCTCATCAGCCTCCCTCCCCTATCCAACAAGATGGTTGACCAGGATCACAAAAATCATCAGTGAGTAAGTGGGTATATATAGCTAGACAATCAACACTATAATTGCTCTCTCTGTACATGAATTTAAAAGAGACGATCCAATCCCTTCTCGATCAATTTCGCATCTCGATACCGTTCTCATGCTCTCATTTCAGATGTTCATGACTGCGAGTGCCTATGCCAACTCCAAATCCAAATTAGAGAGAGAGAGAGAGAGAGATACCTGAGCAACCCATTCCATAATGGGAGAGATTAAACGGCAGGGACCGCACCAATTAGCGACGAACTCAACGAGAACCGGACGGTCTGCCTTTAAGACAGTGTCGGAGAACTGGGTCTCATTGACCTCGGCAATACCAGAAGCGCAAGTAAGCCTAAACTGAGAAACCGTAGAAGAATTTGGAAGCCTCAGACTTGTTCTCCGGCACGGATAAGAAGCAAAGGAGATCTTGACGGAGGAGGGAGGGAAGGAAACGGAGGTGGAGGTAAGAGTACGAAGTGTGAAGAGGGGTGGCTTGTTGGAAAGCGAAGGTGAACAGGCCATGAGTGGATTGAGAAAGAAGAGCGAGACGCAGAGGAAAGAGAGGAGGAAGAGTGCATGCTATATATATCGTGTGGATGAGAATCCTACGAACAAAAATGAGGCCGACGGGGCGTTGAGAAGATATTGAGAGGGCCAAAATGAGCCTTCCCCGATGGGGACCCAACCCAAGGCGTCGCTTTCATCCTCCAGTATTTCATGGTTGGATTCTCTCCACTTTCTTTTCCTCCTCTTCCTTTTCTCTTTTTAATTTTTAATTATTAGATGACCCAAAATAATTTTTTATGAAATTTCATTTTGTTTTGTTTTTACTGTATATTTTTAACTGTTAATGTTAAATTTTTGCTCAGTTATAAAATTAATTTTTTTAGTTTGAATTTTATTATTTATTTTTTTAAATTTATTATTTTAATAATAATTTTATAAAAAATTAAATATAAACTATCTAAATTTTAATCTGGTCATCCACCAACACCGCCATCTTCATTGGACCACTTTACCAATGAAATTTTTTCTACTGTACAGTTATTTTAATGTAATTTTATTTATTTATAATTTTTATTAAATATTTGTCTACAAATATATATATATATATATATATAGAAAACAATTGAAGATAGTTCCTCAAACAAAATATCAAAATATCATTCTTTATTGCAACTAACATATGAACCATTCCTCAACGGGACTCCTTAATTCCTTATCTTTATGTGCACATTTCTTTACATTACTTCATAACTCTGAACTTTTTTTTTTTGAAAAGTCCATGGTGATAAGCTAAATTCATTACTTATTAAGCCATTATTATAACTTGTAAAATTAAATACATTGCTTGTTAAAAATTTTATGTAATTTATTAATTGCCTTGTGTTGCTTGTTGTAATGTCCACTATTATTAACCCTTAATTAACTCTACTAACTAACAAACTCTAGATATAAGGATCAACCACGGTTTTAAAGTTCATTATTAATGATAAATGTTAACCTTAAGATTGGAATCCCAAAATATTTGAAAAGATAAATATAATATTTTTTAGAAATCAAAGTATTTGAAAACTATATGAAAACATGGATTTTATGATTCAACATTGGGAAAGGACAATAAGAAGGATA